TGAGTGTAAACGAGGGAGAGGGGTTAGTTAATAATCCTACAAATGTAATTTTATTGGTAGATAACGATTTGAGTGTCAATTTTCTCGTTACCTCATCGAGCGAGTAACATTTTGACACTCAAATACTAGATAATATATGAAATTTCCTAATAGATCCTCCGTTGCCTATAAATTATGAGGTGACGGCTGCCAAAGTATTTGTAATTTTAAAAAAATGTTCGGGGTTGGGGGCAGGGGCCTACGGGCCCCCAAACCATACATCAATCGTTGGTTGCTAGTCCCGCCCTATACTTACTGGATACGTCATAATTTTAAGCATGCATACATTATATAGAAGAAGAAAAAAAAATTATCGCCGTATCAAATCCTCAATCGAGTATTTTTCGTCGTCATTACTTTTTAGAGGGTGTGTTTGTTTTGTCTCGTACTCTCAATAATCTGTCAATTTTCTCACAATTCTTCCGAACCATCAAGTGTACTTCAAACTCGTGTCCCACTTTCTATGTATGCAGCTGTGATGAGCATCACAAGCAGGATTCACAGGAGACACAACAATCGCAATTGCATTCCAAGCCAACGCCTGCCCTTTGCTTTTCCAAAAAGTAATTATTCCATGATTTGTGGTATTGTTTTGACATTGACCCATTTTATCTGTGTCTCTTTTTAATCCTCTTTCTCTTGCTCTCACTGTCTCTCGATCTCTCTAATATCTGCAAAACTATAAATATCCAGGAATGCATCAGGTTTCTGTGAGCCCGACGTAGTGCGTAATCGACAGATTTATAAATGGGGGGGGGGGGGGAAATATACAGGGACTGAAGGGAGCCTTGTTAGTACTCCGCACGTGGGCGCTATAAACTGTCAGAAAATTTGAAAACATATTATGAACTATTTTCCTGAAATAAAATATATATACACTGTATACCGAACATCCACTGCAACAAACAAGCACTAAATAATATTTCTTCTCAGGCTTTCCTGGGGAGGGGGGGGGGGGGGCGTACGCCGGCTACGCCATTTTCTATGCCACTCCGAGCATGGATTATTCATGTCAATACCGAGTCACTTTGCAGTCATCATTAATTAGTTATTAAGTGTCTGTTTTAGCAATGACATGAGGATTTTGAATTTTAAAAGATTGCTTTGTAATGTCATTATCATGACTATCAATATGACATTCACTTCGCTGGGACAGGTTAGATCAAATAGTTACTCACATCAATCGAAAGACTAACAAGGCCTTGACTGGCAGAGCGAAACCGGTAATATGGATCAATATCCTCTGTCCTTTGTCCAAAAGAATACCGCGAAAATGAAATATGACGAATTTCTATCTTTATGCTTGGTAAAGACTTTCATCCCGAGACAGTCACGAGATGAGATGCCTAGACACCTCATTTATTTCAATATTTTACAATTCTTAAAGTTGATTGAAATAACCTCGAACTCAACTGTGATGTTATTTACCTCACACCATGCTAATCATCTATCTCTCTATATACTCTGTCTCCCCGCGATGTGTTGCCTCTAAAATCCTTGCATCATAGGGCAAAATCATAAAATCACAGGGCCTAGACGCAAGGAGACACAAAAACGGGATTCTTTTCTCCAAGTTCGATGTGCTTGTATATAACTTTAAACTTTCCAATCACTTTAAGTTTATTCTTTAAAAGTGGATATGTTATCTGTAGAGTTGGGAAAAGTCAGAACAAAAAGGCGCCGTTAAAACCCAATTTCCGTTGATTAAAACAAGATTGAGAACTGCACTCACAAAACTAACACAATTTTGACAAAAATTATTAAGGCAGACCTACATCTTCTTTTGGAAGTTTTAGGCCCAAAAAGGATCACGCTTTACTTCTTAGTTAATTTTGGGAAACTGGACAGTTAAGCGGATCATAAACTTCAAATCTACGACATAGCAGACCCCCCCCCCCCCCATAAAATCACACAAATTAGAGCCATCGGCCCAACTAGTCGCAGAACGATTGAGCAAGGGGGTGCTCAGCTCAGCTTAGATAGAAAAAAGCGAGCGAAGTGTAAAAAAACGGTGTCATTGGGGGTCAAAATGGCATGGGTGTCAACTGTTTTGGTAAAGGGCAGGGTGCTCCTTCTTGCGTGGGCCCCGGCCCCAGCCCCCGCCTAAAGTCCATTATCAAATAAGATTTGTTTTCCAACTCTCATTAAGAGACTGGTGTTCCATTTTGCCATTAAACAAAAAATGCGCGCGGGGAGGTGGGTCCGTGAAGATGTAATTTATCAAACCGTCAAATATCTTGTTGATACTGTATCACATCAGTGGAAAGCTGCCAAATGAAAATGATCTAAAACACAATAAACCTCTCTGTTTCTGTCACCTACCCTTATCTGATTGACGAAATACCTTTACCTCGCCACGATCTGATCTTTGCTCTCAAAATCGCGTGAAAATATTGTTATTGTGGAAGCACGGAACAAAATGATGGAAAACGTAAAGTCTGGGGAATAATTTACAAGGAAACTGACAGGCCACAAAGCTCTTTTCTATCATGGGAATTAAATTGTTGCCGTATTTTTGTGTGACAGGAGTATTAAACAATAGGCCTGTAAAACAACATTTTGCCGAGTGGTTAAGTGGTTAATAACATGCAGTGGCATAGCGGTGATCCAAGCCATTGAGGGGCATTATAGCAGGATGTGTGTGTGTGTGTGGGGGGGGGGGGGGGGGGGGGGGGGGGGGAATCGGCCTTACGAGGTAAATCAAAAATCAAAAGCTAATCAACAAGGTCACCGATTTATAGGGGGTATGGGCCTCTCTCTCTCTCTCTCTCTCTCTCTCTCTCTCTTTGTTCTTTTCTGTTTAAAGCAATTCGATGGGGGCCCCCGGGTGGGGGGGGGGGGGGGGACTTGGCCCATAGCATATCTACGCCACATGAAAACGAACTTAGTGAATGTAGCAATGTCATATTTAGCCCGAACAACCAGTATACCCCCCCCCCCCGACATCATTAAGCCCAGGGGGTGGAGCAGCATTGTTGTCACAACGACAGGGGAATGTAACAAAGGAGGAACTTTTTGTTATACAACAAAACAAAACGAAATATAAATTTTTAAAGAGTTTGTGCTTGTTACTTACCATTTTGACAATTGCTTTTTTAGATGGGTGAGTATGAGGAAGAGATATCAGCTTGTATCAGAAAAAGGAGTGCTTTTTGGGTATAGAATGCTTTTGAAAAGAGGGTGTGGTCAGGTTTATCCAGATTGACATTTGCTCATTACATCAGTGGTGGATAGGGACAAAGTCGGCCCGTGCCCCTTTCAAAACTCATCTATAGCATCCCGTCAACAACAAAAGATTGCATCCTCAATGTAGAATTTTTTCGAAATTCTGCCACCCCCCCCCCCCCTCTTATACGAAATATTTGACCCGCCCTTGTCTCACAAATTAAAGAATTTGAAATTGCTATAAAAGAGTAAAAGACCTGGGATAAATGTTGAGATAATTCACCCACACACATTACATACAGGCGACAGGTGACCTGGATTATGTAATCTAAGCTGAAGCCAGAATATTTTCAATAAAATGAATACACGCAGGTCAGCTTAAAGGTATAGGCTACATTATTGTATAAACTGCAATTAAATTGGACAGAGCAAGCTGTACCTATGCACATATTGAAGAAAGAAATACTTATCAACGGATATCGACAAAACACTACAGATGCTGGATAAGTCACAAGTACAAACAGAATTGACGAAGATATTTCATTAGAAGTAACCTATTCTAGTTAAAATTCTAGAAAACAAAATAATATGTAAAATTTACATAATTTTTAAAAAATAATTAAGCAAGTCATGGAAACTCGGAGTAGTCTCCTTTACATTACAATTGTGAACTATGTCTATGGGTCGAACAATTATTATCAAATGTTTAATTTTTCATACAGCAGGGCATTGGCTAGATATATTGTTAGTCAGCATTGTGACGTAATATCAGGAGTAACGCGGGAAAAAAATCTGACAAAGCAATTTTGTCCTCTTTTTTCCGGACTGTCAAGATTGCAGATCTTTATCGCTCGTGTACAGAGGAAATCGAATAGTCTGGATAACTCACTATACGGCCCTCTCACGATCCAAAATAATAGTTTTATTATTGACAAACAAAAAAAACAAATTGGATCATTACACTTTTTCTAAAGTTGTATAAAAATTGACCTGCGTGTAAAAATGTATAATTCAGTTCTTCTTTCTTCCTGAAAAGTGCAGGCTTCATGAAATGAAGATTAACGCACTGTGACAAACACAAGAAACACACGACCTGGACAATAAATTGAGAACGGAGGCCATGCTATGTAAAACTGATCTGGCTCATGAATTTGAATGTTAATATTGTGTTTAGTGGGTGTTGTTTGAAATAACAAGTCATTGACGCCTTTATGTTTCTTCTGTTTGTTCGATTTAGCTCCAAACATAATCGTAGAATTTACAGGTTCTGAACTTCCGCCAACAAATTAGCCATGGTACAATTATTATTTTAACTGCAGTTAACTGCAAACGATCCAAAGCATCTCATTGTAGAATCTATGTAGATAATCCTCCAGGTTTTCACCCAAGGTGTTCCTCACTCCAGGTTTTCTGTACTTTTATCAGATTCGATCAGTATAAAATGATTTCTTGGTCAATGAAAAGTGCAGAATCGGTAATAAACGCAATACTAATAACACAGTTTGCCTCGAAAGGCATGTGCAAGCATTGTACGAAAATCATGGAAGATGTGACTCTTTTATCTGTTTACCATTTTATTATTTTAGGTTATGTCGATAAATGAAATCGGCAATTCCCACTATACGAGATTACAGAAGTCACCGTCACTAATAAAAGCCATCATTTCGCTTTCAAGGTTTAGATTAGGATTCCAAGACAGATTGCGGTGCAGGGCATTTGAAAGATTTTCTTTTGCAATTTAGTTGAAAATGTTGAAACTGTAACACAATCAATGTGACAAATGACCGATTTCTTACCTTTGAGAACTTCTCTTTTCCTGAGCAATGAAATCGTTTCAAATGTAAAAGACTCGAAGTCCAACTTTTCGAAATCAAAGACGGATGAGAGGCTATGAGATTAAAGACAAAGATAAACGATAGAATCCTGCTACCTCCAACGATACACAGTTCACGACTATCTCACAAACAGGAAGAGATGCGGAGTGATCAATTTTTCCGCTGGAGCTGGTTTCGAATGAGATGGAAAGCGGGCGGATAATGGTATCGTTTTCATCGAGATGCATGGGTATGATGGAAAAAAAAAGTTACTGCGCATGCGTGCATGCCGATTACTACCGCAAGTGTCCGATCCAGTGCCGAAACGCTAAAGTCATAAACGTCTTTTATTGATAGAGGTCCCATTGGGTTTAATTTGCAATCAACATCGAAATACTTGTTGGACGTCCTTTTTTATTTTACCCTCCCCCCCCCCCCTTACTGCTCGTGGGAGAACATTAAATCTTTGACTTTGTAATGTACTTGTAGTGGGATAAAACTGTCTTTCTATAGAATTATTTACGCCTTGTTTTCAGAATTAGGGCGCTTTGCTGCGGAGTCAAGGATACTTTGGTGAGCCCGTTGCCATCCCGCCAACTTCTCTTGTGCAAAATAATAAACCTCAATCTGATGTTCGGGGATAAAAGAAGTGACCATTATAGAAAAATAAAAGGAACACAAGGTATGCCAAAATTAAGTAATTTAGATCATCATTATTGAAACTACTAAAAGTTTTTTACTCTTAATCAATATTAATACCATTATACTCCATTCTAATGTCATAGTAAAAGTCACATAAGCGCGGCTTAAATCGTTAGTATATCTTGCCGTTATTCAGTTTAATTAAAAAATAAATTCCAACCCACAAAGCAATTCAGATATTTAGGGGCTTACCAAACATGACCTTTAAATTGAGTATCATTTCTTTAGTAAACTTTCCCATAGACATACTGACTTCTAACTCTGCTTTAAGTATTTCCCTTGTTGTTATGTTTCATCGAATGTGTTATAAATCACGAAAGGTCTACGACTTAACGAGATCACTTTAGTTTGCTCAGCATTTAGCGTCTGTAAAATGGCGCATGGCTGGATTGCTCCCCAGGGAGTGGAAAATGTACACAAAATTACAGACAACGTCGATGTAGTAAGCGCCATATAAACCTAGAATATTATTAATATTATTATTAGATAATGGTTTTTAACCAGTAAACATTTTCCCCTGAATTAATGAGAGAAATACTTAAAACATAAGGCTGGACACAAGGCTACGGAAGTATGTACTTTCATGATGACATTTGACATCCTAATTTCGCAACGACCTTGTACAAATAAACATTACTTCTTATAATGTTGCGAATGTTTTATGAGATGGTAGTAAATCATCGGCCTAAAGAAATGGCATCACCTGTTTATTTTGAATGGATACAGGAACAATACTGACAAAAGAGTTGAGAAATTTTCCACTGCATCTCACTTTTTATTCACGCAATATACATGTGCAAATACATTATAACAGGCAGTTGTGAGTGCTGGTGCTGTTACGCACAATACTGGTAGAGCCTGCAGAGTGTGGGCAAAATAAGAAAATGTCTAACAAAGTATTCGCTTGAAAAGTTTGATTACCATCAAGATCTATTTTTCTAAGGACAGAGGTCTTAAAAAATAAAACCTCCATTATGTATTATCATATTTCCATTATACACTGTAAATGTTGATATGTTCCTAACACTCCATAGTTTTTATGTTATATTCTTAAGTGGTAACTCGTGATTTATATTAACCTATATCATCTCTTGTACTTTATAGCGATTTTCTCTCCTTTTATCCCATTCCTGCCTCCCTGTTAGGCCTGTCTCTGTATTTCCCCTTTGTCTATTATGTGTGCCTTTCCACATGTCCCCCTGCCCCCTGTCTCTGTCTCTCTGTCTCCCTCTGTCTCTCTCTCTCTCTCTCTCTCTCTCTCTCTCTTTCTCACACTCTCTCCTCCTCCTTTTCTTTCTTGGTTTCTTATTGCACAGTCGTCTCACAGATTTAAACACTGCTTTATCGAAACATTAATGCTGCGAGAGATTTCCTGTCTTTCAAAGAGTTTTACCATCTTTCTCTCTAGTTGACTAAAAACTTGAACTATGAATGCGTAGAAGAGGAAATCCACTCTTTTAGGAGTCCTAATAGCGATCCCCTTTTACACTATATAAAAAGTGAAACGCTCCTTCAAAAGAGTAATTCTAACCACTCTACAACGAAAAAAAAAAGGGAATGAATTTACACTTTTCTGGGTAAGGAGAATACACGTCGATCTTTTTCAAAAAGTTTAATAAAAAACTTCAACCACATAATACATAAAAGAGTAACTTTTATTAACCCTTTATCATCATGGCTTTTCAGTTTTTCATCTGGCTTTTGGGGTCTTCTCTTCTCCTATTTTTCTTCTTGCCATCCTACTCCCCCTTTCGCTCACCTTTACAGCGTGAATTGTATATTTTTTTTCTTTGCTGTTTCTCCCGATCCCCTTCAATACTATATTGTAAAACAAAATAAAGATCTCTTTTAAGGTTGTACATAATGTTGTAATTTGGGAAATAATATCTTACTTTTAAATAGTCTAAAAGATTGAATCAATCAAGATTGTTGGCATTCTCAAGAGATGAACAAATTTCGAATATTGGGAAAAAAATTTTCTTTACATAGTCCTTTGAACTATATAGTTTGAAACATATAGTAGCCAATACAAAACTAGAATGATGGGAACTGTGTCAAATCGTAAAGTATCAGAATTTTGATTTGGAAACAATATCTTATCAAAACAGGAAAGTAGGGCTATACTTTTCTTGCGATGGGTCGCCTGTGTTTTCGATCAGAACCCAAAACGGTCTCACAGACGATCTTCGCGACGATCGATTTATTCTCGCCAATTTCCTCTCTTCGTCCCATTGCCATCCTCCAGGGTCACGAGCTTGACCCCGGCCTAACATCGGTGACGTCACAATGTCCTCTTAGCCTGGATCGGTGTCACGTCCCTCGAAATAAAGTGTGCCCCTGACATGGGCGTATCCAGCACTGACCCTTTCAAAACTGCATACTTTATGCCCTGTCAACAATTATATGTACAAGTGTAGTAGACCCGAGGAAAGGTGGGGGCTTTTAATTAATTAGTTCCGGTATTTCATTATTATTTGGAAGAAGGCTCAGTAGGAAAATTATAAAATATTTGATTTCTATTCTAACCTATTGCTCTTAATTAAATTCTAAACACATGTTTCTTGTCACGATTTAATAATGGCATATCTATAAAATATATCAAACCATTCTTATTTTACCTCCCCCCCCCCCCCCCCCCAAAAAAAAAAAAAAAAAATCACTTTCCCATTTTTAAAAAGCGAACAATTGTGCAGAGGCGTCAATAGGCCCTTTTTCAGGTTTTCATCTTCACAATTTGACAATTTAGTGATTTATTCCCCCCTCCCCCTCCTTTGCAGGCCCGTATCCACGGAGGGGGGGGGGGGGGGGGGGGGGGGGAGGGCACGTGCCCCCCACAAAATTCCAAGATCGGTTGAACTATTTTTGACCCCTCCCCAGGAAGTCGATTAATTACATGTATGTGCCCCCCCCCCCCCCCCAACATCAAGCTCTGGCTACGGCCCTGCTCCTTTGCAACACTAATAATTACTCGATTTGACCCGATTTGGGATATAAGGATGATTCCCCCCCTTCCCCTCTCAAAACGGTCCAGTATTGTCTACATTCCAAAAGATGGAGCGCTAGAGTAGGGACCAATCGTAGACCCTACTGCCCTCCTTCGTTCTCTCTCCAAATGAGTTTACCATTTCCTTGATCTTGTCCCTAAATTTGTGGGGTTTTCTACACCTTCAAACACAGAATTGGATTTAAAACAAAGTGCAGGCGCTTGTCAGCTTTAGGTAAAGCCAATGTACCTTCGTTCCTCATTTGCTATTTAACCCATTCAATCTTACCATCTCTCTCCTACCCCCCCCCCTCTCCATTGCTCTCTCTTTAACGATATATCCGGGTATTTGACACTTCATTTCGAAGAAAGAATCCATTATTTCCTTGATCTTGAAGATTCTTGACCCCAAATCTAAGGAATTATTCTAGACCATGCAATACGAAAGTAAATCTAGAACAAAGGGCAAGCGAACGTCAGCTTCATGTGCCTCTACTCCCAAGTTTATCCTCATTTTCTGGTACATTCCACTATCACCAGCCTTCTTCCCTCCTAACCACCCCCCCCCTCTCTCTCTTTCATTCTTTTTCTCCTGCGTCAGTCTGTCCTTATGTTCTTTCATTCATCCCTCTTTCTTTCAACTTCTCTCTCTCTCCTTTCCCAATCTATTCACTTCATTTGTATTTATTTATTTTTGCCATATTCAAAATTGCAATAAACAAAATGGGAAGTGTCAACATGATAATACTAGAAGTTGAAATTTTCTTTATTAGAAATTCAAAACCAATAACAGAGACCATAATGAACAAATACATAAATACATTTAAGTTTTGCATCTTGTAACCTGTGAGAGGTATTACATTTGGGAAAGGAAAAATGACATTGACTTATACATAATTCATATAATCATCACAGCCACCTTACAATAGGCTAGCATAACAACACAGTAAAATATAAAAGTTAATTATATTATTAATGTGCACATTCTCTCAGAGACAAATGAAAAACATCCTAGACAGGTATACACCTATAACATGACGTGTGCAGCGGGGAACTCACTTAGACGAGTCTTGTTGGTTTATCCTCCACATTGCGTTATGTTCATTTGGCCCTCCAGCAGACTGGTCCAATCAACATTTCTATCTCTACAAGATCTAAATCTTTAATCTGAAATCTAAATGAGAAGCACTAGGACCCATAGACTAAAATTACAGAATCTCTCACTTTTCCCTTATCCCACTGGTCCAATGAAAAAACAAAACCATACCCTATCAAAATGTATGGCTATTGGGACATATATGACCAATGGCAAGTTGGATCACTGCCAACGGTTACATGAGGTTATAAATTATAGTTTCCTCATTTAGTTCATTCACTGTCATTTTTCTAACTACACTTTTAATTCTTTCAACTTTATAAAAATTGTGAGTTTAGTATTTTCAACAATTATAATGTCAACTACAATTTCTTATGAAATGTAAAGTAGTTGACATTCTATAATGGATATGTCATTATCCGAACCATTACAACCACATGCATATATCTTAAATATGATGGAAATAAGGCAAGAGAAACACCCTATCTGACAGAAAAATTGAAATAAGTTCAAGAAAGCAAAAAGTTCAGACAACATGACTAGTCTTCGACGTAAAGATGAAACAATTTTCCTTCACAGCATTTACATATTGACACAAATCTAAAACTCTAAAACACTACAAAATCTGTAAGAGAAAAACATTGAAAAGTGGTCCTCAGGACAATCCCCATTCTACGGTCTATCTACACATTGAAATAATGTCTAATTTATTTATTAATATCAGCCATGTAGACAGAGAGCCAGAAAGGCATTAACTGAAGTAAAAATCACTAAATGCCAAACACTTCATATTTCCATAACTATTAAGTTACAAATCTATGTGTTTTGTTTACATACACCTATTTGCCTTTACAGTCAAAATTTTATTTATTTATTTATTTTTATTTATCCAGGGTAACCCCATCAGTGAGTAAAACACTGTTTCACTAGAGGGCCCTGAAATGTATTTTACAGTTATATATTGGAACAATATTGCAAAGAGAATTTGAGATCAAATTGGCATCTTTACTAGAGTAATCAAATGCCTACCAAAAAATAATTCAAAAAATGTTTGCAAAGTATTGCTTTACATTTTGTTAGGCTGGTACTTGCTACACCAATAATATCTATATATCCAACACCACATCTCTTTTCTTGTCTGTCATAGCTGACCCCCCCCCCCCCCCCCTACCCACCTACTTCATGAAACTAACCACAAACCTAGATGTTTGAATAACTACTGTGTTGCTATAATAATATGACTGTATGTGCACATACATGCTTGAATATTGATTCCTTTGTGCAGATAATTTTGTTGTTGTTGAACAATTTACATTTGAAAAATTGTCATGCCAAAATTGGGTGAAGTCCAACACTGAAATTTTGTGAAATGTGCATATTGTGTGCTGTGAAAATTAACTCTGAAACGATTAAGTTCTGGTATAACCGAATTATTTTTAAAACTTTGCTCCCTAAACTTTTCACTTCTCAAAAACATGAACAGAATATACCTCAGTCACACCAAGAAGACCAACACCTGACCAACAACAGACAAAATACATCACCACCAAAGGTGAAAATTCAATCAGTTTGGAGATGGTGTGAGAGTCGAATTGAAGGAATGACTGATGTAAAAGGAGGTACAGAGCACCAAACTGGCAAACAACTACATGATAACATAAAACAAGGAGGAAAAAAAAACACCAAAATTTACCAATTAACTACATGTACATATTATATTCTATGTGTTGTATATTCACTGGGGAATCCAAAGGTGTCTTTACCATTGCCATAGACTCTGGGGAGAAGGCCAGCATTGGGGACAATGTTCCATGACAGGGTCAGGGTGATGTTTTGGTTGTTCCTGCAAAAACAAAAGATATGGTATAATATCAAGGCTTGTCAAAATATTAAAGCCCCAATGCATTACTTATAGCTACATGCGCCCTCTATAGCAAACAATGCCTAATCGGTGACCATTGGTCCCCTATGTTCCCCTTTTTCTTATGTTAATTGGAGCTGATTTGAAGAATAACCACATGTCAGTGACCATGCAGGGATGTCTAATCCCTCCTGGCAAAACTAGTACAGTGGGGTTTTAATACCTTTTTTTAATAATATTGAATGTTTCTGGTATTATCAAGTATTATTGAACTGTTTTATGGAATTGTCGTTTCATTTGATGTTTAGTCTGACTCAATCTCTAGGAGGGCCATCAGCTTGATACAGTCATCAAATATATTGCAATTGGAGTACAGAGGGCGCTATGTGACTTGATACCAAGTTCACTTTTATGAGCTCCAATTTCGTTTAGATTTTTATTGTTTTCCACAAGTTTTGTTTGACTTTGTTGTGCTGTAATACATTGGATTATAAATCTCAGATGTGGTCGGTAACATATGGAACAAAATAGCTTGGACTTGCTCGTCTATTTAAACATTTCCAACAGTTTGTTGCTTACCCATTCTCTATGAGTCTATTCCTACATCCATGCACGGACTGACAAAGTGATAAATTAAATTTTGAGTATGGTTCATCATACAAGTATGTAGAAAAATGTGTTGTATTGATGGATTTATTCTAAAATACTGTATGCCAAAATTAATAGAGACAGAGAAAGAGGGGGAGGGGGAGGAGGAAAGGAAGGAGGAAGGGAGGGAGGGAGAGAGAGAGGGAGGAGGGAGGGAGGTAGAGCGGAATAGGTATATAAGTCTCATCTATACTCACTTCAACCCATGACCATCATCAAAGAAAGGATATTTGGGTTGTATCCTATTGAAATTGAGATTAGCATTTGAAGTCCTCTTGATGATCTTGTCCCAGATGACCACTTGGTTCAGTTTCTGAAAATTGAGTGACAGAGAATGAATGAATCATGAAGATTTATTGTGCTTCATAGACTTGAAAATTAGGTCAATATTCCATTTGTAAGACACTATACAGGGATTGCACAAATTAAGAGAGTACCACAATCCCTCAAAATTTTTGTATAGGAAGAAAGAATAATTAATAAAGCACAATAAAAAAGAAAGCACAAGATGAAACAAAGGACTTAACGAAGGAGCATAAAACCCTCAAGAAAATAGAAGACGCTTACAAACAAAACAATTTGTTTGTTCTTTTAATTAATTTGGCTAAACAGGCTGAAAATTAGACCCTTTTACTTGAACTAATCTTATTTTCAACATATCAGACACCAGTTAGTGACAGATTCTTCTTGACTCATTACATGAACTTAAAGTCGAACAATGTTTTGAATGAAACGAAAGTTGGATGGATGAGAAATGAATTTCCTAAAGGAAATTATGCAACTTTCCCAGTATCAGAAAATGCATGTTTCATCTACTTATGAAGGTTGAAGAAATATTGTTCGATTTTTGAGTGCTCAAATTGTGACAAACTGGACCCATCGTGTTCTGTGACATTCCCTACGAAAACATTTCTATGAGGCTATTTTCATTCATGGTGCCTTTTGGAAAGGCTTTGAGGCAATAAAGATCTGTTACTCTCTGCAATGTATCTATTTTATCCAATGAAAATGTCCAAGAAATATTCAGCTAGTCAGAGTATTCAAAACTGTCATGACGTCATCTCTTACATTTTTACTTGTCTCATACTCGGCTGTAAGATAGATGAACAGCTGTTTGGTGTTCCAGTTGAAGAGAGGATCTAAGTTGGCCTGAAGATCAAAGTAAAATGCTCCTAGATCTGCATTCTCACCATACTGGGTATACGTGTGTCTCCTGCCAAAGAAAACAAGAAAGGTTAAAAAGTTAGGTTAAAAGTAAACAGAAAGATGGAGGGTCTACATGACATTAAACAAAAAAACATCATGAAAATGCCTGTTTTCGCGTTGCCAACTCGATACTTAATTTACTTCAGAGCAATAGCAATTAGTAAAAAAGAGGCACACACAGGGAGTTTACCAAATTTAGCCAACTCCCTGTGTGCACCTAAGTACACTAAACTGATTCCTACTATTATCATAAAGTCAGCATAAAATTAGCAATGCCAAATCCAGCATTTTCGCATACTCCGCAAGTATTTGTGATTGTGGCAGAACATTGGGAGCTTCTTCTTCTTTGGGTCGAGTCTGCCTCCTTCACAGCGTTTGTCAGCATTTTTGTAATGTATATGTTATCAAATGTTAGCTCATTATCATCAGGAATGCCTCAAAGCCCGAAGGTCAACAAATCGCTTTCACTCCAGTCCAGATCCAGTAACAAATTTTCACATTTTTGGTTAAATTCTGATTGATTTCAAAGTAATTTGTAACTATGAGAAGAAGATATCCAGCAAAACCACAAGCGAACTCTAAGATACAAGTGTAATTTGCAAGGTTCGTCATGTGCAGGAATGGTTGATTACGTACAACTTTGAGGTTTTATTTACAATTACATCACTCTTCATGCAGACAATGGTTGCCAGTTAATTTAGTTCAACCAGAACCACAGCCACGCCACCAATTTTAAATTAAGACTTTCACTTAGCGATATCAATATCACTATCAGTATCACATCTCACATTTTCACAAAGCCAATTAGTCTTACACACGCTATTTCAAAGTTCGGCTTAATTGCAGAATCCTCAAGACTGAAGGAAGCAGACTGCACCAAAATGTCATTGAAAACAAATATGTTCGTGTTTAGAATGCCTGGGCAAGGCGAATTAGAACTTTACAAAAATTTGAGTGCGTGGGACCGCAGTAGAAACAGCTGCTTATGAAGATCTACTTACACTGAATGCTTTATTGTTGTGATTTTGACTTCTTTCTTGGTGTCCAAGCTTACAGTTGTAAGAAAGCACAAAAATGTCAGTGCTGCCAATATACTCAGCGTAAAGGCAAATATCGTGTTTGCTCTTGATAATAACGTATTCATTTTTAGTTTTTGCTTCCCAGATCAGTAAGAAATTAATAAGCAAACGTGTATATGATAGCGCGCCCTCTACTGCCACATTCATCGAAGCTTCCCATCAGCATCAGCATCATCATCAGCATCAGTATACGGAAGTGTGAGGTGATCCTGTTGAAACTTCCGGTCGTTTCATTGAGTGGTGCTTCGTTCGAAAAAGAACCTTAACTATTTTTGCTCGCATGGCGGGTGGACGCACAAATAAATTTTATGGAAGCATTTGGTGCTGAGAGGACCATAAACAGACGAAGGAATTTTGACATGATTAAGACCCTAGCTCCCATCACCATCATAAACAGGAAAAAGACAATCAACACAATTGGGGAAAAATTAAAAGTATAGTGTTTGATTACCCTCTCACAGATGTGTGTCCAATCTATCAAATTTAACATCACAAAAAGTTAAGTTTACCATGAAAATACCTAAGCAACTGCTCTGTTGCATCATCAAGATATTGGCACACAAATTTTAACAGAAAATCTTTGCTTTGATGGGAAGATTGCAAAAAACCGTACTTGTTTCAACTCCCCCGCCCCTGATTGTGATGCCTATAATATGTAACTGCAAACTTATTCAAACCCTTATTGAGTTATGAGAAATGCCTTTTTTTCTTGGGCTTGACCCAAAGTTTAAGTTTTTCCCGTTTATCTGAATGCTCCCCGCCCTCTTTCCCTTTTTGCTGCCCACTAGGCAAAGGAACCTTATTCTCTCTCTCTCTCTCTCTCTCTCTCTCTTTTCTCCTTTTATATCAGTAGTTATGTGAATAGTAACTTCCTATAGTTTTTCCTGTCTAACAGATGTAAAAATAATTCAAATTTTTAAAAAATTGATGAAAGAAATTGAATGGCTACCTTTCCATAGTGGTCACTTTTGGCAAGTCCCTTCAGTGGCCTTAAAAAAAAAAGTAGACACATCAAATTGTTGTCATTCCACAGGACTCATAAAATTCAACCACTGCAATCTTTTTTTGTAATTTGCATATACTGAAATATTTATTTAATCTTTTATAATTCAATATATAAATTTTCATAATCAACACTAACATTTCCCAACACAAGAGGGAAAGAACATCACAATTCTTTTTCATACTCCTTGCATACCGTGCTAGTTTTGGCTGTGACAAAAACTACAGCAATCATGAAGAAACTGAATACAATGCACAAGAGGCACTACTGTGGAGCATCAAGAGGTCAATGAACTTTCTACCTTTAACATGTACGTATCTAGAGGTCAACAAACTATGTTACTGATATGATATACATGTATCCCTATCAAGAACTGGAGAATGATGTATAAAATATACTTCCCTTCAAATAGACTTATATGTTGAGTCCTTAAAAACAGCCAAAGCTAGCTTCATTGGAATGGAAGAACATCTGGTTGTTTAAACTTAATATTCTTTTATATTTCTTCATAAGGTTGATCTAACATTAATCATAATGCACTTAATCTTATGTCAAAGTATTTTGCAAGATTCTATATCTTAACATTACAACAGACAGTAATGTTACATATAGGATATGATTGCATGATCGCTTGTCATGGTATGGTAGTCCAAATCACCTGAAAATATGGTTTTATTGTGTATTGTTATAGATTATGAAGAATGAAGAGAAAAATACTGAGGAATTATAAGCACTTGAATATGATCTCCAAATCCAACATGTGGAAACTTTGGTCTTGCAATAAAAGATAAATTTATAACACAGCAAAAACTACCTGTAGAAATTAGCTTTTATACCAAATTGAAGAAAAATAATACAATAAAATCTGTATTAAAAAAAAATAATACAAATTGTAGCTTATATATTCTGATTGACACTCCATACTACACTTTGGTCATATAATATTATTAAAGATGGACTTTCAAAGTGCAAAATAGACTAGGAAGTCTCTCTGTCATATAAATTTTTGTTTGACGCAACAAATGAAACAGTTCCTATACTAACAATGTGCGCAGGACATAACATACTGTACATATTTTTGATATCAGAGACAAGTTTAGTAGAAGTAATTCTCTGATTGATTGGTATATTATATACTAAAAAGAAAAACTCCCAGTAATAATTTTTTTACTGAACGATTCTGTTTAATTTAAAGCTGTTGGCAGCATTGAGGTTGAGAATAAGTGTCCAGACACTCAAACATGTATATATATATACATGTGGGAATCCTACAATAGGCTTTGTGTGCATTGGGGGACGATAGATCATACATGAGGAAAAAGAAAATATATTTTTAAGATACTACATTTCATTTTGCCACCCCAAATTTGTAGGCGAGGAAGAATTAAAGAGTCCCTGAACCATGTAATCTAGCAAATGTTCGAAAAATTGAAACCTACTTAACAAAGAATTTGGAGTTTCTTTTACTCAAGTGAAGCAGTGAATATAATGCTCTTGTTTCTATGAGTGAAAAGTCAGCTAATTCAATGAACCGCCATAGCTAAAAGTCAAAGTAGCTCATAAATTCAGGTAGGAATGACTGTAACATTACTTAGGAACACACAAGTCAGTTGATGCTTTGATCAAAATGGGACACAAACAAATTATACAAAAATCAAAGGTTACTTTGTTTGACATCGACAAGTTGGCAATAATAGATCCAACTAAAATATGAACTACCGGTACATGAACTACATTAGGGTCGATGACCTACTTTCAAATATTACTATCTGAAATTTGATAAGTACCATAACTGCAGTTTCAGTACGACCACCATGATCAATACCAAATCACAAAATGAACACTAGAGTCACTGCATAAAAACAAGATTTCTCTGGACTATTGGGTATCTTAGCACAATAAATGCTCCGATTAACAAGAACATCAATGCTTTTGTTGACATGTCTGCCAATACTGGTTTCATGATGACTTGTCATAAAAGAATCGCAACTTTTCATCAACAAAATAGTACCTCAAAACAACTTGTAGACCGTCATGATATAGCTCACACAAGCCTGATGAAGAAGCGTGAAAGATTATGAGGTGATATTGTTTGAAATCTTAAGATGGCAATGCAAGTGAGAGTACTTCTTAATAACATCAAGATGGATTGCCAGAGAGAGAAAAAAAAGTTGATTTATGAAGGTGAGTATGAATCATTCCATGCCATGGGTAGCAAATCCCTTCAAACAATGTCAATGTTTCCCTTGAGTTTGCAACTTTTTTTCAAATTCTGAAATAAAAGTTACATGCGTTGTATAAAACTTGTTCCTGGAAGATATTCAAAGCTCAATCTAACAAGAAAACAAAAAATTAAACTTAGAATTTGACTCTTGAAGTATTGGTTGCTCATAAATCTGGTAGCAGGAATAGAAATACGGAAATGATACATGGCCAAACCCAACACTTCTAATGCTAGTTGATAGCACAATTCTTATTTTCAACTTTCGAATATCCTCGCAATGAAAATGAATCATTCTTGAATGTACAAATGTATTTCGTAAATCATAAACCTGGTGGCAAAAATGATACAGTTCTAAAGCTGATTGTTAGCGCAATTCTTACACGAAATATTCTTGAACATACACGTGGATGTCCAATCGCAGCTTCAATCCCATATGCCTTGGTAAATCGCCCGGGAGAAATAAGCTCAATGTGTTTCACAGTTTTGTATATTATAACATACAGATAAGTGAGTACCGGTACGCATAGGACCTTTGTTGCATAGAGGTAATTTTTCATCCTCAACTGCTCATCATTTACATGTTAAAGAAAAAAATCTATCTTCTTTGATAAACCACAATTCACTGCACTATATGTGAAGGAGCCATTACAAATTAAACAGTCAAACCTGCACTATTAACCTGTATAGAAAGACAACCTGTCTGACCATAAATAAAGGAACCTGTACATAGCGCTTTGAGAAGGCCTTCGGTCCTGAAAAGCGCTATACAAGAACAAAGTATTATTATTATTATTATAGACACTTTCTGCATATATATTCCACTGAGCTGACCACCCGTTATCAATAGACAATACAATACCAACATAGGAGTTGCTATGTCAGACGTGCTGTAGCATCACCAGGAAAAGTAGGGTAATTTGGAGGTATTGCATGAAAGAATGTAATTCTTTTGTGAGCATGTGCTGAGCTGGGGGAAGTTACACCGTCTCTTGTTAGCTCACTAATGATTGACAGATGATGTCATTTAGGGAATGAGGTCTGGGGCATTTTTTTAGGGAGGAGCTTAGCAGGTTTTGAAAATTATTTTTAAAAATGTTTAAAAATCTATGAAATATATCTAGATTTTTAGTTAACAAAATATGAGTTGTATGCAGCCCTGCACATCAACAGGAATCAACTTATATTTGGAATTTCACCCGACCTTTAAGCAGTCTTTATATACAGGTTTCAGTGTATTTTAAAATGCAGTGGCAGATGATAATAAGATGAAGAGCACTACAAAGTAACTGTAGCAAATGTTACAGCAGAGCTTGGGTCACACATTAAAGTACATTTCTTTCACTTGAAAGAAGAAGAAAAAATCCAATAGTACTACCAAAGTGGCGGCCAGTATACAAATATATTGCAAAAAGATATAAAGAATTGTAACATATAAATTACATATTCTATTCAAAATTTCTTTGCTATTAACCTTAACAAAATAATAAGAAAGAAAATCTCTATGAGATTTAAAAAAAGATGGCACTAAATCTAAATTCCAATGTATCAACTTTAGTATCAGCAAATGGAATTTATGGAATATAATAGCATATCTGAATATTTTTTTCTATTTTTCATCTTCTTTTTTTTTTATAGCATCTCTTACTTTCTACCACAAAATAGTTCTGTGATATACACATTATGTACATTATATATAGTTAATTACGTACAATAAGTCTGCATTCTAAAATGGCTGAAAAATTCCATAAATATGTACATACTCGTTGAATGAGAAATAGTTCATTCGCTCCACATGTACATATATATATATTAAAAGTACACAATTGCATGTATTTATTAAACAGTGCAGTTATATGTGTCAATTCATTCTCAAAGTTTTGATAATTATATTTGGTTTATTTCATTCTGATTGTGTCTTCCCGCTTAACTACAAAAAATGTATGGAAAAAAGGATTATAATAAAACAGCTTGTACGATAAATAAATGTCTGACAGTGAATCTTGGAATTAACTACTTAATGGTGAATGTGCACAACACTGCTCCTGAGACTAGTTTATTATCATTTGTAACATGTTAAACAAAACATCTAAAGAATATCTCAGACAAAGCTCTATCATATCCTTGGGTTTATATCAATCGTGTCAATCAACCGTACACTTTACTATTCACCACAAGGTTGTTTAGGGATTAAATAGACCAGTAGATTGAAGAAAGGGACAAATCAACAGGTTGAAATTATTAAAAAAATTGTAGACTTCCACTTTTATCTTTTTCATGTGATGATGCTCTTTCCGAATTTATCTGATCGCTTGAATAATCCATCAGGTAGACTGTTGAGGGCAGCAACCACATGCTGAAGATATTTCCCCCCTCGTCTATAATGCTGATAGTGATGCGTTAAACACACTCCTTTGCTCATCATCAATAGAATATCCAAGGGTACATACATCAGGGCTATGTCTGATGGCTTTGAGACATCTGTAGTTCAGTCGAACATGCTTCACATCTCGCCGCACAGGTGTGACATCTGTAAGAAGATGCTTCCAGGGAGGGTTCTTTCCATTAGCAATCTTTCTTCGGACAAACTAATCAAGACTTTGGTCTTTGAACCGTCCTTATTGTCTGTCTGTTCTTTCTTTACAAGTCTCTTGCCTGGTAGAAGAGAATGTACCCAGAATCAGAGTTCTTTTGCACCTCGGTGGCCAGACCGTAGAATTCCTCGATACTTGAGATTTCAATTTTCTGTAGGAAGAGAAAGAAAGACCGACATTGGACACATTAGGGAACATCTAATACCCGGTAATATGGTATGAGCAATCAGGTTATGAAAGAATGTTTATATTTTTGCAGAACACATGGTAAAGCACAGGAAATATATTCAGTAATTATCACAAACCATCTTTGGTTGGTCACACCTTAGTGTTATCATAAGTATAGTTGACAGTAAAAGAAACATGACAAGAAAAGAGCTGCCAAACTTGTGCGACCAAGAAAAGGAATCGTGATGGCAAAAGAAAGGAATTTCAAGCAAAAAAAAGGAATTTATAAAAACGAAACTTACAACCACGCGTGACACACTGTTTTTTTCCATACAAGCAGGTAATTTTTTTGATGGTTATTTTGGTATTATTAGCATTTCACATTTTTTTGGAGAATACTTTTCTCTTCAAGTTTGTTTTAAAATTAGTTTTCTATTGAATTTGTGATCAAATCAGATTTTAGGGCAGTGGTTTGACGTGCCGTATGTAAAAAAAGATAAATTAAAAAACTTTAATTATTAAAAAACGTAATACCGTAATTTGGAGGAAAAAACTAAGTAATTCCGACAAAAACGGAATGGTTGGCAGCTCTGTAAGAATCATTATCACCATCATCATCATCTTCCTCTTCATAAATTACTACATGTACCATCACCACCAGCATGATCACTACCATCATCATCATCCTCATCATCATTACCACACCATCATCACATTACTACAATCACAACCCATTAAAAAATATTCACCACCACCATACTCATCATCATTATAAACTCCCCCCAAACCACCACACCTCTAAACACCACCACCACCACCACCTCATCTCATAACCACCTCATCTTCACCATTATCATCTCCAAACCACCATCAGTACTACCACACCTCAAAACACCATCATCATCACCACCATATCACTCACAAACACCATATCCTCCTCCTCTTCCTATTTTTCACCTATACCATGTCATCATCATTATCATCATTTCCTAACCACCACCTCTAATGCTCCAACACCACAATCGCTGTATCACACCCACTTCACCCCCCTCCTCCTCCTATTTTCTTACCTCTACCATGTCATCATCGAAGAGAAGCCAAAAACCAAAGCTCTTCACAATGGTGATGTAATGACCCCTATTTGGCCCACTGTGCATAGAAAAAAAGAAGAAAATTAGAATATGAAATACCCCAACAAAAAATTCTATCATGAATGTAATCATTCACCTCTTCAGTGCATTGGAATCTTTCACTGAGCTAAAGCTCACATGCCTTTGGATCAACAAATGTATGCCTCATACTGTGGAACTTCTTACATTCTATATACAACAAATAAAACTTTTTAAAACTTTTTTCTTCATTATGAACCCCCCCCCCCCCAAAAAAAAGTAAACAGGTTACTAAGGTCATAGTGTCATTGTGACAGGCATCATATCACATTTTCTTTTATTAGGTCAAATGATTTTTTTTTTTTTATACAAACTAGTAATTTAGCATTTAATGATATTATATAATAATAATAAATTTGCCATTTAAAGTTTAGTAGACATTTCACAGTACAAATGAAAATCAATTGTTTTATTTATAAATGTACTGATATCTTACCTTCCACAGTGCACAACAACAGAAACTAGATCATACAGCTTATCTGGTGCCTCAGCATCGTCACTCTGTAAAAGGAAGGACAAATGAACAATGAAATAAACACATTTTCAGGGGGTGTGTCTCATCCTCCAATCTTGCTCTATTGTGATGACCCTGAATGAATTTCCAATCTAACAAAATACTCACTGGAGCTGGATAATACTGTGTGACCACTACCTGGTACCATTTCCTTCATCACAATGACCACCACCACCATCTCCAACTATACTCTACTTGCTTTTGTATTCTTGATGATTACAACTGGTATTACTTCTACCACAACCACTACTACAACTAAAACACTACCTCATTCCTCCATCCTTGCTGTATTAATGACCCTGACAGAATTTCCAATCTAATAAAATGCTCAAAGACATTGATAAAGTTTTCTGAGATCAACCTTTCTTTCATGTTATAGAAACACTTGAGGACGCTTCAAACATAATACTGAAATTTATCATTACTGAAGCTTGTTACAATGTTAAGCCAAGTCAAATAATTCAATGATAAGATTCTGTTAAAATTCTGTGAATAAGATTCTGTAACATCTCTTTGCACTCCCATATTGCTTTGGAAATCACCCAAGAGTTACATTATGAGAACCATACTTAGCATACATCAAGGAATAAATCTTGCCAGGTACCGCTAATTACACCTGGGTCCTTGTAGGAAAATAATAGATGATTTTTTTTCTTGTCAAAGGACATTGATGACAAATTGGAGCTCAAACCTACAACTTTCGTTCCCCAAATACAACTGAAATACGATAACTCTGGTGCATACCATACATTGTATGATTGCTTGAAAGCTGCTAAGGAGAAGAAATGAAATATGGAATATAAGATGACTGCATACATACCGTGTTCATTAATCTTAGTTCTAATGGAAACACGACTCGGTAGGAAAGCTTGGTATATCTATGTGATTGTTCCATGTACTTGAACCGTTTTAAGTGTAGCGCCAACAGTTGAGGAAGTTTCTTCACTTGCATTCTAAAATCGTAAAGATCGGAGAGTTAAGATTACTAAGCTTACAATCATTCAATAGAAGAAAATTTTGAATAAGAAAACACAGGTTATCTACTTTTGGGCCCGAAAGTTTACATACTCCTGGAAAAAACAAACATTTTACTCTCATTTTCACCAGGAGTCACATATATAAATACCTCAGAGTGATTAGTGATGTACTATATACATTAAACAGAGACCAAACTTGTTTATCTTCCTGAATTGAAAAGTTAGCAGGGATGAGTAAAGTTGTAATAATGTTTTATAGTACTTCTGTTCTCGGTCTATGTAAACTGTCGGGCCTAACTCTCATTGTTTATGATTTTTTTTTATTTATTTATGTATTTTTTATTTTTTACTGGTTATTGCTTTTGGACAGTCTTGGTCTTGCACACTGACCCTTGCCTCTCTAATCCACAACCCACTCCTTTTTTTCAGGAAATGGCCATGCTCTATTATAAAAAACTATAGTTGAAAATGTTATTTATATATACAGAGAAGAAGGAGGATTGCAAATTAATACATTTAGTAACATATTGGGAGATAGAAAAAATAACTTCTAATTCTAATGATATGGGTCAAAACATTTCTTAAAGGATAAAATTGAATGGTGCTGAAAGATTTAACAAGTTTTTTTCGTATGTCTTTACTATACAGGCTTCTATTGAGCAATGCACATGTCAAACAAAGCAAGTGTAATATTACATACTAACAATTACCACCCAGCAGAATTAACAAATCACCATCTTGACGGGCTTCTCATTATTATTAATGAATATGGATCTACCTGGTTTCTATTTAAAAAAAGGCATATCCTGTTCCGCTTTTGGAGGAGTTGGAGCCGACTATGAACACTTTTTAACCAAGCAGCTTCTGCTACCGTTCAAATTTGTCAAATTTGAGAGGGAAGACAAGAAAGCTTTAATAAAACTCACCTCTTCTGTGCTTCTTGTTTGCTACAGCACGTCTCACAGTAGTATTTGTATTCATGGCACAATGTTTCTGTATTGCTGAAACCCCTGCAATCATAAACAAAATATGAATGTGTGTAGAATTATAATAATAATCTTTAAGGCCCATTTTCTACTGAAATTCAAACCCGACACTGGGCCTAAGCTTTTGTTAAAAATCAGATTTTACAAAAATATGTTAGGTCTAAATTTTCCTTTGTTGAAGCATGATATCAGACACTACTGCATTTGTAATATATACAGACCTTAGTGTTTTATTCATTATTTCCATACTACAAGGATACGAACTTGTGTGCATAGCAAATGGTTGAGAACGCATACATGGTTAGCAGAGGTACATATCTAAAAATATTCATTTCAATTTTGTATTTTTCTGTGGCAACACCTACAAAACATATTTCAGACAGTATATCATATAAATTGACATAAGTAGTATGTTATAATTTTCCAATATTTTTTTCTTTCTATCCTTTTATTGCAAAACTGCAAAGTTAGAAACCTGTAAAGAATTTGACTTAAATTCACGTTCATGATCTACTGCTGGGCAAACAACGGTCTGATTTTTTTCATATTTTGATAGTACCGATCAGTTCAAGAATGTACACTCTTCTCATACATTCATTTACCTTAAACAATGTGTTATTGACGTGTTCTGTTCCACATCTACAGACAGATCTAGGAAGTCCTCATCTTTGCTGCTCACCTGTAATGAAGAGAAAGTTAGTATATAAGTAGATTGGTCTCGAAACTAAAGAAGCACATATATGTCAGGCTACATGTATGCATAACAGGTAAATTAAAATGAAGACATTAATGTATATATTTTCAATTGAAATGTACCAACAACTTTGTAAAAGTTTTCCACTTTTATATACTTTTTTGTAGAATCTATACAATTGTATACAATATATCTCCCTTTGTTAACAATCATGTTTGTTAATAAAGTGATATTGAAACCAAAATAGACTAAAAAACAGTCTTCATTTCATTTGCCTAAAGACGAGGCATGAAGACTATCAATCTTCTGCATTTATATGAAATCTTACACTTTCTGTCGCATAACAACGCATTGTGCTGATGTTGAGGAAAGGGAAAGCACTTTGTTAAAATAATGATTTAACGAGGAAAGGCAAAAAGCATTAGGAAAGTCTCAAATACAAGAAGAAAAAAATCTATTTCAACAATGGTTGCTATGGAATGACAGACATTCATAGCGAATGTAGTTTTGAAATACTCTGGACTCATTGAAACTTATTTCACCAAAAGGCCACACTAAATTGCTCCTGATCGCTGGTCCCTGTAGCTCTGACAGATCCTTGAGGAATACTATCAAGTTCTCAATGCCAACTTGCAAACTCTACCAAATGGCAACATCAGGAACCTGTTTCACAAATCCTTTTTTCAATGACAAATGACAAAAATCAGTCACAAATCTGCTGATAACCAATCAGAAGCAAGGATTTCACTAGCTTATAACAAAAACTTTCATTTGTCATTGATGACAAGTTTTTGTGAAATGGGGCCCTGACCATAGATGGAAGCAAAACATGGAGTCCACTTACCCCTTCGCAGCAGAGACATCTTGTCTCGTTTGTTAACGTTCCTTGGAATATTTCATGTATCCACGTTGGTTCTGTCTTCATGTCATTGTTGTTTCCATTGATGATCCCGTTAGGGGTGCCTGGCTTGCCTTTACCAGCTATCTTGTCCGCTTTCCTCTCAGCTGGGGGATAAATCATTCATTTTTTTATCAAAGTTTGTTTGTTTTTAACATGTTCATATAATGTCATTCATCATGCCAAATTGCCAATGTACACTTGTAAACATGGGTAATAGAGCTTCAGTGGCTTTTCATATACTATGATATTTACAAAATATATTTTTGATTGGATTAATAAACCATTACTGAACTTGAACTTGAACAATCTAAAGGAATCCTTTTAAGAAAGTTTAATCATGTGATTAAACTATACATACCCTGTAGTTGTTAATTGCAATAATGAAATTAAATAAAATGTAAATACATGTAATATGAAGTAGCCTTTACACTGGAGAAATGGGCAAGGTAATAATAATGTCCCCAATCAACCATATCTCCTTCAACCAATCATAACTTCACAATAAACAGTAACTAATAAATACTTCAGTAAATATTAGATAAAAAGCATAGTATGATGTAACTAACTGCAGCAAGATTGGAGATACTATGTATTTTTACGATTGATATTAAGTCGACTTGTTACATGTTTGTCACAGGGCCCAGATGAAATGGATTGCAAATCCGGTATGACAGTTGCATAATATTTGTCTTGATATGTAGAATTGGTATTCACTCTGAATAAACAGTTAGCAACGCTCCACTGTGGGACACAAGACCAATCAAAGCCTTGATATTTCTTTAATGCTAATGTTTCATCTTTAGCTCTTTTAATCAGATTGCATCTGTACCAAATTCTACCCCCCCCCCCCACCCTCACCGGCAATCAAATCATACATGTACACAGCAGGTTTTACATTTTTTCCATTGTATGTAACAAAGGCTTGGGCTTATCCTGAATGTGACTAATAAAGATAAGCATCGGTACAGTGCACATAATAAATAGGACAGGTATTGGGAAAATTTCAGTTTTCAACATGTTGCCTAATGGAACATTGTCAAATGAATATATAGATTAAGGAAATGGAATGAACATAAAAATTTATCTACATGAATATGTGAAGTCCTTATCTGAAATGGAATGCGCTTACAACAACACAGAATTTCTCTGCAAGATCCCTTCAATATTTTTTTTTTTTTTCATAATAAATATTCATGTTACGTTTTATTTTTTAATGATGTTCATGCATTTAACAGTGTGATTTACTAGAAACTATATTTATTTGTTAATATAGACATGAATAAAGGATCACACTGAACTGAATTGAATTGATAAAATATTGAATGATATTAATTAATGAATAAAGGCTTATTAACTTAATGCCATGGTAAGCCCCAGGATTACAAAAAGATATCTAAATACAGAATGAATGGCAAGTGGAGATGAAAAAGGTTGTTGTCCAAAACAGTGTTCCAATGTGTACTTACTAATCTGTGAGTTACAAGAGATATTAACAGATGAAGTGTATTACAGTTTAATATATCTTTTAAAAACCACTGCAGTTTACCATGGCTTATGTGAATAATCCTTAATAAGGTGTTAATTATCAAAGAATTTGGATGAATGACCTACCTTGTAAGAGGTCTGCTATCGTGTTGAGTAGATAAATGAGGAATTCATGTGCATCCTGTTGCATGTAGTTGTCAAATACCTCTGTGAAATGAAAAATAAACATATTAAAGGTAAAGACCAGTACTAGATACGCCCCAATTTCAAAAAATGAAATGGAAGCTCCTATTACCAATCATGTAAAAGAATATATTTCAACTAATACATGATAATAACAATTTTGCCGGGAAACCGCCTACTAATTGATATATTTGCTAAATTAGTTTATCTATTGTTATGTGAAAGATGAACGCACGTGTCGCGCATGTGTGCGTAGTGCCATATACATCTTTCTATGTACAGTGCTTGTAACTTTACGAAGACTGGGCCAAATTTCTTATCATTTTGATGATTCCAGAACCTTGCAGTACACAACAATACTTATATGCTAGATGATCAACCTTTTCTGATCAATTCCACAACGTTTCTTTTACAATGCAATCGCATGACCATAACTGGTCTTTATCTTTAAGCGCTGGTTAGCAATCAGAAGAAATAAAATTTACTTGCTGTGAATACATGTATATTTATTGTAGAGAAGAGACAGGGGTGCAGAACAGCAGGATAGTGCTGTGTGAACGCCATCACTTTCATCATCACAATGGCCACCACCAACACCATCTCCAATTACACTGTGTCTCTTTTAAATTTTAGATGATTAAAACTATGAATCTACATTTGCCACACTGGACCGAGGTGAGGTAAATGGGTACCTGGCAGGAATTAATTCCCTGAAATACTCTGTACTGGCAGCTAGGCTAAAACCAGGGTAAATATTAACTTGTGCGCCTTGGACTAGAATGGTCTAGATAGACGGTGCTATATAAATGCCTATTATTTTTGTTGTTATTATTACCACAATCACTACAATGACAATTCCTACTACTATATTTAACGTCACCTCAACATCTAGTTCTATCACTAATTTACTATCACAACATGGTACAAAAAAGCCCCCCAAGCCTCCACCCCCTCTTCAAACTAGAAAGGGGGGGGGGAAGGGAAGAAAGATAAGAATACGCACCATTTTCTTTCTTTAACCTGGCCACAAATTTCTTGGGCGCCACCACGCCCACTTTCTTCTTCTGTGTGTTGATGCTGTTGAAGAGGTCAGAGAGACAGGTCAAGAGGGTCTCCTTCTTCTTGGGCGCGGTCTTGTAGGCCAGGACCCGATCCCTGAAGGGCTTGCAGAAGTACAGTGCCTGGAGGACCGAGTTGCAGTAACAGGTGTTTCCAAACTGTGGGGTCCAGAGAATAGAGACAACAAAAATTGCCAATTACACTGTATATTTAATCAATATAGTTACTGACTTCAGCTGAATTCAATTTCAAGACATCGTCATTTATAACTGAGAAGGAAGATCATATACACTCTTACATTAGTACGTGTATAAACACATATGACATCAAGCAAAAGCATGTACATGAATGAAAGGAACAGTTCAGGAATGTAAATTTAGTTACAACTTACATTAATAGAATTCATGACAACAACAAAAAATCCTAGACATGTAACATTACCAGATCACTTTCTATCTTTTATAATATATTTGAGATAAAATTAAAATTTCTGCAAAAGATATTTCCTGCACTTTCTTATATTCATAAAAAACTAGATGGAATTCGTCTGCGCGCAGTCGAAAATGATGCCTCCGTTATAGAGCAATTTTACAAACCAAAACAGAAAAAAAAAATTGAATTCACGTTCAATGGTAATCCATTGACAGGTTCTCAGAATATTGTGATTACAAGCAATTTCTCATATACATATATGACCCTTTGATCTTTGACCTCATGACCATAAAATCTACTCAGTTCATTGGCTCTGCAAGATGTTCTGAGTTAAATAGTAATCCATCTGTCAGTTCTAATGAGAATGCGTTCACAAGCTATTTTTGCATACATAATGGGCCCATGACCTTTGACCTTTGACCTTATGAACCAAGAATCTACTCAGTTCATTGGCTCTGCAAGTAACAAACATGACCTAATTTTGGCATGAATCCATCAATCGGTTCTTGAGATAACGCGATCACAAGCTGTTTTTGCATTCATAATGTGCGCTGTGGCCTTTGACCTTTGACCTACGTGCTCCAAAATCTAATCAGATTGTCTTCCTATGGTGATACACACTATCATTAAGTTTGAAGTTTAAATCTCCAGTGGTTCTTGAGATATCATGATAACAATCTCAATGTATGGAATTTCATAAGTTGACCTCTGTGACCCTTGACCTTTGACCTACGTGCTCCAAAATCTAATCAGATCGTCTTCCTACGGTGATACATACTATCCTTAAGTTTGAAGTTTTTACATCTCCAGTGGTTCTTGAGATATCATGATAACAATCTCAATGTATGGAATTTCATAAGTTGACCTCTATGACCCTTGACCTTTGACCTACGTGCTCCAAAATGTAATCAGATTGTTTTTCTATAGTGATACACACTAGCACTAAGTTTGAAGTTTAAATCTCCAGTGGTTTTTGAGATATCATGATAACAATCTCAATGTATGGAATTTCATAAGTTGACCTCTGTGACCCTTGACCTTTGACATACGTGCTCCAAAATCTAATCAGATCGTCTTCCTATGGTGATACATACTATCCTTAAGTTTGAAGTTTAAATCTCAAATGGTTCTTGAGATATCGCGCTAACAAACTCAATACAAGGAATTTCATAAGTTGACCTCTGTGACCTGTGACCTTTGACCTACGTACTCCAAAATCTAATCAGATCGTCTTCCTATGGTGATTAATACTATTCCCGAGTCTTAAGTTTAAATCTTAAATGGTTCTTGAGATATTGTGATAACGGTCAAACGGGACGGACGGACGGACGTACGGACGGACCTACGGACGTACGGACGGACGGACGTACGGACGTACGGACGGACAACCCGAAAACATGATGCCTCCGGCACCACCTTCGGTGGCGGAGGCATAAAAATAAGGTCATGCTACATCTGTAAAACAATTCTAGCAATAAAACTTTATGAAGTGTAGGCTGGCAGCATAAATAAATTAATCATGAGATCTTGAAGAAGAGATACTAGTGTGATGCCTGAATGATGAGATATACCATTATCTGTTGCTTGAGGCTGAAATACATGTACATGTACATCTACACTCACTTGTGCTTCAAAAACTACATGTGTGTATCACAGATGTTGCAATTTCCAACAGCTTGTATAGACCCCATTTTCAGTTTTTCATAATTATCTATTATGTATACAGGTACTAGCAAATTATGAGAATTCTAATGTAAATATACCTTGTATATACCAGTAATTTGTAATGTCAATAATATCTTACTTTCATATCTTGATTTATATAAAACCTATCAAAATACTTGAATGTACTTGTAATTACAATATTTACTGACTTTATATGGAGGCCAACTTTAATGCGAGTGAAATTTAATATCATTGAAGTAAACCTACATTATACCAATTCTATGCATTTTTATGACTCACAAATTCAATAGAAACCTAACCTATATATCCCGATGTGTTTTGCACATCTGCAATGTGTAAAAAATCTTTCAGTACCGGTAAACCTGTAAATATAGTCAACCGCGATTTAACAATAAAATGGGTAATGTAACCATCTTCTTTTATTATGTGATGACAACACTACCTGCTATTGTATTGAAGAGGTTGGTATGATTGGCAAAGTCTCATATCAATATCCTGATAGGTCCCAATAGGGACTAGTTTACATGCTCAGACTCTAATAGGACACTAACATGTAAACACTATTCCTAATAAAAGAAAAGTCCAACCTTATATTAAATGGGTTTTAAATGAAGCAGAAAAATTGGAGAGACAATTCAGTGAAAGTTTGAGAAAAACCGGACAACAAATAAGAAAGTTATGAATCTTTCAAAATCATGAAAATCATGGAATCTTTGAGACAAATTGGCAATGCAGTCAGAAATTGTGATGTCATCCCATCACAATTCACCACTGATCTGAATGACAGAATGACAGAATGACCCAAAATCTCAAGTTCTCTGAATGTTAATGGAATAGACGACCTATCTTATATGGAAGTGCATGAAAGAACACGTTATTCGTGATGTATGATCGAGATAGGCATGAAGAATATATATCTTTTGATCAAAATGGAATTTAATGACATTTCTTGCATTCAACAGAAGATAAAATGTGAGGGGGTGACATCATATTTAGAGACCGCTTTGCCAATTCAACTCACAGATTTGAAGTATTTCATGAAAAGTTTTGGATTTAAAAATCCATATCTTTCTTAATGTCCGATTTTCCTCAAACCTTCACTGATCTGTTCTTCTCATTTTTCTCCATGTATTCAAACAAAATTATTTTCAGGGTGGACTTCCACTTTAAAAAGCTATGAACTAACTAATCAGATGTTCAGTCTAAAGGGCATTAGTGCCAAACTTTTAGAAAGAAATGAGAATAATTGTATAGCAAAAGGAGCATACAGACTAGAAAACAACATGGTGTAAAAAAACAAAACAGTGTGTATTTATAAAGAAACAAATTTAGAAGAGGTCAAATGACATAACTGCTGGCCAATCATCGGTAAGCGATTATATAGGCCCCACTCAGTTGTACAATTTTCTTACGATACGCTAACCAGACTAGAGCGGGATGAAGATTTTTAAAAATCAAGTTTAAGTTCAAAACGATGAATTTCATTATATATCGTTTCATCAAACGTTTCTTTACACATGTCTGATGACTGATGCTCAGACTACGGAAAAGGCTATTACCTTATCGTAGGGCTATAAGAGTATCACATTTGTAGCTACAGTAGTTGCCTACAATGAAGCCTTCCTCTCGAATACAATGGTTGTCTCGACTGACTGGGCTCCAGGATGTTTATGAAAGGTAGTGTGGCAAGCCTCAGGACTTCAAAAATGGAACATTAATTGCTTGTTCTTGGCCTTGTTCCATTAGGCCCTACGTGAAGAGGTCAACATCTACATTATGTTTTATAGCCTACCTGTTCCTACATGTACATGTACACACATAATTTGTGATACAGATACAGTTGACAACGATTTGTCCTGATTTATGTTTCTCGAAAATGTGACATCTTAAAGCCCCACTGCACTACTTACAACTATTTGCGCCCTCTCAGTCACCAATGTCTAAGCGGTACCAGTTGATCCCCAATAATGCTCTTTGTCTTATGTTAATTGAGAGCTGATTTGAATAGATAACCACCTGCTAGTGACCTTGCAGGGAGGTTAATGATCTAATTCCTCCATGCCAAACTAGGGCAGAGGGGCTTTAAAGCTTACATCTAAAAGTATTCAACAAAGGCCCTAATCCAACTATTCCACCATTCATTCTTGAGTTATCAAAAACACAAAAAACATCAAATTTACAAGGGGTATGAATGGTTTAGTTGTTAACTGTATATGCAAGTTGAATTTGAATGTATGTAAGAAAGTAAATAAGATTTATACATTTGTTTGAGTGAAGAAAATAAAAACCCATTTCACCTGTGAATCTCATCGATTTAACAAGAAATTATAAAATATCTTTTAAAACAATTTTTCTGGTATGTGATCTATGTAAAGGAGCTGCTTCTACCGGTATTTAAGAAATAAAACATGAATCTGATAATAACAGGGGCGATAGTGAGCACTAAAAAAATAAAAAAATAAAAAAATAAAAAATTCCCCCCCTCAACCACGCCCCCCTTGAATAAAAAAGAAAAGAAGAGGATTCGGGGGGGGGGGGAATGGCATCTAACAACATTCCCCCCTTTTGAGTAAGAAAATTGGGGGAAAATTGGGGGAAAATTGGGGGAAAATTGGGAAAATTGGGGGAAAATAGGGAAAATCAGGATAAAATCAGGAAGAAAAAAAGAAAAAAAAGAAAAAAAGAAAAAAAAGAGGGAAAATATCAGGGAATCAGGGAAACCAATTTAAATCGGGTAATAATCAGGCCTGTAATAAAGAAAAGCTGCTATACTGAATGTTGTTCAATGTTCATAGTGTTTCTTAATACCCTTTTCACATCTACCAAATATTGCTTAACCCCGGGAAATAGGTGGGGCTAAGGGGGCTCTTAGCCCCACCAATTCCTTCCTTAGCCCCACCAATTACCCGGGGTAATTTTAGCCGGCTTTCTGTTCACATTACGTTTTGCCAAAGTGGGCTAACCCCACAAATAGTACGGGACTATCTGGCCCTGCAAAATAGCAGGGTTAGCCGGGCAATTGCGGGGTTAGCCGGGCAATTGTGGTGCTAAGCTGCGTAGTGTGAATCCGAACCGGGCTAAGGAGAAGCGGGGCTAAGCAACAGCCAATCACAGACAGCGTGGTCGTGTGGTCGTGAATTTGCATTTATCGCGCGCTATGCATGCAGTTCACGTTACGCATGCATGCAGTTCACGTTACGCATGCATGCTCTCTGTATTGACGTTTAGTCTTTTACGAGGCAGAGGTCATTATGAAAAAATCTTTATTATAAAATTGATTTAAAAAAATAGTGAAAGAACATGTAGCTCATAATTTTTTATTGCATTTATCATTATCAGTCATATTTACGTAGGTAAATTTATCAAGTGAATTGGATGAAAAATGGGTAATTGATTTGTATCGGTAAAATAATAAAGGGAAAACGATCGGAATTGAATTTATATTTATATAGAATTTAGCGCGCGGGTTTTTCCCCTTCATTTAGTCGAAAGGCGCATGCGCGGTAGCAAAAGCATTAATATTCATGAGCTATCGAATAGTCCGGGGCTAAGGCGAACGTAGTGTGAATCGCGTGAAATTTCTTAACCCCGGCTAAGCACATAGTCCGGGGTTAAGAAAATAGATGTGAACAGCAAAAAAAATAGTATGGGGTTAAGGATAGTATGGGGTTAAGGATAGTCCGGGGTTAAGAAAAATAGATGTGAAAAGGGTATTAGAGTCTTTTTACCAAATTTCTCCTTTGTACTTCTTGTCTACCTGTACACTAAATTAATTAGGCCTTCTTAAATTGCCTGTTTGCCAATGAAACTTGACTCCCACCATGAACTCTGACATCATGAGGTTGTCAAAATTAAACTTGATCATTCTCTACCTCTACAAACTAGATATTTACAATCACTCTCTCAAACATTATCTGAGTCACACAAGTGGGGAAACAAAACCCTTCTTCTTGAGAATGTTGTGCAACATTTCATAACAGAAACCCCATGATCTCGGGAAACCATTTAATGGTAACCCCTATTTAATTATTACCGGAATATTCAATTACATATAAATAGCTTTAACAAAATTGAATTACTAGAAACTTTAAATGTACACTTTTAGAAAAACACACATGCATACACAAAAACAACAATAAACAAACAAGAAACGATAACAACAATATTCTTCTTAAAGATATTTGAGCAACTGAAGTATAAACAAACAATAGCTATCAAAAGAAGTTACCTGGACAATTATAAAGGTTATTTACGAAAATGATATGTAAGTCATTCATAATCATTAACACAGTGATTATTTTCTAGTTTTTTATTTTTTATTTATCCTGTTGATCAGATTTATTCCAATACTTCAATTCAGTTTAAAAGCTGAATTTATTATGTGTATAGTGTTACATAATTTTTGTTCATGAATGTGCATGAAGACAGCTAAATTATATACATGTACATATAACTCAAGGAAACAAATCAAGCCAAATCAAAAACGAAAATCAATATTGTGTATGATTATTATTTGTTATCACCAAAATGTATCCATATTTTGTAAATTTTTATTCTATTTATGTTCTTTGTAAACTATGTCTAGCCTTCATTTTTCATGTGAGCGGAACAAATCTCCATGTTGACCTTATATTGGACAAATACATGTAGATATGTTTAATTGAACTGAATTGGAAATGGATTCTTATAAACTCACGTTGACAAGTCCAAAGTAGTGCTCACTGGGTGGAAACTGGTCTGACCCGATCTCCTTCTCCAATGCGGATGCATTAGCTCCCTAGAATTTAGACAAATATAAAACAAGAAATAGGAGAACAGAAGATAAGATAGAGAGAGAAAGAAAAAGGGAGAGAAAGAAGGAGAGAGAGAGAGACAGAGATGAAACCAGAGAAAGAGAGTAGAAAATTACAAATTTATTTTAAAAAAATACAGGAAGTGTCATCACATTTCATTACCAGGTCAGACATACAGATAGGAGTGAACCCTACCCCCCCCCCAAAAAAAAAAGAAGAAGAAGAAGAAGAAGAAAGAATTAAAAAGAATTATAATTGACGGTAAAGACAAAAATATTTAAAAAGTATTTTACAATGTATATCTCTCAAGCATGTCTCTGAAGCACTTAAACAGATGTACGTACATGTATGTATTCCGACAGGTATGTAATTCTGGCATACAGTACATGTTGTATTATAATTTTCAAGCATACATTGCAAATGAATTGAACATGATGAGGTAAGCAAGATCAAAAATAATAATAATAATAGCTAGTTCTTACATGTATATAGCGCTTTTCAGGACCGAAGGCCTTCTCAAAGCACTTTACAGATAACTAAATTCTTATGCAGTACCATGTACATTGTAACTATCAATATGATATGGGTAAAGGCATAAGGAAACCTGTATCTAATTTTTTTTAAATGTGAAAATTTATGATAAAATGATAAAACTTTATACAAATAACTAGACATGTTGTGTAGCCATTATAAAACAATATACACTGTATGACCGAGTGACTTATTTGCCTTGTCACTGTAACTCATTTTGAGCACCTCTCATATTTGCCCCAATAAATTTGATTTCTATCTATATCCTTTCCTCTATAAAACAAACATTTAATTATGCATTCTATTCAATTATAATTATAGCACATACATGGTAGAGGGTATGCTTTTACATAGTGTTTACACAGCTCAATTGATCGACCAATCTATCACCTGTGACAGGCAGGTAGATTTATTGAACTACTGGTGCATTTACATGTACATGATTTCCTTTTATATTTTCCAATGGATGTATCATGTATTTTTAAAGTTTAAATAATCCAGTTTGTACAGTCATGCTCTTTCAGAAAATGAAGACAAAATTGAGAAATTCTAAAAATTGATTTTTATGATGTCACAGCTTTGGTACTATACATGTACCTACAATGTATGTGGAAATGTGGAATTAGAACATGCTGCAATTAAATAAAAAGTAATAAAGACATCAAGTCTAAAAATTTGCATTCAAGTGATTACAGCTCTGGAATTGGGTGAGAAATTGTGGATATATTAACAACTTTGCTAATAAGAGAGAACTTGAATTCAAGAGAAATGTAATAAAAATCAGCTGATTTATTATTTTTAAAATTCTTTAGACTCTACTCTTGCCAGCAAATTTGTCCATATATTTACAATTTCTCATTCAATTCCACAGAAAATGTAATCACAAGGCAGAGGACAAGGTACATCACTGCATGTAGATTTCTCTCTCCAATGCTTGTGGGATGGGAGATCTATCAATTCATAATATGTTAAAAATCTAATTCTTACTCAGTGTTACCCACTTTCATGGATTTAAAAGTTAAAAACTGTGCGCAAAGTTTGTTCAAATTTAATGGTCACACTACCAGTACCACACAATAATGTAGTTTCCATATTGCATTTTGCCTCTGAACATGACATGACCTAGGCCTATTTGTAATTTCAAATTTGCATCTCATGAGGCACGACTCGCAACTTCACGGACTTGTCATTATTTAATATAAAAGTACTAAAACAAATCAAGTCACTGAATCGGTTTGTTTGTCATACTATAGTAGATCTTTTGACCACCCACCCATCATTAATGTCAAATGTTGAACCTAGCCCTGGAATCAGTGATCACTGTATCATCAAAGCATCAGTATCAACAAAGACTAAAATAGATGCCATGTCTCCGCGTAAAATCTATTTGTGGAAAGACGTCCCAGAGGAAGAATTCAAGACGAGGGCTTCCACGCTTCAGTCTGATTACTTCGATTGTAACCCAGAGAAGAAAACAGTAGAAGAAAACTGGTCTTGGTTCCGGAATAACCTGTCCAACATCATTGAAGATTTAGTTCCCACCAAGCTAATTAAAGGGCGTATGCGCCCACCATGGTTTACTAGCAAACTTAAAAGACTTTGCAAGAAAAAGGAGAAACACTATATTAAAGCAAAAAGATCAGGAAATGATAAGGACTGGGAACTCTTTGTAAATACCCGGAAAAGTACTGATAAAATAATTAGACGTGCCCACAGAAACTTTGTTGCTTCCATCATGGACTCTGACAATGTAAAATCCTTTTGGCGCTATGTAAAATCTAGAAGGAAGGAAAACACAGGAATTAAACCACTCAAAGTCCCAGGGGAACTTCTAACAGATGACCTGGATAAAGCACAAGCCCTCGCAAACCAGTTCAACAGTGTCTTCACACGGGAAGACGCCGAGATGACACCCAAGCCATCCATGAAAGCTGATCCTTTCCCTGAAATGCCACCTATTATAATTACGGAAGAAGGAGTAAGAAAATTACTACAAAACATCAACGTAGCAAAGGCGATTGGTCCAGACAACATACCCAACCAAGCCCTTAGACTGGCAGCATCCGAACTGGCAAGAGTACTGCAACACATCTTCCAGCTTTCATTAGACACGGGGGAACTACCATTAGATTGGAGACGAGCAAACATCACGCCAATATATAAGAAAGGGCAAACAACTGACCCAGCAAACTATAGGCCGGTGTCCTTAACTTGTACCTCCTGCAAGCTTCTGGAACACATCATCGAGGGTAATTTAATGAAACACCTGTCCAAGCATGATATTCTCTCAGATCAACAACATGCTTTCCGTAAAGCGAGATCATGTGAAACACAGTTGATTGTGACCAACCACGACCTAACTAAAAACATGGACAACAAACTCACAACGGATATAGCTATCCTCGATTTTGCCAAGGCTTTCGACGTTATGCCTCACCAGCGTTTGCTCATCAAGTTAGAGCACTATGGCATACGTACTAAAACGAAAGACTGGATCTCATCCTTCCTCACAAAGAGATTCCAAAGGGTGGTGGTGAATGGAAAGTCATCTGACTGGTCCCCCGTACTCAGTGGAGCACCGCAGGGTACAGTACTCGGCCCCCACCTTTTCCTTCTTCACATTAACAACATACACGATGGAATATCCAGCACCGTCAGACTCTTCGCAGATGACTGTCTTGTTTACAACACCATCAATTCCCAGAGAGATGAAGATACCCTCCAACAAGACCTGCATAAACTGGTGAACTGGGCTGACGAATGGGGCATGAGATTCAACCCGTCTAAATGTACCACTATGCGGATTTCCAGGGGAAGAAACAAATCACACACCACATATAACATGATGGGAGTAACTCTTGAGAAAACAAAGGAAAGTAAATATCTAGGTGTCTACATTCAAAACGACCTGAGATGGAATGCACAGGTAAACTATGCCAGATCCAAAGCATCAAAAGTACTGAATTTCCTCAAGAGAAACTTTCACCATACCTCGCAGTCAACCAAGGAGAAACTTTATAAGACACTAGTCCGGCCTCACCTGGACTATGCGACGTCAGCCTGGGACCCGTTCACTGCTAAAAACATCAAAGACCTTGAACGTGTCCAAAACGCCGCAGCCAGGTTCACTACATCAACTTATGGCAGGGACACAAGTGTTACGTCGCTCAAAGAATCCCTTGGATGGCTGCCGCTGCAAGTAAGACGACAAGCAAACAGATTAACCTGCCTCTACAAAATACTAAATGGGACCATGGATATCGACCATCGGAAATACATCACCCCAAAGACCCACGGCAGAACACGGGGGCATGACCACCAATTCCAGCTTAATCACACGAGAACTGATGTCCATGCAAACTCGTTCTTCCCAAAAACCACGAAGGAATGGAACAACCTACCGTCTTCAGTAATTTCTGCCAAAACTACCTCTGCATTCAAAGCAGAGCTGTTCATTTTTTTAAAACCCACAAGCCAAAAGTAACTGACCACTCAAAGCCACACCTCCAGTTAAAATTCCCTAGTGGAATGTTCCGGAGGAATCCAATCCAAGATCCAAGATCTATAGACCTCTACATTATTTCTATCAATAATGAACTTGATGAATCTACACAACACACATGTATTTAGGCCACAATGGGGAATAGATCAAAAGCAAAGACCGGGATACAGACAGTTTACACACACTAACACAGTCACAGTACCCGCCTCGGATCGAGCCCCCGCCTCCCTCCATCCAAGCACACAGCCATAGGCACATGCACAATCAACGCACGGCCGGAGAGCCCGACTTTCGTCAACACAGGTCACACGTATAATTTTCGCATACAACACCGACAAGCTTACGAGCCCGGAATACTCACCATTCTTGAAACTAGAGAGAAACACGAATACATGTACGTGTTGCAAATTTGTCTCTCTTTGGAGCATGCAGATTTACGGAGGTCTTAATTCTTTCCTAAGCATTATTCGATGTCTCAGTAACAAGTTATCTCGGATCGTTCCAGTCGATTCTTGCCTTGCAAATAATGTTGACAAACTCTGGAAGAGAAACGTTAGCGTGTAGAAATATCGAAGGGCTAAGGAAGGCAATTAGGAATCATTTTGACGTTGCCAAACTAATGATTATATATGATCGTACTAAAATGGAGTTTTACTGTTTCTCATCTTCCTGACGTATATTTCAGCCCCAACCAATCATGGTCCGACTAAATTTCTTTTTAACATACGGATTAAGATACATACGGATTTTGATTAAATGCTGGACAAAGTAAAAATACAAACACTCCAGTCACTAAAATATCACTGCCTCCTCTCAAAAAGGAAAGAAAAAAGAAAAAAAGGTTGACGCTGTTGTATATATCTATATGTCAGATCTAAATTCATATCGTGGCTGTTGTTGTTATAAATATAAGTATTGAGTCCATTCAAGACAGGAAATTCGAATCTGACAAACCTATTTCTCAACTCAAGGTATTCGTTATTATTCTACAACAACTCATTAAATTGGCAACGTAAGCACATTTGAGTGTGTAAAATCTGTAAGTGCTTCAGCGAATGGCTCTTGACCCTCACCACAGATATACCGACACACTGAAACTGGATAGGTACCTTTTCTGAAGGCGAAATGCGAGTTGCTAAAATTCGCTATTTTTGTAATATTAAAGAGCCTTGTTGAACTTGAATTCGATCGGGAAGGTGAAAGATAGCTTGTTAAATTAAACTTAAGAGGAAATTAAAAGAATACCTAATACTTGAGAGTCAGAGAAGAAAATTTTTCTGCCGGTTCACTACTTTTTCATTTTGCATATAGGCCTACTTATGTTTTTGTACGTTAGAAAAATTCTATAAAAACATGAAAAACATTGCTAAAATGGATCTATTTTTTAATTTATTTTTTTTAAATGTCGGCTTTTGAAAATCTTGAAAAATAGCCTGTCAGGGAAAATGTACCGAGCGGCCATTTTGAGCAGCTGTTTTGAAAAAAATAAAATAAAAGAAGGGCCTCCTCCCCTATTTTTCGAACCACATGCAATCCGGCTGAGTTTAAAGGTGTCTGGGGGGGGGGGGGGGGTAGTGAGCACATTTTTTTTGGGGGGGGTCGTCGAAAATTCAAAAATTTGCACCCCCCCCCTTGAGCGCTAGGCCCAACCCCCCCCCCAAAAGGGTAAAAATCACGTGTTTTTACTTGATTTTTTTTCTCAAGGGGGAGGGGCCCGGCCCCCTGGGCCTCCCTGGATCCGCCCCTGGGGGGGGGGGGGGGGAAGGGTGCGATTCTTAAATTTTCGAGGCCTAAAACAAAATGTTAATAAATAGCTCCTTAATTACCCCCCCCCCCCCCGCTCATTTCGCCGATAATTTTTTTCTCACAAACTCTTTGGCCACTCCCCTGCCGCCGGCTGGATCCGCCCCTGCCCTACATCACAATTTGAAGTGCCCATACGTATAGTGATTAGTACAACTTTCAACAAATCATAACTTTCTTATATTCAGTCAGATTTTAGTGAGACATTCATCAGTTTGCTTCTCTTATTTGTCTGCGTTTAAGTTTCAGAGTAGTGGTTGGATTTCCCTTTAACGACACTCAGTAGTCAGCTCTCATGGGGAATTTGACACCGTTCGGGTGTTTACCCAATAACAGGTTTTGTTAATCACCAGGGTTGGCCTTCAGTTTTATGACCATTAGACCTTATGTAATGCTTTGCTTTTCCGTCACCCGAAAACTCTCGAGTATTCTCCGAGAGATTGGGGGGGGGGGGGGGGTTCTTGACTGGCCAACGGGTTTGCTGTGTGCAGATTTGTACTCCCATTAATGGTATTTCCACAAAGTCTGGTGTCAGTGAATTATGGCCTTCTGCCGGAAACTGACGAGTGACTCCCTTTAACGCCTCACTGCACTACTTAGGCCAACAAAAAAAAAAACATGTTTAGCGTCCTGCTTTTTTGAAAAATAGGAAGGAGGAGGCCCTTTTTTTTTCTTCTTTCAAAATGGGCTCGGTACATTTTCCCTGCCCTGCCAGTCGGGATATTTTTCATGATGGCTACCGACATTTTTTTTTTAAAATAAAAAATAGATCCATTTTAGCAATGTTTTTTCATCATGTTTTTTTTTCTTTAAAAAAAAAAATCTAAAAAAAATCAACAACAAAAATTTCAAAAAAATAAAAATAAAAATAGGAGGCGGCCCCCGAAAAAGGAAGCGGGCGGGGACGCTAAACATGTATAGCGCCCTCTATATAGCAAACAATGCTGAATCGGTGACCATTGGTCCCCCATGATCCTCTTTTTCTTATATTAAGTGAGAGCTGATTTGATGAGATAATCAGCTGTCAGTGACCTTGCAGGGTGGTCTAATCCCTCCTGTAAACTAGTAGTTTACACCAATTAAATGTTATTCATGCTTTTCACCTTTTCTTTTGTCCTAAAGTTTACTTTCAAAGTAAGAAATATGATTTCATGTTAGCGGGTATGTCTTCATAATTTTGACAGATTTCTACCACTCCCCTTGTTTTGGGTGTCTGCAAATGGTTGACAAAGTACCTCAATCTCTCTACCGATCTAGAGCAATTTCAGCTCAATGAAGTAAGTCACGTGGTTCTCATCATTTCCGGTTCTCTTTCGTGCACCGACTGTCCACAGGTTAGCATGAAAAAACAAGACCACTCTTAAATTCCTAATATAAGTCATTATTGACTGTTTTATGATCACAAGTAATGAATCTTTATTTAATTTAAAGTAGTGCGAATGTGTAATCTTGGTTAGATTGTATCAAAGTGCGCTGTAGATTGATAAAAGTGTGCATAAAGTTCTCTATTTTTTTGCGAAGGTGCAAGGCCACGCGATAGAATGAATTGTGGAGACTGCAGGCAAGTGCATGCACTGCCGCCCAGCGCTGCCAGCGTAGCCGGACGGTCAGTCGGGTTATGTTTCTGTGTGCATGTGATTGCAGTGTGACTGAAATGAGTGACGGAAAGAGATCGATAGACATAAATTTCATCTTTCCTACTTGAAACATGCAGCACAGCAGTTTGGGATTATAATTTTGAATGAAGTTAATTAATAGTTAATGCATGCAGAAGTGGTAGAATTCCAGATTAGTCAAAATGGCAGAACCTTCTAAAAATTAAAATTAAAAATAAAATGCTTCAACAAAAAAAGTCAGGGTGCTTGTTCAGAAACCTATCCAAAATTTGAGCCGTAACTCTGGCATGGAGATACCCTAGAAATCTACTAAAACATACCCAAAATGAAGTAAATATTCATTAAATGTCCAAATAAAGATCATGCGTTAAAAGTTGTTAGTTATTACCTGTTTCGTGTAAATTTTCTTGTTATTTTTGGAGTATTTTTTTAATAAATGTTGATAGATCTATTATTAGTAGACCTATACACTTTTGAGACATTTGATCTGAGACATTATGGTAGATAACTTCACACAGGCGCATGCCCACCCGCAACCCACCATCGGTAGTATTGTGCAGCAGTTTGCCATGAAACCTGTGAAAAAGTGTATACTAATATCAACGATTATCCGAAATATATTCCAAAAATAACAAGAAAATTGCCCCGAACACACTCTCCATTACTCATAATAAAAATTAGTCCAAAGTCAACTTGTTATTCTTCAACAAGAAGGTAATTTTTGATCATTTAGTTAACTTCTGTTATATTCATAGCAAAGAATGACGAGGGAAATAAAGTTTTTGATTTGTTGCAATCTACTTATCAAGCATGACAGGGTCAGATCCCAGGTTTTGTATTAGAAAAAAAAAGGGGGGGGCGTCCAACATTCCAAAACTCTGACAAGCAAAACAACGAAAAAGGGGAATGAATCTAATTCCCCCAAATCTCTGGCAAACTGTCACCCATGACATCCCCCCCCCCTTTTGTATAGAGCTGTCCTGCTCAACTTAATCTTTTTGTAAAACTGATTTACAGGCATCATCATGGTGAAGACAAACACCACAGGTTACCGCCGCGGTACGCGGTACATGTTCTCTAGGGCCTTCAAGACCAATGGAGTAGAAAAGCTGTCAACCTTCCTGAGGGTGTACAAGCGTGGCGACTATGTCGACATCAAGGTGAGTCAAGCGACGGGTGTTATAGGAATACGAATTTTACCAAGAAATGCTGATTGTTGTATGAAATTTATACAGCATGATTCACTTTCGGGGAGTTTTACAGGAATAATCTGATAATACAACTGTTTTCAATGCCCTGTTTTTAAAATGATTGATCTACCAAATCATCAGTCATGTAATGATGTATAATGTTGTGATGGGGTTGATTTTTACATTTAGGTGGGATAAATGGAAATTGATGAATTATAAATTTAGTATACTTTGGCAATTGAATTGTGTGAAGAGAGAGAAAATGGCTACTTTTTCACTAAATATTAAAATCTACTTTTAATTTTTTTCTGATATATTCATAGACAGTTGCTTAACGTTTGCTCTGCTATTGTGAGCATACTGTTGTACGGTTAGGTCTGTGGGGTTTAGGTGGAGATGAACCGACAATGACAAGTCTTTTTTCCTTTGTGATATTTGAACACAGGGTTGTGGAGCCTTCCAGAAGGGTATGCCGTACAAGGTATACCATGGACGTACTGGTCGTGTCTTCAACGTCACCCCCCATGCCGTTGGTGTGGTTGTGAACAAGCAAGTCAGGTATGTGAGCAAGCACCTAGCCCTTTGTGCTCCAAACATTAGATTAGAATTTCTACAAGAATGCTTCTTATTATCAAACTCATAAATGGTGCGAATTTGGGATTATGGACGGCGTAAAATGGGAATAGTTTCTCATTCTCCCATAACATTAAAACAGGAAAGGCAAAAAAGAATCCTGTTAATTTTACATGTTCACCTTTTTCTTGTTTATCTTTACTGATATACAAAACTGTATTGGGTAGATCATGTCAAATGTTCGCTGTTGAAATTGCAATATCTTGTTATGAAACAAGCCATGTACTAAAGCAGTTACATTCTCAACTTCATTCCTTCCGAGCATGAACCCACCAACTAATTTCAAATTTGAGTAGCAATATTTAAGCACTTTGCAAAATTGTTTTAACATTGTTAATTAATGTTAATGTTATGCATTATCTTATTGCAGGGATCGCGTCCTGCCCAAGCGTATCAATGTTCGCATTGAGCACATCAAGGCATCCAAGAGTCGAGAGGGATTCTTGGAGAGACGGAGGACCAACGACATCCTCAAGAAGCAAGCCAAGGAGAAGGGTGAATTCTACCAGCTCAAGAGACAGGTCAGTACCAAAAATTGTTTAAGATAGCCGTTAGAGATACATTTTTGAATGAAGTTAAAAGTTTAAAGGGAGAGATCTCGTAGATTGATTCTTAGACCTTTGCAAGGACTTGTTTGCATTAATGGCATAAAATTATTGTTTCAAAATGTCTTTGTGGTCCATCTACCAAGTTTTCTTCATTCAAACCTGATTATTGTTAGTGGTGCAGGGCTCTCTTTGTGGTTTTATGTAGGGCATATTGATACAAATTATATATTTTCTGGGCAGTAGCATAAGACCCAACTTAAAAACTCGCCCTGCTTTACAACTTGGTACTTCTCATTGAAATCCATATTGACAACAATGTAAGATAGTTAGAGAAAATGAGATTTTCTGCCTTTCACAAGGCTTCAAGTTCAGAAACCTTGGTTTGTAGCAGAGTGAAGAATTTGTTGCTTTGCTAGTCTCAAGCCTTACTGCCAATGTTTCTTCAGAATGGGTCTTCCTTTTAATCTGCTATTCTGTTGTAGAAAATGGAAATTACCCTAGTACACTACCATGTCGTCTATTTTCTATTTTCTTTTCTTTTCCGTTTGTCCACAGCCCACCCAGCCAAGGAAGGCTCACTTTGTTAGCGCCAAGAACAACGCTCCCCAGCTGATTGAGCCCATCCCATACGAGTTCATTGCATAGACCTGGACGACTGAGGTGCCTACAGTGATTCAATAAAGTGTACAAAATAATATAACTTTTTGAGGCGTCCAGTTAGAGTCCTTTGCGTTGTGTTGTGTATGAAAAAATGGTTTATGTTTTATGGTGAAGTCCACCGCACATCTTGAGCTGAACAATGATTTTGGTAGAAAATGCAATAAGATTAGAAGTAGACAAAAAAGTAATTTCTTTATATTGATTCTCAACAGTTATGAAAGAAAAAAAATCAAAAGTGCAACATGAGCCTTGCAGTTACACAAAATGTGTTATCTCTTAAAGATCTTTGACAAACTTATTACTGGTCTGGCACTTGTTTGATTTAGAGCCGACTGGCCTTTTCTCCAAGTGGAAGGCTCACAGTGCTTCACACTTAAGAGTTTAGACTGTACTTCGTGCTTTTATATGATGCGACTATTTGGCATCTGAATCAGACAAATTTGCATGTTAAGATATACATATGTAGCTCTGAAATGCAACTTTTCAATTTGTAATGTTGCATTGCAAGATGTGCAGTGGGTTTTAAATGTGATAAGAGTTTCCATGGTAATGGTGATGATGATGATGATGGTGTATGTACAGGGAAATCCTTGTATTGTACAGTTGGAGACCCTCAAATACAAACATATTACATTACATGTACTAGATAGTAAAACAAGATGTTTGAAGATTATTGATTTGCTATAGATGACTGTCAAAATGGAAGTTGCCTGTGAAAATAATGGGAAGGGGGTAATGACTGTAATAATGCTCATGGCAAATCCAAGGTATAATGTGATCCGTCTCGTACATTGCCAACACCCAACTACATAAAAAGATTGTTACAATCACTGGATCATACAAAATAACAAGGAAAATTACAATTTCTGTATTAATTATGCTTACTATTTGTGATACTTTGTATACAATAGATGCACAGGTTGGAGTGCGCCGATAAGAATTGTGTGCTCAAGGTATCTTTGGATGGTTTTAGACCGAATGTTAGTGTAATGGATGAAAACATATGTAATGACTTACCTTCACATGAAACCATATTTTAAAAAATGGGATGTAGTGGTATTGGTTGGTGATATCACATGCATTCAGTATTAGTAAAATTATCTACACAGTTATTGACAAATCTGATTGCAGGGATTCTTTTTAGACTTTTACCCATCTTGTAATAATGTATGGGACACTTAGTGATCAAATGCATGGACCTTGGACTTGCTCTGTAAAACTGATCTGTGCGTTGGTGAAATTATAATGATGGAAATATTTCATTACGTTTGACACAAATTTTTCATATCTAAAATCGAACATGAATGTCAAGTTATTTTATGGCAATTGCACTGTTAAAGAAACTGGAAGAAATTGGAAAACATTGCTTCTGAAGGGAAGCCCCCCATTGATCCCCCTGCCTCCACAAATATCAGTACATACCATGAGGTGGAATCATCCAAATAAGAAATTGGCTCGATCAGATGGTTAAGCACATGCACATGTGGGACTACACACACGTGGAACAAAAGTTTAAGTTCAAATCTTTCAGCTATTTCTTGAAGAGCTATCCCTTCAGGAGACATTTCTATATTGTATTTATCCAAACCAATAATAAAAGAAAAGCCCCTTTTAACAAGAATTCAACCTTCTCCATGTACCAATGCTAACAGATGTTAAAAATAAGACCATAGATACAGAGTGATCAAATTCATCTCGACTTCTGAAAACCAACCCTGTGAATCAAAACACACATAATTCTATGAGGATTTCATCAGTAACAAAATAAGGCACATAACATACCAATAGGAGTTTATCATGAGAAACAAATTATTTGACTGTGATATAAAACACAAAGTAATGTATCAACAGTATTTATTGCCTCAAAACAATCATCTCATAAACAAGTATACATTATATTTCATTCATTTATCACTGAATTGTAAGTGCACATGACATTCAACTTCTATAATTTCTTTGATTTATATACAATGGTCCGTAACATTCATGCATTCCAGAATTACAGAAACTTCTCAAACGAAGTACATTTGTCAAATTGTGCGTTTTGAAGGAATACATTTATAGAGTGAATGCTCGAGGTCATTACGATACACGACCTACAAGTCCAGGGAAATGTTTCACAAAGATTTATGTCTAGACATAAATCTTTGTGAATTGCCCCTCTGCCTAAATAAACTAAAGGACATCTATCATAAGCATGAGGGGCTTTCACAATTTTGTATCTTATAACACTCTATAGAGACCTTTAAGACTGCAACCAAAAATTTTCATCTCTAGCCGTCGTTCATTTTCAAATGATATTTTTTTCTTTTTCAAGTGGTTCACAATGTCATGTGTAAAAAAGGCTTTTTGCATGTTCCTTCCTTCATTAATTTTCAATCCACTTCACAATTTTAAAACAAATTCTATACTTTTTCCAAATCAATTCAGATCAAAATAATACAATCGAAATCCTGCAATCTTGAGAGAAAAAAACAAATTAAGTTCTAAATTCACATTTCATTGATACAGTTGATATATTTATGAAGTGGACAACTCTATTAAGCATCTCTGACCTATGTCCACTTCATGTGGAATGTACAAGTAGTGACTTGCACTTATTCTGACAGCAGTTGTGGGATAATCTTGAAAAAGAGGATTGACTGACCACTATTATCATCCCAATAAAAAAATAGTTCTGGTCGACGGTCATAGCCAGGCAAAGAATACTGTGTACACTCTCTTATGGATCACAGGAGTACAAATGCTAGTCCACTCCAGGGAATATTCATAGGATTCGTAGGATAGCGCTGTGGCCAAACTGCTGAACTGAACAGAAGTTCACCGACGTAGCACTCCTGAGCCGAAACAAACAAATATCTCATTCCGCAGTTTGGTAAAATATATACGAATACTGGGTCGACGTATTGTTTGAGCTAAGCCAATCACACATGTCAGATTACAAGTCATTGTTTGCAAGTTAAAAGTTTTTATTTTCATCACTTGATAAAGAACTGACTTCACGGTGCTACTTGCAAATACAATTTTGCATTCTCACATAATGCAGAGAAGTGAAATGGTGATATTTGCTAGTAATATATAGCCTCTAGAATTCTTATAAAAATAACAACTATTCTGTAGTCTGTGCTTCCCATTCTGGTTTGTTTTTCAAATGCAATGGATCGTAAAACATCAAGAGATTGGTGATTTCTTCAAGATGGGAAGGATACATTACCGGTAATATCAAAGTGATGACATATCACACACAAACTATGGATATCCATAACAAAAAAAAACATGCACATCTATGGAGTTTGACTGGAACTAGCAAGATTTACTGGTTACTACATCGCCCATCTTCATACACATCATAACCTGTTACTTTTGAACAGTGAATTAATGAATTACCCTGGAAAATTATACACAGTCTAATGCCCTATCATTACCATTATCATTGAAATTCTTGGCATTTGCATTGGTATTTCTTTATAAAACCAGTAAACAAATATTTTGAAGACTCCAAGCCAATGAGGGGAAGGTTGCATTGTCTTTCGCTGCTCCCAAGTATGAAAGCCTATTGCACACCTAACTGGACTATAATTAATACATTTTGAAATCAATTACGATAGGATGAGATGTGAGTTTTAAAAAAGGTGAATTCTTCCAGATTAGGGTTACTATTAAATGCTCATATGAATAGGAAGAGCAGAAATGACAAGGTATCTAAAGCCACCAGAGTCCTTAAACCCGAAGATGGCTTTGTGGTTCATTGCTAATGGCATACATGACTTCTTGTTGGTGGGCAGTTATGCAAGAGGTACAACCATGAAGTAATTTGCAGCTGAGAGAGCTTCTCTCTATCTGGAAGGCCAACAACATACTGTATTTTCAGTACAGTGAAAGCTTATTACAACTAACTCTGTAAGGCCAGTGAAATTACCTCTGTATGTCAAAAACTTCTTATATCAGGGCCTTACACAATAGAATCCCAGTAAATGGGAGCAGCAAAATTACCATAAGAGGGGAGTTTATTATAACATTATTCATAATGACCAGAATCTCCTATTTTCAAATGAACAGTTAGGCCCTCAATCTGAAAAAATCTCACATCGTAACATCTCAAGTACTCAAACTATTGCAATTTCTTCCGAAACCTAGTCGTAGTCAGGATGCAAGATGTACAGTCCTTTAACACTGAATAATGAATCACATGCCACTGTACGCTGGTCCACCTCCAGCTTCTGGGACCACCCAGTTAATGTTCTGACTTGGATCCTTGATGTCACAGGTCTTGCAATGGACGCAGTTCTGAGCGTTGATCTGCAGTCTCATCGCTTCTCCGTCCTCTGTCGGGACGTACTCGTAAACACCTGTAACAAACAGGAAATTTGATAATGATAATAATATTCCGCTTTTATATAGCGCTTAAACATCTATGATGTCTCTAAGCGCTTTAAAGATTAACTATTACCCCAGTCATTGGATTCAATGCTTGCCCACACACACTGAGTGCACAATCTCCACTCCCGGGGGAGTATTCCAGTCAGGTGTTACTTGACGCTCAAAACCATGATGGATGATAAAATACTAAAAACAATGAAGAATATTTTCAACAATGCTTGTTTGATTTTGATTTGGTAAATACCTATCTACAAATAACTTGTGCGGCCCAGCTTTTCTCCAACTTTGATGGACTTGAACTTGAACGTGAAAATATAAATGAACTATAAATAAACTATATTTTTTACTGAAAAATACAGGATATCCCATTTAGAGAAAAGTCCTATCGGCAACAAACCAGGGACACTCATTTGACTAGTCAGTCATTACTCTACTTACGCCTTTCTTTGACTGCAAGGTGTGCCATGTTCCAGAAGACCTGATTTCAATCTGACACAAAATAACAACTGGCCCTTCCTTCTGCATTTTGTTGCAGCTGATCATAGTCCTTCTGATTCAGTTGGCTCAATATTAATAATAAGTAAAGTAGATAAAATGTGATGCATACAGTTTGTCACAATAATTTATTTATTATTTTTTGCAGGGAGGGGGGGGGGAATAATGACTGTGATGTAGCTAACTTTACCTGCTGGGCAGAACCTCTGTTCAGGCCCATCATAGATGGCCAGATTCCTGTTGACTGGTACGCTATCATCCTTGAGAGTGAGATGGGCTGGTTGGTCTCCTTCATGGTTCGTACCACTGAGGGCGACAGAGCTTAATAGATCAAAGCTGATCTCATTGTCTGGTTTGGGGTACTCGATAGCGGTACACTCAGCGGCAGGCTTGAGGGAATCTGCGTCTTTACCTGCAAGTAAATGGAAGTGGAGGGGATAATGATACTTTTTAATTCTTTGAAGGGAATATGTTCCTGAATCGGTCATTACAATTTCATATAGTTTTTCTTGAGACATTTTATGTATCATAGTATATACCGGTATGTGTGTGCATATCCATAAGTATTCATATGTGTAACTATTTTCTGGATTTGCTTAAACACCAACTCTTTTTATTAATGTGTTGCTGACCAAACCTGTTTATAGAAATTTATTCACCCAATTGTTTCTTGCATAAAGTCCTACTATGCAAGTTACCTCAATATAACAAAATCAATTATGCTATAGCACTGCAAAAGCATTCAAAGGGGTGATCTGACATTTACCTCCAAATTTTGTTATACATAGAGTGATGGATTGTTCAGTGTATTGGGTATTGGGGCCTACAGTTAAGGTTAGATTTACTGTTTGTTACTATAACAAAATCAATTATGCTATAGCACTGCAAAAGCATTCAAAGGGGTGATCTGACATTCACCTCCAAATTTTGTTATACATAGAGTGATGGATTGTTCAGTGTATTGGGTATTGGGGCCTACAGTTAAGGTTAGATTTACTGTTTGTTTGGTTAGTGTGAGATATCAACTGTGGTGCAACTGTCACCAGAACATAAGCTATACAATCAATCAGAAGGAATTGCATTATATTCAAATATCAAGAACAAAATGGCTGCCATTAGGATCCCATTAGGGGCCTGCACCTACCATGATGTTTAAGTGTCCATGGTTCCTTTCCCCTCCCTAGGAAGTAGAAGAGTCCTGTGTACATGACCCCTCCATAGAGACCCAGACGACTGCTGAAAGACGGACGGATGTTCCTGACGGACACCAACTCCTTCCACACCCAGCTACTCTTCAGTCTGTCCTCATACTCGGTTACATTGATGCCTGTGAGATAGATTGACAAATGGGAATTGAATTCGCTGCACATCTTGAGACTGAACAAGTGTGTCATATTGATATACTGTAGATGAGTTATTTTCATTAATTTCTGGTGACAAGCCACTCTTTGAAATCATGCAGCATGAGCATTCACTCAAACAAGTTTTAACATACAACTGATGATTAAATAATATGTACAATGTTTAGTTCTTAACTCAAAGAGTGACAATGGCTGAACTACTGTACAACTAGAAACCAGAACCTTTCTCATGCATGGGACTTGCATGAAATTAGCTAGTGAGCCAGATTCTCGTCTAAAAAATGGTCAATGTAAGCAAATTAAGAAGGTGTTTGGTTTAACCATCACTACTCCTACTTTGATAGTATGACAGCAATGTATGTATTTTAAATTGTCATTTATGATCAGAATAAAAATATACATCCTCCTGTGAGTTAAACAAACTTTGCAAAACTTAGGAAGATCAACCATATCTACAAACTCCAAATACCAAACATTTTCTGAAACTCCTTATACACACCTGCTGTTTCTGAGGAAGCATCTTCCTGAGTGAGACGATCATAGATAGCTTCGGCTGCTATGATGCCGCTCTTCATTGCATTGTGGGTACCCTTGATCTTAGGTACATTCATGAAGCCAGGGCTACATCCAACGAGCACACCGCCGGGGAAAGTCAACTTGGGTACTGACTGATGATAGGAAGAGAGGGGCAAGGAAAGACATGAGATAGATAATGGATACCGTAAGCAAAGAAAAAAAAGGCGAAGAGTTGTAAGTTCATTAAGAGCTCTGTAAACTTAAAAAAGCTCTGGGAAAAGAAATAAAATAGAACCATGGTAATATCAAATTTCGAAATTTGAAGACCAAAAAGCTTCTGTGAATAAAATTTTCCATTTTTTTTTTTACACTGTGATCGATGTAGAATGGATTACCAGTGGAGGATTAAAGAAGATTTGTACAACTAAATATGTGTACATGCTTTGATAAAGGACTTCTGTATTGCTATTTTTCAAACACTTACAGTAAATGAAATTTCAAGAGTGATACGTGGGCTTTCAAAACTGTATTCATTGTGACTTTTTTAATCTTCCAAGGGAACATCTTGTGTTTGAAAAAAAGAAGAAGAAAGAAATGGCTTTTTCAAATATCATATGTATATGAAAGGAGTTAAGATTTGCTTTTAACATACCTGAAAAGCTTCTTCATTCAGTGCATTCTAAAAATATGTTTTGTTTCAAATGTAATATGTGCTACATAAAGTGGGTTGTCTTTCATCAAGAAGACATCCAACATCAACTCCCACTACTTCAAGAACCTACCTGAAGCCCTCCTTCATTGAGTGCCCTAGCACCATAAGCTATCCTCTTTCCACCCTGGAAGGTGGCTTTGACGGAAGGATGATGCTTGAACCTCTGGAACTCCCTGAATGGACTTAGGTAAGGATTGGAGTAGTCCAGCCCTACCACCAGCCCTGCTGCTACAAGGGGTGCACCCTCATCCAAGTGGTAGATAAAAGATCCACCATATGTGTTCTTGTTCTAGGAGGGAAACAAAAGAAATTGGATTATGAAACAAGTTAAGATCTGGAGAAGTACTCTTTTTCCCCCCAACACAATGCCTCCATGTGGAAGGATATTTCCCTTGAAGGCATCAGTAGCAAAGATTGCTCTGGAATGTTTTGTTATCTTAAAGCCCCACTGCACTACTTATAGCTTCTTGCGCCCTCTATATAGCAAACAATGCCTAATCAGTGACCGTTAGTCCCCCATGGTCCCCTTTTCCTTATGTTAATTGAGAGCTGATTTGATGAGATAACCACCTGTCAGTGACCATGAAGGGAGGCCTAATCCCTCCTGGCCAAACTAGTGCAGATAGGCTTTAATGGAATCAAATATAAAGATATACACAAATTAAGAATACAAGTACAGACATCACATATAGAGTATAACTGTCTAAAATCTATACCGCACCATCGATCATATCATACAAAACTGCAAAACCAAATGGAGATCAAACAAATTGAAGAAACAAAACCAATATGTGTCATGTTTTTGCATTCTTCAATGTCCATATTGCAAAACAATTCATTCTCAGAAAACTGAGATTAGTTAATCAGATTAGGACTCTTATTTCACTTATCTAAATTCTAGGAATTTCTTTAAAGATTCTGCATTACCACGATGTTCTCTCTTGAAATTGACTTACCAATGGCCAACCAATGCTGTGTTCTACCCTGCCTGGGTGGTGATTGCTGGGATCAATTTCCCAGACCTACAACAAAAAGAAAGAAAGAAAAAAAAAAAATCATTACAATGATTTTATAAAAAAAGAGAACCTCCCTCAATGGATCCCCTTCAATTCTTCCAGGCTTTCCTAGTTTTGATCCATTTCCTACATCTTCCTCACCTTTATCTTGCCTCATAATCATAATTTTGTCATCTTTTGTCCACTTACATCATTCATCTTGACCTCATCTACTTCTTAAGCATGGTTTACATAATCCATTATAGCTAGCATTTTTTCCCTCCTAGATTGAGATTTGAGATTGAAAAGGTTTTATTGATTGCACTTCGCAGCCAGATGGCTGAATTATGAACAATTTACATTGGCAATGAATTATAATACATACAAATGTGGTTGACATTGTCACAAAGTATAATATACAGTATCCATAACAAAGTTCATAACTAATATGACTAAGGCAATAACAGGCAAATTAATTCACGTTTAAAATATATTTTGTGAGGTGACACAAGAGTAGGTCAAAGGATGAGCAAGCAGGCCATTTGCTCTTCAATACACGCTCTCATTCCTATACACGCTCCTATTCTCACTCCTGTACCTTGGACACTCTCATAAAACACTCACATTTACACTCTTATACACACTCCCATACACTAGCTAACGGTCTGCTCGCTCATCCTTGGACCTCTCTTGTGTCAAGGAGTGTTGGGTATTTCAAAAATTTGTCATTTTTCATCCACTCACCTAAAGGTAATTTTTCTTTGCTTTTCATTACCTTCCTTTTTCGACTAAAAGATTTTTATCTGTCATACATTCTTGTTTCCTTCTACATTTCACTTGCTTTCTTCAATTTACCAACATAGCATTAGATGTTTTTAAAGAATACAATACTGATCACATGACATACAATCACAGCTGGTCATATGACTAGTCACCTGACAGATCAACATAGAACTTGCAGGTTAAAATTGGTTTACGACTTACCTCCTTGAGTCCAATTGCATAAGTTTGTGGCTGGCAGTTTTCTCTAAGATTGAACTGAGTGTAGAGCTGTTTGGCAAGATGTCCATGGCACCCTTCTCCAAATATCGTCACCTTGGCATGGAGTTCCATCCCTCTCTCAAATGTTTGCTGTATGGAGGAGGAAACATGACACGTCAGTAATAATAATAATAATAATAATAATAGGCATTTCTATAGCGCCCTCTATCTAGAAATTCTATTCCGAGGCGCATTTATAATTACCCAGGCTTTAGCCAAGCTGCCATTACAGCGCTCCAGCATTTCAAGGAATTAATTCCTGCCAGGTACCCATTTACCTCACCTGGGTCGAGTGTGGCAAATGAAGATTAATGCCTTGCCAAAGGACATTAGTGCCATGTCAGGGATTGAACCACAACCATTAAATTTTAAGTCAAGCATTTAAACCTCGCGACTACAACACTTCTACAAGGCAAGAGATTCTCTCTCAAAAGTGAAGTCATCTATTTACAGTGGTTCAAGAATTAGCCTGTGATTTATTTATTCTTTATGATATTACTGGTTCCATTCTGTAGCTAAAATATTGTCCGTTATCTCAAGTGGTTGTGAAGTGTCTGTGCTCCATCCCTCTTTCAAACGTTTGCTGCATGGACGAGGAAAATATAATGTGGATGTGCATTTCAAGGCAAACGATTCACAGTCAATTGTAATAACTTTTTGTGTTTCATCACTTAACACCATTTAACAACATGCGAACAATGCCAGTTTGTTACTCAATTTACTAACATAAGCAATATTTTTATTAAAAACATGGTTGATCTAACATATTCCTTCCAATGATCTTTGAAAAGTAAATCATACCTTGCAACAACTACACAAAAAGCAACAGCAAATCTTTAACAATAAGGAAAAAATCATTCATAATTTTCCTAATTAAATCAAGTAGCATGCAGGCTCTTTCATTCTGCAGATAAATGATTTTCTTTTTCAAATTCATTTGAATACAGGGAAATGTGTTCTTTCTTGACCAAATATGAGAGCAATAGAAATAATTTGAACAAACAAAACTAAAAGAAAAAACTCAAGAGTCACCCAGCATACAAATTAATTGTTTACCACAGATTCTCTCACACAAGATTCTTTCAAGACTTTAAACAAGGGGAAATGCTTCTGGGGAGTGTTTCACAAAGACTAAGATCGACTTTAAGTTGGGACTTAAACTATGGTAGGCCGTTCATGCCACTGCTTGCTCTCACCGTTTACAGGCATTGGTCTCTCAAAAGATGTACAAATCATGGACAAAAATTTACATTTTTTGAAAATTCATTATTGAAGGAAAAAATATTATCTAAAGATCATAATCATGAGAGCAAACAGTGGCATAAACGGCCTGCCATAGTTAAGTCTAACTTAAATTCGATCTTAGTCTTTGCGACACACTCCCCTGGTATTCATTCCACTGTTAGCTTAGAGTCTCAATCTACATTGTGTTACCTTAGGAGAGCCATCCTTGGCCACACCCACATCACTGGTTGCTATGCCTTTCAAACTGCCATCTTCATGATATAACAACTGGAAAGAGATGCAAAGAAATAAATACTTCATTGTGATGGCCATAGTCAAATATAAAACCAAAAGGGACAACATCTACTGAAAAAGATTACTCGCTGCAAAGGCTAGCTCAATTCAAATACAATATGCATGTACACATTTACAAAATGAATCATACAATGCCATCATAAAATTACCCATTAAGAGTGAATGATGGGTGCATTTTGGCCCTGGAACATCACCTAGGTTGTAACTTCCGAGGAACATTAACATTTTTAATAAAAATACTTGAATTCTACCAAATATGAAATTGAATCAAAAGTATGGTAGATGATATATATCAGCTAGCAGGGGAGTGGCTACTGACAAGATTATTTTGAATACCGGCAGTATTGAAGGGTGGGGGTGTCAGAATCAAATTTGCAGACAAGTGTGAATTGTTTAAATTGGAAATACAAACAAACATATATACAAATTCACAGAAAAATTTACAGATTTGGTTTTAATTGTGGGTCTACCCCCTCATCCTCCCCCCCCCCCACCCTGCTACACCCCTTTAAATCGATCAGTACCAACATACTAACCTCACTGGCTGGATACCCTGGGTAGATCTCCACACCAAGTTCCTCTGCCTGCTCTCCAAGCCAACGTACAAAGTTACCCAGACGTACAATGTAGTTACCATGATTGTTCATAGGTAGACCTAGGACGAATGAACCCAGTAAATCAGAAATTAGTCTTCAATTTCAAAACACTCTAATAAAGTTATCGGCATTTCCCACAGGTTTTATTGGCTTTTGTTGGTGGACTATGCAATACAAATCATTTTTGCCATTGAAAAAAGTTGTTGATTTTTTTGTAATTAAAAGAGGTAATTAATAGATGCATAAATGCTTGATGAGGAACTAGGACTACACATTCAATATCTAACAGATTTTAGTTCTAACCAAAAGAAAACATCTTTTTATCATATTTTGCTCAGATTCTTTTACATAAAAACAGTTTATGAACAGACACAAAAGACTCACACATAGTACTTTCGGGCCTATGTAGCATTGATCCCGCACAAACATTTATTTCTTTGTTATGTATTATTATAAATTAGTGTTGGTTTATGGTTAGCTCCTAAAATCACATGACATGGAAGTACTAATCATTTACATTCAATTCAGTATTTATTCAATTCCATAATAAAAACAGTAACATCAATAAACAGTAAATATAAAAGAAATACTATTTATACATAATTATTATTAAAATACACTGTAGTAAAATATTGACAGTAAAAAAATAGGAATTCGGTTGCTGTATAAAAACCCAAGTGTGTTTGTCTGGACAGCCAACATAAACAGTAAAACTAGTAAAAGAATCATACAAAATGATATATCAGGGGTGATAGTGAGCACTAAAAAAAAAAAGGTTTTTTGTTTTCCCCTCAACCACGCCTCCCCTTGAGTAAAAAAAAAAGAAGAGGATTCGCGGGGAAAAAATGGCATCTAACAACATTCCCCCCTTTCGAGTAAGAAAATTGGGAAAAAATAGGGAAATTTGGGAAAAAATAAGGAAGAACAGAGAAAATAAGGTGGAAATCGGGAAAATCAGGATAAAATAGGGAAGAAGAAAAAAAATCTGGTAAAAAAAAAAAAAAATCTGGATTTTTTTTTTTTTTTTTTTTTTTTTAATTGGGAAGAAAAACAAAAATCGGGAAAAATATAAAAAATTGGAAAACCGATTTAAATCGGGTTTTTATCAGGCCTGCATATGAATAAGCAATAAGGGAGTCAATGTGGGGAGGGGAAGGGTGATATTTTGAGCAAAACTTTTAAATTGTTATTTGGTTGTCTTACCAGGAAGCACAGGAATTGGAATGCGATGTTTTTCTGTGAGGAAAGAGAACTTGTCTTCTTTGACCTCTGTCTTGAGAGGTGCTCCTCTCTCCTTCCAATCTGGGATGAGCTCATTCAAAGCATTGGGTTCCAGACAGGCACCAGATAATATGTGGCCACCTGTAAACAATAATAATAATAAAAATTATATTATATTTATAAAGCGCTTAATACTAATGTTTCTATTAAAGCGGAAGAAAAAGAAAAAAAGAAGAAAGGAAGAGGATTGAAAATTGAGAGATACCAAAAGAAACATGTTAAGAGTATTGAATTACAAGTAAACAGCAAAAAATATGACATTACACAAAATAATGACTACATCAGAATTAATCAAAATTATAGATAAACCAGATATGGACTCAGAATTATAATATACAATGTGAAATACATAGCTATGGATTTGAAAGTTTTTGTATCACATCCTAAAGAGAAATTTAACCTGTAACAGTTTCAATATCTGATACTATGACACAATAGATGATAAGCTCAGCTATAAGAGGAATGGACTTTGCACACAGCCTATATTGTTCTGTACAGTTTATGACATTAAATCTATTAGCAAACATAGACATCTTCCTAAGATGAGGATTGGCAGACTGAAGTAAGCCGCAGACTTTCAAATAATTAAATTATTACAACCGTCCAGATGAAACTCTTTTATGATACATAGATATGTAGGATGGACATGCTATGTTGTTAAATGTTGTTTAATTTTTGGGGGACTTTATTTATCAAGTATGAATAGTTGAATACATTTACAATAAAGAGAAGAGTAATTGAGTACATTGACAGGAAAACTCATGAAAGCTGATAATAAACTTTTTCCAATAGGTACCTAATAAATTTACAGGTAGATAATTGATAAAGAATTTGTTTTTTCTTTCTAATTATCAAGGAAAACAAATCCACTTCAGTTATATGTATAGAGAGACATCATATCTCCACAAAAATTACATTCTGCCCTTTTTTGTTCTCATTCAAACAGTGTTTTAAATTAAACCTGTACTGAATTAATCTGTTAATAAAGACCACCTGCTTTAGGCTGCTTATGAAGGCCACATTGCTTGTCTCTCTTGAACAGTCTTTATGTACAGGTTGCACTGTATCATGGAAATACATGTAAACTCTACCAAACCTCAGAAGTCAGAACAATTGTGTTAATCCGGGGGTCCTTCCCAATTATCAACAAATAACATTTTATTTTTCAGTACATGATTTGTGGGCATAATCTCCCTTGCCTTGGACTTTGCACATTTTTCAAAAGGATTTTGTTTTCAGTGTGAGGGTCTGATAATTGTGATAAAGACACATTAAATGAATTATCTATAGCATGGCTCTATTTTCAGAAGGAGTATACCACTGATACTATGGCACTATAGATGATAAGCTCAGCTATTAGAGGAATGGACTTTGCACACAGCCTATATTGTTCTGTGAAGTTTATGACATTAAATCTATTAGCAAACATATTTATGACACAATAATAGAAAAAATGATGACCTCAGCAGGTTTATGACTTTAACTTTAACTATCCAATTGTATGAAACTTCTTAACCCTTTGAATACTAAGCTTCAGTAGTAGTTTTAGAGGGGCTTGAAGTCCCCCCCCCCCCAATATTATTTTTCAGAGATAATTTTTAAGCGAGGCAGACAAAGAAAATGAATGTAAAAAACTCAAGCCTCCCACCCCCACCCCATTCTAAATAAATAATAACAAAATATTGAAAATATTTAAGTTCCATGCCTGTTTAAACCCGATCTAATTTGGGCTGGAGTCTCTAGAAAGTGTGTGTCATACCAAAATCAAATTGTGTCCAATCGGTTAAAATACCCAGAATGTTTGTCACATGTTAATTACTGCATGTAGCATAAGTTCATATAGCACAACTTTCCATGTCACTTTATGTGAATGAACAAGAAAAGCACTAGCTAAAGCAATTTTTCTCGTTATTTAGTTATTCTTAAAGCACAAAGAATTATAATACTGTAAAACCTGAAAACGCTATGACATGAAACTTTCAAGAATTAATAGGAACGGCGAGTTTCACAATAAAAACTTTTGCAAATTGCAAAGATTTGGTGAACATTTTCATGAATCTAAACCACTCACAAAATCTGCCTACATTATGTGCACATGAAAGTTTCTGGTTTACAGTATTGAACTCCACCATCAACTCTGAATAAGTTGAAGTTTAACAGTGACATGACAGAAAAGCCACAATTCCCCAAATAACTTTATTTTTCTAGTAATTCTTTTTTGAAGAGCTATCATAAAACAATGCCAAGTTTGGTACAGATACTTATGTCAAATTTCTCACCCATTTCAGTAGATTTTTCCACCACACAAACCCTAAGATCCGTTCCTTTCTCTTGACAGAGTTGTTTGAGACGTATCGCCGCTGACAACCCTGCAGGTCCTCCTCCTACTATCACTACATCAGCCTCATCCCCATAGCGTTCCATTTCCACATCTAAAATAAAATCAAAGTCATTAGATTTTCATCTATTCCTACATCATATCACTACAAGCACAACTACAATCTAGTTCATTGAACAATTGAACCTGTCTAGAAAGTAAGAAAGGCCACTTAGGGCCAGTAGCCATTTTCTATAGATTTTCCTTGGATCTAGGATATCTCTATCGACAGGCTTTATTTGCTTCATATTTTTCTTTTCTGATGATGAATAGGAGGGTAAAATATAATACTACCTGTCACAATATTCTTTGCTGCAAAACATCTGTAAATTATAAAAGGAAAAGGGAAGCTTGACTCATTTCTAATTATTTTGTGCTATGAGCAAGACACCCTCAGCATGAGTAAGGATAATCAAGAAAAATCTAGAATTTGTAAATGTTTCTGAATCCTGATAGATATAATAAATTAAAACCCATAGAAGAAAAGAAGAACTAGAGAGGGGTACATAATAAATTGTGGTTATGAAATTGAATGAATGATTCTATGAAATGAAGTCACTAGTAAGTGCCCATTAAACATTGGTATTTACACTGGATGAATACTTGTAATATTCACATGATCTTATATAAAAGATAAACATGATTACATTCTCATCAAATTACATGTACCATCAGCTGAGTATTTTGAACAATCATCTTTGAAATTACACTTCATCACATCATCTTTTTTTAAATGAAAATCATTTAAAAAAAAGAAGGGCAAACATGATGCTCCCTGTGAAAGCCAACATACAATAATCTGAATAGGGATGGACAACAGGCAATTAACTTTCAAACAACAACTGCTTTGTTACCTTTCCATCTGTCATCTGTCTCTCTTGGGATGACTGTGTAATGCGTGGTTATCTTGGGAGTGTTTCCCGATGAATACTGAGCACATGATGTGGCTCTAATAAACTGTATAGCCGCTGTGAAATAGAACAAGGTGACATGAAAGAGTTAGCAGTATCCATGAAATAGCCGTACTGACAGTCATAGCAGTTTGGATGTTTGATGTGTGAGGTTATCTATCAACAACCTATATATAGAATAAAACAGTTTAGCCATTATCTGAACATATTATTCACAAGATTAGAAACATTTTAGCAACTCATCTTGATAGTTTTAATGAAATTTAATTGGGTCTACCCTTCCTATCAGCCTCCCTACCCAACACAATTTTTCCAGATAACTTTCAAGTAGGCCTAGAGCCTAGAGGCTATTCTGACATGTCGGAGCTGAGTGTAGATTGAAAGCTTCAGTCTCTGATTTTGATGATTGTTCTGCTGAGACTACGTCTGGTTCCACTGACCACCTCTATACAGAGACTGAAGTACATTATACAGGGTAGTGTGGGGAAGATACGCAATGCAGTTTATGCATCATTGCCAATCCGATCGCGCGCAGCAGCTCCTCAAAAACCAGACAGATTAGCTGAACTAAGTCCTTATATTTTTATTTTTTACATTGATTTTCAACGTCATTTTTATGTAGAAAATGAAAATGAAAATGAAAATTTGATGTAATTTTTCCCTAAACTTAAAAAATATAAAGTTCCCTTAGTTTTGGGGAATTTCGAAAATTGGGTGGATAGTGATTCTTTACAATTTTGATATATTTGGATTTCCCTGTGGATGTATTATAAGCACTAGAAAATATAGCCCCCAAAACACTTTTGCTTTAGAGAAGAATTGAATATATAAATTTTGATAAATTTCAAATAGCGCCTACGGGCGTACAATGGTAGCTCCGACCATGAAAATCTCAGAATGTAGTTGTGATATATAATTTCCAACCGGGAATAGCTAATCGGTCGATTTTAGTCAAGAACATTGTTTTATAGCTATATAAATATCTTGACCTTGAAAGGGAGCTATACAACATAAAGAATTTATTATTTACAATATTTCATAACTTTAGACTCGATTTCAACTGCGACAACGATCACTGAATATTGTAGGATCGCATTTGTTTCCAATGTGTTCATTTGAACCAAATTCATGACCCCATACCAAAACTTTGTATTACCTTTAAGAAAATTGTAATCATACATTCACCATTAATTAGTTATTGCAAACACTTTTATTATAACCCCTGTATGAAAAAAATCTATTCCGTTATCTATATGCCATATGGAAAGTTTACCAAATTATCTGTACAGATCAAATTGGAGAGGAGCTTGCAAGATAAACCAGTGTTGCCAATTTGATTTTACTATTCCTGGAATCTAGACTCTATTTAACTTTCCTATTTTTCATCGGATATTGCCTAGATCCATTTAATATTGGCTCAAACTTTCACTAATTTTTTTCTCTCATTTCCTGCTTTTACGTTTTATTAAAAGCCAACATTGAGACAGTGTGGACGTCCCCTTGTTTAAGTTTAAGAGATTTTAATACCAAAGCTTTGTGAACATGGTGTAGCCTGAACTTCTGTCAGAAGTTCAGGCTTCACCATGTTTCTGAAGGTCACTTTGACTTTTTCAGATTGACTTAATATTCACCAGGCAAAGCAAAGCAAAGGCTAATCATAGCCAGGCTCATAGACACTGCCTGTCTACAGTCTAAATTGATATGCCAAATAAACAATCGAATACATATTAAAGATCTTTACAAGAAAATTAAGCCTTTCGGCTTTCGCGAAGCCTTTCGATATCCGATCGATCGAGTCACACTACCGCAGCTCAGTCGGCCGGAGCAACGGGGAAGGCCAATGGCAATGCAATGCCTCTGCCTGTACAATATAATCCCTGTGGCCTGTGGTAAATTTCAGCATGAAAGATAAGATAATCATACAGACTGTCATTCCCATCATCAATCACATATCCATATCTACAATTTGAATGATTTTTCAATCCTTTTAATGACACAGTTTTCAATGAAAATATAAAATTATCTCACCAGTTCGGCTGCTACGAATCAGTACCGAAGCCATCTTACGAACGTTATGGTATCCTTAAGAAGAAAATATTTGTCGTACTTTGCTACTGTCATGATGTGTGTTCGTCACTTGATATATCACACTTACGGCTACCATAGTTTATGTTACATCAGTGAGAAATTAGTTACATAATCCCAATTTGTAAGAGATAGAAATTCAAAACAAATGAAATCTAAATTAGACTTACGCATCTCAGCATCAGAAAGAGGGGTGAACACGACATTTGATTAAGCTTATATCAGCAACCGAGCCGGAAAGTGTCTCTCAGCTACCCACCCCATATAAAAATAATAAAGCTCTGTAATTCTATAGCCAATTAAACGCCTTAATTTACTTTAGCTAAATTCATTTTGTACACCTATCAAGGCTAGGGGACAAAGGCGGCAATACAAAAATTACATTTGCTTTTTTTGTATTGACTAATTGTAGGAAATCTTGATTATTTCTCACAAATTTACAAAATATATATAAAGCGCATGCAAAGTTAGCTCAAGGCACAAAATACTAGTACAAGTAAACAAATCTCTTTCCAGAATTTTAACGACATATAACATTATGAAATTACTCTGAGTAAATGAAATCGTTTTAACATGTTTCTGAAAGGCCGGGCATTGAATGTTTCGAATGCCACTAATTCTGTTCGCTGGTTCAACATGCACAAATGCACGATTCCCGGTTCGGGGACTTCTAGATGGTAGGGGCAGAAGAACGGAGTGAGTAATGGGATTGCTTTATGGTGATGAGATCTTTCAGCTACTCAGTGTGGAGTACCTCAAAGACAAGCATTTTGCATTCAATCCGTTTTTTTAACTGAGAGATTGGAGTGATGTGTTTATTCCTAATCTTATTCACACGTGCCGAACTCTCTGCAGTCTAGAGAAGCATGTTCAATAATTGGTAAATCAATAATGATAAATCAAAATCGATTTTAGCAACTGTCCACCAAAAAAAAGTATATTCTAATCTCAATTGCATTAACTTCATCACATAGATCACTTGAAGTGAGTTTAAGAATATCCTTTCTGTTCTCGGTATACCAAGAAGTTACTAGTAACTTCTTGGGTATACCAACCATAACTACATTGCATAGTTCATCACACTGGAGATTGTTAATGGCATAATGACCAGAAAATGTCGTGAAGGTAAGATCCGAATTACTAGGTACACGATATCACTTGGATGTGTACTGTAATATCTTGGTTTTATTTCTTACTTTTCATTTGAGATGTAGGAGATAGCGCGAACGCAGATCTCCGCTACCATAAATTATACGCCCGAGTTCCCCACGTTTGGGGGAATCGCAAGATTCAGCAAGCCGGAGTGCAATGGCAAGCCTCGCCCTGGGGGTGCATCCTTCTTGATCAATGCGACCCCTGCGCCAGGTAAGTATGAGTTGGGAAGAAAACGCGAGGTATACGTAGATTTACATTGTAAACTAATAAAACAGTTACAAAAGTCCGTGCGTGGCCTAAAGTGTGATATAAAATCTATTCTTACTTCATCATGATATCTAAGTTATTCACAATATTTGGAAATTATATTATACTAATATTGATATTGATTATACAATCTCAATTAATCATGGATCAATTATGATAGCTGAAATTAACTACATTTTAAAGGCAAAATATCCTAACATCATACTCGGTCGTAAATGCATCATGAATATTCATCAGTAGAACACATGACGTCATCATCGGCGATGCGCATGCGTGAAGTGACTGCACAGTGACAGCTTCTGCATGGCCAAAGTAATTGCTTAGCTTTTGAGTTATTTGCCACTCGTTCACAAACTATATAAGCTCACCTTATTTTATTAGAAAGATTTTATCATAATACACAGTATTTCAGTGTTGCTGTTTTCATTAATTTGTAGCGGTCGGAGGGGGCGTCCAAAAAGCGGCCCTTAATTTTGACGATAAATAATATTTTGTAAATAACATTTTAAGGAAACCTGCATGGAACCACCATGCGTTTGGTGTTATATGAAAGAAAATTAATAATCTACATTGTGATATACCGATTTCAATGGTATTTCGATTAATCAACATCGCAATTGAGTACAAAACATGATTGAAATTTATATCATAGATCCGAAGCTTAAGAGAAGGCTTTTGCATTACAAACAAAATCTAGTACTCTCTATAGCAGTTTGGAAAAATTACCAAGTCAGAATCTATTTGCCCCGATTAAGAAAAAAAAATCGACGGCGTCTGTGTACCGCGTGCATAACTTTCTGCTTGCATTTCTCGTCAATCTCCGAGTCAAAACGGTAGTCGCAGAGATCATTGTCGCTCTCGTCATCACGTTGGGAAAGTAAGGAATAGGCGGGGAAGATATTGAATGCTCGGGCATTCATCTGGGGATTAAATTGAACCAAAATCGATCGTCGCCATGCATGAACCAGGGCATAAACTACGATAAAAAGTGCAGGAATTAATTACATGAAAGTCAATTTAATGAATGATCGCAACAGGTTTTAAGAGTTATTGGATTGATATTTACCTTGAAATCACCTCCGAGGGCCGAGTGGTTTTAAGGAACGAATCAATATTCAGTCCGGTAAAACCTATATAGAGCTTCTGGGAATTCGAGCTACCGGCCCCCCCCCCCCTCCCTCTCAGGCTCTCTCTCTCTCTCTCTCTCTCTCTCTCTCGCAAGAAATAATAATTTTCATTTAATTTCAAATGAATATAGGCCTCCCTTATTAAAGGTACTATTCCCATTTGCAGGCCAAAAAATGAAAAAGTTAAATTCCAACTGCATTTGAAAGATAATACTTATTTAGAACTTTCCTAAAAAAGGTGGGGCTTGAAAATGTCTTCAAGTGGGAAAATAATGACTATGAGTTGTCAAATCGACTTTAGGGCTATAGAGCCCAAAAGTAATAGTCTTGATTTCAGACAATTGTACCGAATGGTCTTACATTTTATGCTGCGCAAAGATTCAATCAGTTTAATGTTGGCCATCACAAGAAGTGGGTTATTGATGTAGACAAATGCTCATGTACCCTTTACAACTCTTTTCATGTATGTTATTACCAAAGAAGAAAAAAGCCAGTCAGTCACTCAATAGTGTCTGACAGTGAAGTCTGGCAAGTAAACGGGTTTCCTTGCATAATTTGAATATGAGGACACTGCTAACGTTTAAATTTCACAGATAGAACATACATGACATTTTCATAATTCCTGCAAAGTTCTACAGAATTTGAGGTTGGCTGCAAAAGGGACATAGTACCTTTAAAGGGAATCTTGATAAAGTATACTTTAGAACGCCTGAGAGAGTCCCCTCTCCCCTAAGAAATCTTTACTTCTGACCTGTCATTCTCTTTCAAAAATATCCATTTAAATATGAATTGAATCTATTCAAATTTTTGACTAGGCAAAATGAAAAGATTACATAAATTTTGGAATACCCTCTATTTGTTTACAGTACGAACTTACGATATTAAACATGTTAAAGGTAATTAAAATTATAGTCAAATTGACGAGTTCGGGTTCAACATTATTGAGCTGTTCTGATCAAAAAAATGACGGGAAAGTGTCTTACACAAATATTCATAGACTCTATATAGCATATATATTACATTATATAGGTTCAATTCTGTTGCAAAAGTCAGGCCAAGGATGGCGTATGAAACTTAAGAACATGCCCCGTTCATTTAAGTATGGGTGTTTCGTTGTTTTTATTTGAAACTATATTAGGATATTTTTTGCAGCCGATGGACATTGTTTTATCGAAGAATTTACTATTTGGGAGTCGACGGATAATTTTTTTATGAAATATATGATATGAGTCACTATGTAATGCACTCCCTCAAAGAAAGTTTATAGACAGACAGTAAAAGAAGAAAAAAAGAAAGACACTCCAGATCGGAAGGTCAATAGTAGCCAAAACTATATTCAACATTATGGAAAAGAAATAGGTCTAATATTCTCAAATACATGTAATAGACGAGGTTATTAACCATCAAGGTACATTTCATTATCATGATTATTTTAATGAAATATAAAAATAATCAATCACTGTCAATATCATTTATGAACATACAATATTCCCCCTCATATTTGGTGCTTTTTCTGTGCGTGCTGAGAAATAAGCAAGAGCAAGAGAGAGAGAAAGAGAGAGAGAGAGAGAGAGAGAGAGAGAGAGTAACTAAGAGGGTATCATTACAATGATCTTCCTATTTTTTCAATATCCTCCCTGCTAGTCGACTTATCAAGATAATGAAATGGGAGCGCGTTTTCGACTAATGTTTATGTTTCATATTGACCCACCCTCATCCACTGCATGACCAAGCCCAAAAAACAAAAACAAACAAACAAACAAACATACACACAACAACAAACCCCTACAAAAAAATCTACACACGTTTTATATTTTTAAAAGCTGTATTTATTATACACACATACAGATATTAAATAACAGGCTTTGGTTTCTTACAATTGTTTCATAAATATAAATACTATTTCAATTGTGACACTTTGGGATTAACTATAGGAAGACCTTTAGATCATCTTTTCTTACCATCAACTTTTAATACAAAGTACGAGCTACTCCAACAAATGTTTAGTATTTAAAAAAATAATAAACTGAAAGAAACATTTCTCGCATGCAAGTCTTAGAAACACATGCCATCCTCTTTTTTAAATGAAATTGATGCAATTGTTGAATTGCAGATCACCAGACCAAATACAACGGGAATGTAAATATTTCTACATATGATGAACAAATATAGTGTACTGCAAATAAAGAATGAAATAGAAACTGCTGTATTACAAACTTAAACCATGCCAAAAGCATATCAGTGGGCGCTAAATCATTATGTAACATAAACCCATAAATACAAAACACTCTTCAAAAGATATATTTTATTCCTTGATAATCAATATCAAATTTCCAACATGCATAAAACAAAAATATTGAACACAATATTGCAAAAAGCACGGCAAGATAAATCACATCAATAAATGTATCATGCCTTGCCAACTTGTATTACCTGTAGCTACCCCCGTAAGTTCTAAAATATCTTAAGTTTAAATCATTCATTAGAAAACTGACTCTGTAATATTTTACCCTTATAAAGAATGTCACTTTTAATATATGTTGTATGTGAGTATGGGTTCACTTCTGATAACTGCATAACTCTTTTTTTTGCAATATTTACGCAATAAGCAAAACATTGCCATTTTCTTTTTCAACTCTATTTATGTATTGCTAGTAGAAAATTCAAAAATTACATAAACTCATTGAAATGCCATAAATAGTTTTCTGTATCATAATAATGAACATACAGCAGTTATTATTGTATGAAATAAAAAATGAGTTGTGCTACAATTTAAACAAATGAAACATCAATTAAAGATATAAATTATTTTCATATTAACACCTTGCTTAATTAATAACCACAAATTCATACTGAAAAGACAAGAAACCGTATTTTGAAGAAAATAAATGTTTTACATGCTCATGAAATACACAAGTATTTATAGACACAAGCTTTCATCAGAACAATCATTATTAGTACTTGTCAATTCCATAAAGCGTTCACATTGCACATCAGATCAATTTGCTGTTTCAGACAAAAAGTTTGAATCCAATAAATAAAGTGCAGTATCTTCAAATTACATATATGTATGTGAGGAAGGGCATCCCTTTCTCTATCCTTTCATCCAACAAGACATTTCACTGGACATCTTTCACATAAATATAAAGAAAGTTATAATGTTATTAAAGACTTGTATATCCAAGAAACTTGGCTCAGGAAATTAAATGAATGCATCATCATCTTATCACCTTTATTTTTGTACTGGTACTCTGATATCACACATGCACCCCATACTAAGCAGTGGGTCTGATGTTTTACATTTCAGTGAAAGCTTGGCTCGCGAGATAATTTGGGGTTAGAAGCAGCACTATCTTCAGACAGACTTATAACATTGTTGTACTGGTACTCTTTAAACAAATATTTCAGCACTGCAAGTGCTTAGATACCAGTAATATCTTTATATGCCTGACTGTTCATGGCAGACTCAACAGAAAGTATGTAACCTTTTTGCACATTTGCTGGGTCTCATTTACAATTTAATCTAATTAAACCCTCTCATTGCGGCAATTACAATTTATGTAGCTAGAGATCAACAGAGAAATGTGTTATAAGAAAAGATTTGTAGGCATACTTAATGGGTAAATAAAGGCTTTGCATGGATAGTCTTTTTCAGTAATTCTCTATATTAGAATCTTGTTACAACACAGTGTAGACAAACTTCAGAGTCCCAGTCTTGCAAGTTCCACTTCCATTTTCAGAGTTTTAAAGTTTTAATATAATGATAATGTTTTTATGTTTACCTGACAACTATAACGAAAGTATGCATACTGGTATGCTTGTAGATAAGTAGCCAGGGCACCCAAAGTCCTATGAAAGGGACTATTTTATGCAGGATTACATTAAATGGTATGATGCCAGTTCTATCTTCATGAGCTGCAAAATAGAGACAGAATATAGTGTTTATTTCAAAAGTGATATTTGCAAGAGAGATGCTGTTACTTTTTATATATATTGCCTAATTTCCTCAATACTGGGCGGCAATGAGCTCGGATGGTTGTATATGGAGCACAGCCATGCAAGAATGACACAATGTGTACACAAAGGAATTAAAGGCTGGGGTTCCTAAAGGGATTTGGCAGCATTTATGCATGACACCCTATCTCTTGCAATTTATGAGAATATAAGTACAGAAATGTATCAATTATACTTTCTTTGGTAAATTTCATCAAGTTTGGCATGATCATCTTGCCAAATTCACAACCTAACAAGAAGCCGATACACATTATCCTAGAATGATAAAGGTAATACTGTAAGTCTTCATTCTGCCAATATGGGCAATACTGAACTCAATATCCAAACAATATTGGAATAGTCTCTGACTCATCCAATTTTTGTTAGCATAGTTTCTAGAATATTTCCTTTATCAACCAAAAAACCATTGAATATCATATGAAGAGTATCCCTTGATGTCATTTGGGTAGCTCCCTTGTTGTAAGCATTCCATTCAATCCAACAAATTAGAACAACCTTCAAGCAGTACTCGTGTTCAAGGTTTGAGCTTGGAATGCATCAGAGAATAAGTTAAAAAGTTGCTCAATATTTTATCCTAATTGATGTTAATGCTAGGAAGCGGTGTCCCCTCAAATATGCCAGCCTTTTCCGGTATGGTGTTCAAATACTGTGTTTACGATGCAAAGTTCTTGACATATTTGATTTACAATGCTTAACGTGGCTGTTGCTTTGATCTACCCAAATCCACCTTGCTACCATCTGGATTTTTAGACAACACTACTTCCTTTCTCTGAAAGTCCCCCTCCAGTTTCACGCCATGCTCTAATGGTCATGAATTCCCTCTTTCCAAGCAGGTTTCTGGTAATATAACAATTCTTACATTGCACAAAAAGTAAGACCAATTCCTATCATGATGCAGTCAACATATGAAAGCTCCTTTTTAAGATGAACTTTGCTCTCAGTTTTTTTTCTCATTGCGTACTATGATTTTGCATAAACTTGAATAAGGCATAGATTTCTTTAGTGAGATAGTGGCAAATGACTTTAAAAATGTCCCTACGCTCAAATATTTTGCACAATGCTGAATGAAGCATACATATACTTTGTGAGCTCGTGGAATATTACAAAAATAATCCCTCAACTCACATATTTTGAACAACCTAAATGAGGCAAATATATATTTTAATAGTGAGCTGTTGGAAAATGATTGAAATAATCCCTCAGCTCAAACATTTTGCACAAGATGAATGACCCTAAGCTCTATGACTTTGCACACAATTAAATGAGGCATATATCTACTTTGTAAGCTAGTTAGAATGAAAGAAATCATCTCTCAGCTCACAGACTTTGCACAACCTTGAATGAAGACATAGATAGAGTTAGTGGAACATGACAGAGAGAGGATCCTGTTCATCAAGAGATGCAATGTGCCTCAGGATGTCCTTCTTGGTGATGATACCCAGCAATCGCCTAATCAGAGATAATAATAATAATAATAATAATAATAATAGTGGCTACTTGTATAGCGTACAGGTCCACCTTTCGGTACTCATGGTGCTTAGAGAAAATACATAACAAACATAAGAAAGAAAAGAAAAAAACGAAATTTGAAATTCTCCTAGACATAGTAAATTAGATATTGCAATAATTACAACGAAAAAAAAAGAAGTTTCAGTTGTGATTTGAATGACGCAAGACTTGCAAGAGAAAAGAATCTTGGATACAATTGAACTGCATGACTTGATTTGACCTTAGAATATCATGCATTTTCCATAAACAGCAGCCCTAAGCTAGCTTGAGCTTAGTAAAAAAAAAATAGGTTAAGGGAATGTGTCTTCGTCATCAAGTTTCTGAACAACTGTCATTGATAAACTTTCCAAAAGTTAACACGTGGTCCTATAATGCTTGTCAGACTGTTGTTTGGGGCATATGGTTCATTCCATGGAAATAAACTTCGTAATGAGGGTACTTTTTTCTGTTACAAGAAGAAAAATGAAGTCATTGTTAATCCAAAGGCACTTATCCCTGACCATGAAGGGGTCAATATTTAGGTGGGTTAAGAAGTGATTTTTTGGGAAGGTGATTGTGTTTACTTACCCATTGTGTGTGACCAATGTCTGTCTGAGACCCAGCTTTCTAAACATATCCACCACTGTACTCATAGGAGTCTGATCTGTGATCTGACAAGGACACTGTGGGGAATAAAAACACCGCAAATGAACAGTAAAATGCGAACTGTCTTGAAGAATTTATTATAAGTAACAATGCTCTGAATTTTTTTAAAGTTCCCCCTGTATCATGTACATATCTTTCTATAAAAGGCTGAATAAGAGAGCACTTTGCTGTTTGGAAGTTCGTTATTACATGCAAATAAAATGGTTTGAAAAGCAGAGGGTCCCTCGTTAAAGGTTAAGTATACACTCCGTTATAAAGAAAGCTACCCAAATCAACACAAGCATACAAGTGTATGAAAGTACTTCTATGATAACATGTTTACTCTTATCAAACAGTGCTTTTCTTGCCATTATGTTGCCTCGTTCTTGACTAAGCCGCCAAAGCTAATGGTGCACATCTATTGGAAAAATCATCAGATTAAACAAACCCATGTTAAGTTTGATAATACCTAGCTACCTAAATTTTATTCTTTCCATGACTGAGAGTTGAATATTTAAATATCATGGGCATTGATGATGCTAAGCCTAGCTACCTGATTAAGTATGTGCGTGATCGTCAAACCGGCGGGTCTATCAGGGGTTGTGAACTTTGGCATAGAATGAGTGAAATACACAGTAGATTGGCTGACTACACCTTCTCCTTTCTTCCTTGCTTGTCCTAAAGATATTGAAAGAGAGAGAGAGAGAGAGAGAGAAGAAAAAGAGCTTACAAAATGAATATTGTTCAGTTAGGGCTATTATAGGAGTGTTACTTGGTGAATGAGACATGTAGATAGACCTAACATAGTTCTAATACGGAATACTATGCATCGGAAATGTACCGATGTATTCTCTGGACATGTTCTCCTTCACTTCTCATTTAATCTTTTCTTTTAAAGAATAAAAGAGATTATGTTAAATGCTCTACTCATTAAATCACACCCAGTCTTACTCAGCATAACTTCCGGAAGTGTTAGCACCCGCACTAGTCGACCTCAACCCAGCTTCCGCATCTAAACCGCCAGAAATCTAATTTTCATAGCTGTAAAACTGAAAAATCACTCTAAAGACGAACTTTACGCCGTGAACACCACTCCTGTGTATGAACTGAATACTCACTCAATGCATAGACCAATTCACGTCTATATACCAGTCCCACCAGTCTCTGAGATTCTTTGGATACAATGACAGGGTAAGCGTTGAATGGACAACCAGTCGTCAAGATTTCTACAGATACATAGAAAAAGAAGCCACAAAGCATTAAAACCTTAAGATGGTTAACGATCATGCAAAACATTGGGAAATGAACTGTCTAGAACTTATTTAGAATGATTGATTACATAGTAATAAGAATAACTGTTTACTGTGAGATTCTTTAATCATCAAAATTATTACAAATTGACTGAATCGTGCTGATAATTACTAAATAGTTAAAAGCAACTCACACACATATATGAGAACATGCAACTACATACAAACAAAGCATCACAATAGTTGGAATATGAAGACAATTCAAGAGCAATCTTTTTTAGGTAAGATTGCTAATGTAATAGTAATTTCACACAAAATAAAAACTCAAAAAACTCTTTTTCACCCACTGTTGGACTAATTCAACTTACTTTTTAAACAGTATCAAAATATTTTGTTAAAGAAACTGATTCAAATATACATGTATAAGTGTTTAACAAACAATTTGGGTTCAGTTTTCAAACTTTATTCAAAGACAGACAGAGAGTGAAACTAACCCAAGAGTGGCTTCATGGAAATAGTCAGGGGACAGACAAGATCAAGATGATCAAGTTGAGAGACATACGCACATTTTCAAAAGAGCCTTCTGAATTGACAGCATCCTACACAACACATTGATTCTGTTGACTGGTCATTACTTACCTAAATCTTCTACTGTCATTGCGTCCTGGGTAAGAGCTGCAAGTGGTGGATCTCCTCTCCTACTCAATGATAGATAAAATGATACCTTTTTAATGTTACCCTGTTTATAAAGCAACAGGTAAACTCCTGCACATGCATGGACAAGTTATTAGGAGGTTGGTTCGACACAAAATGGGTATCTGTTTGTTAAATTTGTAATATGTAATTATAAGTGAACTGGTTAACTTTCCCATAAATATTTGTTGTCATTCGCTTATCTACTTTGTCATGATTGTAAAGCGCATAGAGAAATTTTCAATTTATTATGAGCTTAAAGATAAACTCCAGTACTGGTAAAAAAAAAAAACAATTCTCACAGAATCAAACGAAACTTACACTGAATGTTCAAGATTACAAATAAATGACATGTGCCAAACAATTTTGGAAGAAAATGTATACTGGCTGAGTAATGAGCATAGAAAGACAAGGAAATCAAGGTAGTACTAGCCCCGACACCATGTGTGTTGTCCCATATATAGCTTTCTATGTGAGTGCTTGTTACTTAACCAAGACTCGGTCAAATTTATTATGATTTTGATGACACCAGAACCTTGCAGTGCACACCAATACTTACATGCTACATGATCAACTGTTTCTGATGCTTTCACACGTTTTCTTTCACAATGCAATCGCATTACCAGTACTAAAGTTTATCTTTAATAAATATTCTCTATTATTATTATCAATTAAATCTTTCCCTTTACTTTAGTGTCCATCGATGATCATTTACAGAAATAAACATAATATGCAGAAATATGAAATTAATATGGGTATGCAGGGATAAGAAATACACTCACAATACTGTACAATTATTTATACTGTTTCCATGTATCTTTCTAGTGTTTTTTGCCATATTTGTAATAATTATCATGCATACCGGTATGTATTTTGAAACAAAATATTCATGTACCATGTGAATGAAGTTTTATAATAACCATGCAAAGCAGAATTTGACCCATACTTACTGAGGTTTCATCACATCTATGGCTAGTGATGTGTGCATAAAATCCCTCTTACTGTCTAAGAAAGGATAACCATTCAAATGAATATGACCATCATATCTGTTGGAAATTGGATGGTTAAGGATAACATGAATTTGAACATCATAATCTTTCACATTCCATTTGGCAACTTACGTTGCTCCCAACGTTTACTTCACATAAAGTCATCAAGATAATCATAATATCACTATAGAATCACATTCTTGGGAGACGAAATGCACTTTAACGTAACAGTCATTCTCTTCTTCAACTTTCCTCTATCTTTTCTTCTTTTTCACCCTCCCTCCCTCCCTCCATCTGCTTCTAACTATCCTTAAATGTTCTCTCTCTCTCTAGAAACCTAAATCCAATCTATCTTCTTTACTTTTCTCTTTCCTCTTTCTTACTTTCATTCATTTTTCTATCCATATATCCATCCACCCTCTTCTAACTGTCCCTAAATTCTTCTCTCTCTCTCTCTCTCTCTAGAATCCTAAATCCAATCTATTTTCTTTATTTTACTGTCTCCTCTTTCTTACTTTCATTCATCTATCTATCCATTCATCCATCCACCCTCTTCTAACTATCCCTAAATTCTTTTCTCTCTCTCTCTCTAGAATCCTAAATCCAATCTATCTATCTTCTATATTTTCCTCTTTCTTTACTTTTATTCCTCCATCTATCTCTTAAATCTATACCTCCATTTTTTCCTTTTTAATTTTCTTCTAAAGGATACATTCCTTCTTTGCTGAAGGCATCACCGACCCACTTGCTGATCATGACGGCTACCATCAGAGGTACAATGTACACCAGACCACCGGTAAGTTCAAACATGATGACCACCAGAGATACTGTCAAATCAAATCAATGAAAATCAACGAAGTCAAATCAATGGATATAAAATCATATTCATGAAATCTAATATTTGAAGGATTGTTTGATAGCAAGTTTTGAAGGTTTCTTCACATGTGAAAGTACACTGCCACTGTAAACCGCCATGTCTAAAAATTTAAAAAATTTAAAGAAGAAGAAATAAAGGGTGCTGACCATGACAACCACTATCAAGACGACTATGTAGACAAGATCCTTACAGATACCGTCAACATTAAAATGTAACAAATATACAATATCATAACACTTGCTAAATATATCTAACATTTACAGTATTAGGTAGAATGACCAATTATTAAGTTTTTGTATTATGCAAAGGGAATGAAACAATTAATTAATTAACAGGTCAATAGCACGTCAATATTCTATATATATATGAACTGAAAACTTTACAACCACAAAAATATTGGTCACATTGTGTGACAATTTTAGTTTCATTTGTCCTTTTCAATAAGTTTAATATCATGAAATAAACACCATGTATTACAACATTTCAAATGCATTCATTGGAATTTAAAAAAATGCTAGGTTCAGACACACACATTTTCATTTCGCATGTCTTTTCAACAGGTTTCACCTTGAGTAATCTTGTATTTAGTACATTTCACAACATGAGAGTTTGTTATACACATGTTCACACAAGAAAATTGTAAAACAAACAGGGTCATGTTTAATAAAACTTGTTATCAACAAATGAAATTTGCTCTCAGCCAATCAAATGCCACAATTTCAGTAGTTTATTCATAACTGTAAGTATAACTTGTTTTTTATAACAAGTTTAATAAAACAGGGCCCTGATCTATGGATTTATATTGTAACATTTTGTACAATCTTCCAAGTGTGAAAGGGGAGCTTGTATCTTACCCGTCATTCTAGTGACACCACCCAGTGTAGCTGCTGCTCCTACCATAGCATAGAGACCAGGGGTGATGCACTTCCCAATGAACTTACACTCATGAAAGATGTACCAATCAGGGTTTTTACTGCACGGTAAAACAAAACAACAGCAATGTATCAAGAAGAAGGTACACGTAGGTCAAACATTTGCCAGCGCTTTGACAATTCTTAAAGGCATCCTTACGTCGAAAGAAAGCGTACAGAAATTGATCAAAAACTTGTCACTGTGGGTTACATGGGGCTTGCTCCCATACATTGTTTAAGCACCTTACATATGCCCATGTAGTTTAATGAAGTCCATTCCGTGGGTACAAAAATCACTCTGCACGAAAGTGGTGCATGGTGGTCCAGAGGAAATTTGTTAACCCTCCAAGTGGGGATCAATTCTATAAGTATTCCAGGGGGGTGTTTCACAAAGATCCCAAGTCAAACTAAACTCTAAGTTGGACTTTAAAATTATGGAGAGCCATTTGTAGCCTTAAAATAAAATATATTCAGAAGTGAAAAATCAAGTATTTTAGACTTTTTTTATAGATTCCACATCCAGAATGTGAAATCTCCTTGATAATAGAAAACATGAATGATTTGAATCAACATTTTATGCCTTTTAAAATAGCTTTTACAAAATATTTTCAAAGATGCTAACGGCTTTCCATAATTGTTAAGTCCAACTTTGAGATAAGTTCAACTTAGGATCTTTGTGAAACACCCCCAGAGTGAGTTTGGTTCCTGCTACTCACAATGCAATCTGCTCCACCAGGACACCCATGATTCTCCCTACGATAGCTCCCACAGCCATGCTGGGGATGAACAGGCCTGCTGGAACCTACAACAAAATAAATAAAACAATAAATAAATAAAACAGTTAGCATTCATAATCTGTCACTGTAGAGAGAACATCTACATTTGTTCTGAGCTATTCCCCATCAGAGATATTGGGTTAAAATTTTGAGTTGCTCGTGGGTTTTGTGTTGGGTTTAGGATCACAGTTAAGGGTAGGTATTGTGTTGGATCCAAGGTTGTGAAGATAGGAATTCTATTAGTACCACTGTTAGTATAATAGGAGGATTCTTTTAGGGGATTGATTCCTTTAAAAAGAAGACCGGTATACAGTGCCAACTCTTGTCTTAATCACATAATGTTCTTATATCTCTAGAAATGATATTACTAGCTTCAGATGAAATAAGTCAACTCTGACCAAGGCCCTTGCTAACTGTATCCTAGCCTACAGTACAGCAAAGATGATGTCAACCCACATATTAAGTGAAACCTGTTAATAAAGACCACTCAAGGAAGACACAGAAAGTGGTCTTATGATAGGCAGGTAGTCCTTATGTACATGTTCCTTTAGCACAGGCTTCAATAGGAAATGATTTCAAAGGGGAAAAAATAATTCATAGACAGGTGGTCTTTCTGTAGAGGTAGTCCTGAAAGAATGCGTGACTGTATAATGAACTACGGTAAATAAGATTGATGCATGGACTATACCTTGATACCGAATGTGAAGATTGTGAAGATAGCTTTGAATGCTAGAGCTAAAGCAAGAAGCCAGAGTGCATTGAAGACGCCTGGCCCTGCCTCAGCTGAAGGATAGACGGACTGGTCGATCCGGGTGTAATTTCTCTGATAATCACTGTGACGCAGAGAACGGGGAAAAGAGATAAAATGATATGCAATTATACATATGATATAGGACTGAAACAGTAGATGATATATAGTACTGCATGAGAGGAGAGAGAGAGAGAGAGAGAGAGAGAGAGAGAGAGAGAGAGAAAAAAAAATGAATATGGCCATCAAATAAAGAACAATCTCACCAATATTACCCATTATTATCTATATAAGGCTTCCAAGTGGTACAATAAATCAGTGTATTCAATATCGTTAGCGCAGTACCCTGATGACTAACCAATATTGTTTTCGTATTGATCAGTCATCAGTCATCAACTATTGATATCGACATCATATCGATATCACACACAAAAAAAGCCATATTTACTGAGGTAAGTCAAATTTTGTTATTTCGCTAGTCAGAATTTGTGTGATACAAGAATATATTGCTCCCGTTAAAACAATATTAGACTCGTCTTTGACTCGTCCAATATTGTCATAGCTTGAGCAATACATTCTTGCATCACACTCAAAGCCATCCAATATTATATAATCACTTCACACAATCTATTCCATACTGGTTAATTTAAAAAATGTGTACCGGTACTTTTAAATCTGTTGTATCAGACTTACCCCTGTAACTTGGTAATGCTTGAATCTAAAGTTCTTTATAAATTTACATTTTAGATTAAATTTGTTAAAGAATGCGAATAGGGAGACAGGGGGTTGACACTGACAGGAAGACAGAGACAGAGAGATAGATGCAAAAAGACAGACAGGGGCTGACATGGCAAGAGAGGAAAAAAAAGAGAGAGAGAGAGAGAGAAAGACGGGAGAGTGAATAAGAGAAAGTGGAAGAAGAAGATTGAGATATTCAGAGAAAGAGGATGAGAAAGATTGATGAGATGATCAACAGAGACAGATGATGGAAAATACAGAGATAAACGTATCATTGGTGGGAGATAAACCTGGTAACTACAAAATGTTAAAATTCTAGGAGAATGAAAAGAGCAGTAAGAACCTTCTTTTTAATACAGGAAAAATTGTAGTGCATAACATGGGTTTATGAGAACAGCATATTGGTCCTTAGCTACAAGATTACATGGATGAGATAAATACGTTTGTCAGAAATTGAGTTACGAGGTTTTATTACCCCTCCTTTCACAAAGCTAGATAATAAACTAATAATAAAGCTTTAGTTACCATAGTAAATTATCATCTTCTGGTCCACATTCAGAGAAGAGTAGATAGATGAGCTTGCTAGTGTTCATTCTGGTATACTGGTTGGGAAAGCTGATTGCTGCTGTAAGGAATGCGAGTACTATCACCTAGGAAATATAAACATGAGAATAAACATATACATATTAATCTCCAGATATACAGCTTACTAAATTCTCTCAACACTTAGTATACAACATATAAGACTCTCTCAACACTTTATACAACATAAAAGACTCTCTCAACACTTAGTATACTTGACTAAAAATACCTGTTGGTGTTCAAACTGGGTTCTTATTTCATACATTTTGAGTAAAGTATAAGATTTCCTTGCACCCACTTCAAATTGCTAGTCAGATATAAAACTAAACTAACAAATAATATCTGGGAAACATTTAAAACAAAAACAGTAATAATAAAGAGTAGTTCCTCATACTTCTGATTTTTCCTGTGTATCCACACTACCGTGGGAATAATCAATCCATAATGAAACCATTTTGTTCGCCTTGAAGAGGTTATAGTTTCACTCTCTATCCTCTTTTGCTCATCCAAAATACAGAACAATCTCACCAATATTACGCACACACAATTACATAGTGGTTTATCAAAAGAATGTGTTCTTTCAAATCTTTTGTATCAGACCTACCTCTGTGACTGGGTATCGCTTTAATCTAGAGTTCTTCCTAAATTTGCACCATCTCAGATTCAACTTGTTGAAGAATGCACCATAGAGACCCTGGAAAATAGAACAATTATAATATCTTCACAGATATTCAGGCAAAATTCATTTATTTATTTTTATACTTAATATATGTCATTGAAGAAGACAAAAAAAGGACAAAATTAAACTTCAAAACAAATGAAATTGCACAATTTCACCTTTACAACTGAAAAGACTGAATCATACCGTACAAAGAAGATTGATATATTTCTGATTAAAATATGGAATTTTGCAAGGAAAGAAACATGTTAATAAGAAGATAATCTTGCACCATAGAAGAGCATAATCAATCCATGCAAACTCAAAATATTGCTGTATACTGACTATTTTGTTCATATTTCAACAATATAAACTAAATATCACTTCTCATTTAATACAAACTTTCACAAATCTTTTTAAAACTGAAGGGTTTTTTCTCTGTTCACCAAGTTTGATGTTTCATTCATGCATATAAAAACACAGAGAAAAGAATTTCCAATGAGTCTATGAGAATGAGTTAAAGATAAAGTTGCGTTTTGGTCAAGTAATTACATTGTGAAAGAAACGGTGTGGAATCGATCAGAACAGGTTGATCATCTAGCAAATAAGTATTGGTGTGTACTGCAAGGTTCTGGAATCATCAAAATGATAATAAATTTGGCCCAGTCTTGGTAAAGTTACAACCACTGTACACAGAAAGATGTATATGGGGCTACCAGACATGTGGCATAAAAATCTGCCCTGATTGTTATGTTGTTACATGCCATATTTAGAATATAATTTTTTTTGAAGAGCAATGGTTTCAAGGGAACATTTGTTATCTGATGTTCTTCCACACGTGCATAATAACAATAATAAAGCTCAAAAATTATTTTTCACCTCTTCACAGAACTCAACCCTCTCTTTAAATACTTACTCCAAATATCCCTAAAATGATGAAGAAGAAGAGCTCGTACAGAGACCAAGGCAGATCATACTCCACATAGAACATGACCAGATGATCGGTACCGAAGGGGTTGACGCTACGCAGGACGAAGGCAGCTACCAGGGCACAGAAGAAAGATCGCCATAGTGTCTTGAGGGGGAAGTAATAACTTATCTGTAATGAGAAGGCCATTAATGCAGGTGGAATGCAGTTATACTACATGGATGGTAACAGTATTACATCGTTTTGCATAACTTTTGCATGGTGATTCTGTACAAAGAATCATACAGGGCCCCAATTACAAGCAGATTTCTACTTCTAAGGGGTCCTTACCATTATATCGTATATTTTCATTGTAAATTGTTTTATACTGGTTGAATAAAAGAATTGAATTGAATTGAATACTTTGTCTACCATTCCCTTGGATAATAATGTAGGATCTTGTGCTATACTAATTACCATTCGAAACAATTTTGACAGAGGTAACATAGTACGCAATGGAATTACTCAAGAGAATATAGCATTTTGGGGACGACTGTGTGCAATGTGCTCCATACGATTTGTCTTTTTTCCATTTAGTTCATCCAAGAATGAAACATCTCTTGATATGACCACTAGATAATGTTAGTGATACTACAAAGAACATTTTGTACATGGTTGTATCAGGAGATTTCTAATGTTGGGATGAAATGAATGGACAAATGCAATGCACGGAATCGCCCTTTTAGGTCTCAGCAAGCATAACAAACAAAAAATCTCACAGAAAGTTATAGAGACTTTGTGCTTTTTCTCTTTGTGAGGAAGATATTTGTTAAAGGTAAAGACCAGTTATGGTCATGCCATTGCATTGTGAAAGAAACGTTGTGGAATCGATCAGAAAAGGTTGATCATCTAGCATCTAGCATCTGCAAGGTTCTGGAATCATCAAAATGATAAGAAATTTGGCCCATTCTTCGTAAAGTTACAAGCACTATACACAGAAAGATGTATATGGGACTACCCTATATCTCTCACAGACCATGAGAGAAACAAATTTACCAAATATATGAATTAGTAGGCGGTTTCCCGGCAAATTTTTTATCATCATGTATTAGTCAAAACATATTCTTTCACATGATTGGTAATGAGAGCTTCCATTTCATTTTTTGAAATTGGGGCGTTTCCAATACTGGTCTTTACCTTTAATGGTATATGCTAATAATATATAAGAATCACATTGATTCATATTGATATTCTCCCCCCTCTCTCTCTCTCTCTCTCTCTGTATTTCCTTCTCTCTCTCTCTCTCTCTCTCTCTCTCTCTGTATTTCATTCTCTCTCTCTCTCTCTCTCTCTCTCTCTTTGTCTCATCGTCCAATACTAATCTTCTTTTTTTTTAAAGTTTAAAAATAGCCCACTGTCATTTTTAGATGATATACTCAATATTGGAAGTACAAAAAGAATGCTTGTCTCCCCCCCCCCCCCAAGTTGGCTGTTTTGAATGTACCTATTTTAATCCTTTTACCATGCTAGTATTGAATTTTTATGACATAATAGTAAATTTGTAAAAAATAACAGCTCATGTTTTTGTTGTATTTCTGATAACTTATGCAGTGTGTTTATGGTTTTTAGTTACAGAATCAAATTCAATATTGCTAGTTTTTTACATGTATATCTTTAAAAGTGTTATTTATTGTGCCTAACATGTAAACGTGAATATTTCAGCCATGGCTGTCTTTCATGTAAAATTGTATTTGTATGAACCATATTTGTGCTATAATAAAAAAAAATTTTGAATCGAAAATTGAATGAATTGAACTAATCTGTTTACCTCCTCTAAGCTGAATAGGACACCCCCTATAGGAGCACCGAAGGCCACTGAGACACCTGCTGCAGCAGCTGCAGAGAGCACCTAAAGAGGAGAACAATGCTTTGCATTTAACAGAGATTTATTAGAAGCATCTCAAGATCATCACAAATTGCTTGAATCAGTAGATAGAGAAAAGTGAAAAAGAAGAACAGAAGTATTTTGTTCTTACAAGGATCTTGAAATTACAGAATCAGGAAATATTCCCCCTCCCCTTTAAATTAATAGCCATTCACTGTATATCTCTTTTTTCGAAGTTGAAAACACTGAGAAAACATCTTGAATGAAGGGGAAAAAGAGGACATGCAATACATAATTTTATTTCAACGATATAAGTGATAGTTATTTGTTTATACAACATACAAAGTTTGAGTCCTATTCAAAGGATTGGTTTATTGTAGATATGACACTAACAGAGCACAAGTACATTTACTTGGACTCAAACCCAAGCCAACCCATCGACAAGACCATCATTATATCCATTGATCAAAACTGCCTCCACAAAGAAGAGTCAGTGAATTATAGAGAAAGCCTGGAAACAAAGAAAAGTTGAGACTGGACACCGGGGACCCATTTCACAAAACTTGTCATCAGTGACAGATGACAGTTTTTGTTATAAGCTACTAAAATCCTTGCTTCTGATTTGTTATCAGCAGATTTGTCACGGATATTTGTCATTTGTCATTGAAAAAAGGCTTTGTGAAACGCCCACCAGGTGAAAGCAGGGACTTACCCTTGACTTACCTCTCTTTTCTTGGCCTCATTATTGTAGTACTTTGGGAAGAAGTAGGTGAAGATGTTGCCACAGCAGCAAGCGACGTGTACCAGAGGTCCTTCCTTACCTAGACTAAGGCCAGCAGCTACTGCCATCATCATGGTCAGTGTCTTGATCAGCAATGTCCACTTGCCAAGGTAGCCCCGCATGATGAAACCGCTCAGGATCGTTTTGATCTGAAAAAAAAGAGAAACATTCATTCATTCAGACAGGTTAAATTGTTAATAATGTTCTGATCGTTTGCACCAAAGATCTTAACAGATCACATATGGATTGAACAGTTTCCAGAAGAGTATATCCAGAGTTCCCACCAGTCAATAAACAAAATTATAAATCATACAAAGAGTTAGGGACCAAATGAAGAAACAGCAAGGGCAACACAAATTTGAATTCATCAATAACAGTCTGCAAACTGATCATTTTAGCAGAATCATCAATATCATATAATAATAATAGTTTTACTAAACCAATAGATTCAGTGTCAAAATACAAGTTATGCTTCAGTGTAGAAATTACACATAATTATGTATCTTTAAGATATACATATTCTTCTATCGGGGAAACAACTATTAGGAGATCCCAGGATGGATCTTAAAGGGGCTGTAGCATGACGAGACTATGCGTCTTTCGCGATGCCCACTCGGGGAAAATCAAGTATAATATGACTACGGACGACGCGACCGCAGTAGGCCTACATATTTATGTGCGTGCAACCTATCCGAAACAGAAGCGTGAGGAGATCTTTGGTCTGTCTGCGAACGCTAGCACGCGCTGACCCAGTTAATCAAGTCCATTTGTTTACGTGCAGTTGTCCAAAAGAAGACGTAGATGGCGCAACCAGTATTTCCCATACTACACCTCCTTTAATAGTTGCATGTATATGTGTCACGATAAACTCTCTCAATAATAATCGCTATGGGCACACTGAACAGTAGGCACCTACCTCTGGGATTCCAGATCCACAAGCATAAGGTGCAAACATGCGCACCAGCAGGACGGTGATGGTAGCAAGCCCCACGCCCCAGACAACAAACATGAGATAAGCGATGACATACGCCAGGGCATCGTCGGGCGACTTGTGGTGGAAGAGCGCGGACCATGTGACCCACTCGGAGCAGTTGTAGGAGCCAAAGAGGGTGGTGTTCCGGATCCAGCAGCATTCCTCGCGGTTGAGCCAGAAAGCGTTTTTGCAGACACCAAGCTTGAGGTCACTCAACCAACTGGTACCAATGTCAACTATCCCTGCGCAAGCTCCTACGTATCACAACAAACAGAAAAAGAAAAAATAGATTTATTTTGAATGCACTTTAAATACATTTCCTTTAATTTAGAATACACAATGGTGTCGTGGTGGAGTGGATACGTAGCCGGACTGTTGATCACAAGGTCCGCGGTTCGAGTCCCGCCGCGCCACTAATGTCCTTTGGCAAGACATTGATCTACATTTGCCACACTCAACCCAGGTGATGTAAATGGGTACCTGGCAGGAATTAATTCCTTGAAATGCTGGAGCGCTGTATAAACGGCAGCTAGGCTACCGTATTAAAGCCGGGTAATCATAAATTCGCCTCGGAATAGAATTATCTAGATAGACGGCACTATAGAAATGCTCATTATCATTATTATTATTATTAATGGACTAATTTTTTTAAAGACCCTGACCTAAAGAAATCAAAAACATAATTTTAATCACAGAAGCAACATGACTTTACATAAATTAACATGAGTGACCTTTCAATAGGTCATCTTTGAACTTATGACCCCTTTAACAAAGAGCTAATAATCCAAGAATACCTACCTGTGGCTAAGCCAACCAGCAGGACAATGATCCAACCAGACAAACTGAAGACCATGTCCTTGATGGTGCCCCAGCAGGAGTCCTTTCTGTTCTTCTTAAGGTCTTTGCGTTCCTTGCGGTAGCGGGCCGTGTCACGCACCCAGTCAATGGTGTGGAAGTCATCATACTGGCTTATCTCTGCAGAGAGCTTGTCCAGGGACTCTGGAACCACAATGTGAGACATTTTCAGTACAGTTTCAGGCCACTACTGCTCTGAGGTCTTTGATATTGTATGACATTGCCTCTGTACTTCAATAAGGATTTTTTATAAGATATCACAGCCCAATTTTCTATCATCGGATAATCCTGTGAAATACTTGGAGAAACGTTCTTCTAAAACAAAGCTTTCTATTTGCTTCATCGCCTCTCATTCCTCCCGTCAGTGTATTAGTGTTGGACCTCTCTAGAGATACCCATGATTGGCAAAGGTAAAAAGTTGCAAAACAAACTAACCTCCATTAATATTAAACCTCTAATGACTACGACTAGGATTACTAATGACTCACAGCATAATAGCATCCCTTACTAAACCTCTTCAGTACTGGACCATCACTGTGAGATTTCCAAAATGCAACTACTACTACTAGTAATAATAATATGTCCATTTATAGAGTTGCTACTATGTGATCATCTAAATCATACTAACCTCCATTATTATTGGACCTCCCAAGGGATACCCCATGTCTAACAGACATTCTAGTCTAAAGAATAATCAGTGGTGCAAAGCATACTAACCTCCATTATTGTAAGATCTCCCTAGTGAGTGCCTGGGAGACGTCCTAAAAGACGATGTCGTTGCAATGTCGGTCACATCAAGCAACTCCTCATCGTCGGTGTCTCTGTAGGGACTTTGGGAGATGTCCGTCTCCTCTGTACTGCTGTAGCCTTGACCGGATCCTTCCGTGATGAGATGGGTTGTGTCTTCTGTAGCCATGTTATCCAACTCAAACCACCTACAATGTACAGATAAACACATTTTCATTCAGTGATGGTGCATCTGAGGGGGACAGGGTCTTGCGCCCCTCTAAAATTGTGAATAATTTGATAACTTTTTAAAAAATAATTTGCTTGTCAGATTCTATGGATGTAGTTATGGCCCTGAAAAATGTAGCTCAAAGCATCTGCATCGTGTTAGCAGAGATGCCAACCTTCATAAACAAAAAAAAGTATTCTTAAAAGTAAAAAACAGTATTTTTGGAAAAATCTCTCCCCTTAACATATCGCTATCCTGCAGCTGTATTTTTTAACAATTGTCCAAGATTGTCCAAGGCTGGGCACGTACCGGTATGCGATACATAGCGCAGGGCAAATACAAACTGTATACAAATCAAACACGTGGGTTGTTCACAACATGCACTGTTTGGGGCCCCCTATCATCGTACTGTGTGTATCTTTTGAAGACATAGGTGCATAATACACATACGACACAAAGCACATGATCAGAAATTAAGAAAAACATCAATAATATACCGTATATTTATAAAAAATAATTAAAAAATTATAAAAAACGTAACATAAAAATTAAAAAAAGTACTGCCGTAGCAAAAAAACAGAACAGTTGGCATCTCTGTATTAGGAAAAAAAAATTACTCATGGTCCTGGATCTACCGGTAAGTGACACAGGGGACTTGTGCCCCTAAAAATTTGAATAATTTGATAATCTCCCATCCATTTTGTTGGTGTGCTCGCTGTCAGAGATTAAGCGATGTACATGCAATTACCACTCTGAAAATGTGACATACATTTTTCTTTTTTTCTATTTTATTTCATCACAGATTTGCCAGTTGCCACTGCCATTTATTTCAAGCTTCAATACTTGTCATCCATTCACCTTGCACACACACAAAAAAAAAGAACCTTTGAATCAATTTCAGATTTGAAAATATACAAGAACGTGATAACACTATCTTATCATTTTTAAAGACACAAACCAGATCAGAATCCCTCTAGGGACCACCCCTTAACCCATTGACTACTGCATTTCCTCATTCCCATCTAGAATTTAAAACAGGAGCCAACCATTTCCAGTAGTCAATGAGTTAACATCACCATCAATAGGATGCAGGTATAATTCTTAACCTATATGTTAGGCTACATGTATATAGGAAGACCACTGAATTAAACTTTCAGATCAGCAAACATTGTCTGTAATACTTAAAGCCTCGTCACAAATAGGCTGCAAAAACATTCTTTCAAGATTCCTGGCATTGGCATAGAACTTAGAAGGTGAAAACATGATTACAGTATCCAAAATAATTTCACTACTCACTCTTTTTGAAAGCACCAGCATCTCATATTTTCTGCTGCTCTGCCTGACAATAAAATACTAACTAAACTTGTACAAGTATATATGAATATGTATGTACACATGAGTATTTAGCCTCTTCTAATTGTACAGGTACTGCACATTTTGTATCCCTTTTCAGAAACCTCCCAAAACTGAAATTGTATTCAAATAGACTCGACCAGAGACAAGAGTAAAGCATACAGACATATCAGACTTTGGACTTTTGAGTGCTGCAGCGTGACACCGCATCCTTATTTCACATCAAACCAAAGAATACAACCTTTATACATGTATGAAAATTAACAACAAGTAAAAAACATGAGCACAACTATTTTTTTAATAAGCAAACTTGAGGCAACTGCAATAGCCTTGTGCATCACCTATTGAAATGTGAGAACTTAACAATGATGTTGTACGTAATCTGAACATGATTTCTACGGGATGTACAATAGGGTATTGAAATTACCCTTGAGTTGATTTGTCAATACCGGTAGTTAAAAATAGTCGCGATCGTGTTAACAGTAAAAACAAAGCTTTATATTAAGCTAACTGTGTCTGACAGTGAAGTCTAGCAAGTAAACGGTTTCCTTGCATAATTTGAATATTAGGACACTGCTATAAACGTTTAAATTTCATAGAGTGGACATACATGACATATTCATAATTCCTGCAAAGTTCTACAGAATTTGATGTTGGCTGCAAAAGGGACATAGTATCTTGTAAAAATTGTATGTAAAGCGTGATACCAACAGACTGTATGAAATTTTCTCACTTTTCAAGGATCACTAATTTTGATAGAGCTATGAGCTCTCAAGCACAAAGTGTCAACTTGTGTTTGTAAATTACTTTTTCTTCAGTTGTAGCATGTTCCAAGACATCAATTTTTGAGATAGTGATATCTCTGGAAGTCATTGATGATCTAAATAATTTATGTAGAATATAACTAAAAATGATGGATGGAATACATGTACATATCTCACGTTCCAAAATAATTGTATTTACAAAAATGTCAGAATTGAACTATAGTCTTCTTCTTCTTCTTCCCGATGAGCAACAGTAATCAACAAGCTGATTATTCAGTCATTTCTAAAGTTCTAAACCGTAGACAGTAGCACTCATCAGACTCAAGAGTATTACTATACTTTGTGTGTAATAGAAAATTTTAAGATACATACTTCAAATACGATAATGGCAATTATTTTAGTGTACCGTACCAAGGCGCACACCAAGATTCACTGAATTCAGCAAACTCCATGCATGTGCCTTACTATACTTAACTAATCACTATTATCGTAAAGAGAGTATCAATTTAACAATACAAAACAGATTTTTTTTTGTTTTTGTGTGTACACTGCATCACCGCGTGTATTTGCATTTCCGGCAGAACCAACATTGCAAACTCGAGAGAGAGAGAGAGAGAGAGAGAGAGAGAGAGAGAGAGAGAGGTCAGAGGTTTTTTTAATGTAAATGGCATGTAATTGGCTCATTACCATCAGTAACATATGGAAGGTAACCAAAATGATATCACTCCTGTATCAAATTTTCAAATTTTTAGTTAAATTTACCTTTATCGATTTCAAAGTGCCTTGTAGAACTTGTATGAGAAGAAAGAAGAGTCCACTAGCGAACTCTGAAGCCAGTGTGTAACACACATAGCAGCGTTACTAACCTGGCTGTGTATAAAGTTGGGCAACACTGTACTGCAGTACATTCACGCAACATTTTGTAAAACTTGCTGTATGATACTTTTAAATGGTTTGATGAACAATTTAATGAATCAATGATAATGATGATGATCATCATCATCATCTATACGGGATTGTAGGATATCCTGTAGGTCTCCCGGTCAGTTTACTTGGTACATTAGTAAAGGTCTATAAATCAGTGCATGCGTGGACGTCAGACTATGCTATTTAATACAAAGTGTTTGTCTGACCAAAAAAGAATACACGCTGTGTTTAAATGAATTGATTTTGGTAGCAGTTACTAGAGACACTGGTAAACTGTTCCAAGACTGGATGACCTGTTTGCTAAAAAACGTTACTCCTGACATGCAATCGACAGCGAGTAGTGAATAACTTCAATGAATGGCCTCTTGTTCTCTAATTCTGTGATTTCACAAAAAAGCATTCTGGATCGAGTCTATCTATACCATGAAATATCTTGAAAACCTGGATCATGTCCCCTCTTTCCCTCTGGTAATGTAAAGAGTAGAGATTGAGCCATTTAAGCCTTTTGCTGTAAGATAGGGCACTGAAACCTGGCAACAGTCTCGTCGCTCTACAAATAAGTAAAGAATGGAACTTACAAGTTTCGGTGATGAACATTTCCTTGGTTTTGCAGATATTTAAGCCTAATTTTGCCGATAGGGGCAACTATGTTCCACCATTTTCTAATTTGATGACGTTTTTTTTCAAAATGAAGGGAGACCTCAATGCCTGATTACTTAGTACATGGTATGTTGTTTATCGTTGCTAACATAGGTCAGCGGCAGGCTATCTGTGCATGCAAGATAGACAGCCATCCCTTTGATATTGCACAACTGCTTTAAATGACGTCACTGGTAGAGTGTCCACAACGCATGTTTTTTTATTTTATCAATATACGGTGGTGGTTGAGAAGGAATTAAGCAGTCGTCTCTCGAAAAGGAGGGGAAAAAAGGGTTTTAATGTATTTTACTGGTATAAAAGTTTTAAAAATTGATCGTTTGATCAACACATGTCTGCATGTATGAGGTCCATCCCGTTTTAATGGTTAGACTTCATGCATTGTAGGACTACCCCAGGGCACTCTCATTCACAAGAAATGACAGATTTTAAGAAAAAGTCAAAACCTGTGAACCTGAAATGTACCCATTTATTGGTTTTTGTGCGATCAGTGCTTGAAAAACACCCCTTTTTAAGAAAAACTTTGACGCCGCGGCGGCGCCGTATATCTTGCAGCGGTGGTTTAAACTCTCGCTGCGCATGACGTCATCTAAATCTCATCCCTTCTAGTCTACGCCGAAGGCAAAATGATTATAACAGAAAAACATGTCATTACTCATTACGAACTCGTAGCTTGTGCACAGATTTTTATCATGGATGTCGATTTTGACCCATTATTTCCTAAAAATGGACCATTAAACGGATTATTTCAGTCAAGTTGGCAAGTGGAACCAAAGTAGTTCAGCCTATACCGGTAGGCCTACCTAATTTACAATATAAAATGCAGCGGATATGGATCCTGTGAACGTGAAAGGAGTAATTCGGGGATAAGTTTTGCAAGTTTGGTGCACCGATTTACACACCTAACCCACACCTTTGCCGGTATGGTCGGCTTCCGTCTCTAAAGAGAGAGCCGACCCTACCCAAATAAGAGGCTTAATGAACGAAAGAGACGGAAAATTCGGTCTAGACTAGGAGTGGTAGCCCTAGACCTTTTATTTTTTAATTAACAATAACCATGATAACATTAACAGCTCTCCACATTTTCCTGTTGAAATCATGTGATCAAATCATTTGAATTTAAATTTAAAAGCAACTAGATCTAGGCCTACGGAATAAATTGAACAAACTAAAACAAAATATTCTCTCTACTACTGAATTAATCATACATGTCTACCTAACTGAATATATAATTTGAATTTTGAAAACAAAGTGCATATCAAAACAGCAGATAACACAGTAACAGCTCGTTCACATCAGAAAAGTAAACCTGTGGGACTACACTACGAAACAATTAGTCTCTCTTTGAATGCATTTTAATAAAATGGTACAAAATAATGCAAGTTTTACATACCGATGAGAATCAGAATTAGACTGTGAATTTTCACCTTTCTTTCTGCTTCTATGCCTCTCATAAAAGGCACTCATTTATAAATAGCCCGATGATATTTTCGTCTACTCCGTGAAGACTGTGAGTGAGTGAGACCTATGACGTAATCTGCTCAAATTACCACGACGCGATCCGCGACGTCACGCTTTCAGCTCTCGATCCAGTCTCGACTTCATTCTCCACTTTTATTTTCCTCTCAACAATTCTCCTCAAAACGATGGCATTACCGAGAGGGCTGGAGGAAGTAAAGGCACCCATAAAAATTGTTGCCACAACTGGTTTTAACACCTCGCTGTTTATAGGGCGGCATCGTTATGCAGCATATCCAGGGGCGTAGACAACGGGGGGGATGAGGGGGATGCATCCCCCCCGCCTCACAAGGTGGGGGGGATGGCATGTACAATCATCCCCCCCAGGTTTTGGGGAATGATATTTGCTTACTTAATAAGTCATAATGATGATAATAATAGTAATAATAATAATGATAACAATTATAATATTAATAATAATAATTATTATGATGATGATAATAATAATCCTCATCATTATTGTAATTGTGTTTATTGTTATTAGCCGCATTCACACGGTTAAAGCCAATTCAGACGGTAAAAAAAAGAAAATCTTACAAGTATTTTGTGGTTATCTTGTGGTTTGGAAACCACAAGATAACCACAAAATTAAACAGGCGCGGATCTACGGGGGGGGGGGGGGTTTAGTGGGTTTAAACCCCCCCCCCTTGGGCGGCCCAAAAAAACAAACAAACAAAAAAAAGGGGGGGGGGAAAAAGAAGAAAAAAAAAGAAAAAAAGAAAGAAAAAAAGAACGCACGCTGGAAAGAAACCCTTTCAAGTATTGTGAGAAGATATTCAACTCATCTGGTAACTTAACCAAACACATGATAACTCTGGATGTAACTGTGTATTTAACTGTTACTCGATTTAAAAAGACGTTATCATGCACTGCTTTTTATAGTCTCCATTGTGTTAATAGATGCCAGGAAAACATCACTTACGGGGTTCAAATAAACACCCCCCAAAAAATCGGCTCGCCGCTTTGCGGCTCGCGGACGATGCTCCGCATCGTCATTATTTTGGTCAACCCCCCCCCCCTTAGCAAAAAGCTAGATTCGCCCCTGAGTCATCCCCCCCAGGTGTACGAACCTGTCTACGCCACTGAGCATATCTATCAAGATCACCACGGTCACCACATCATCATCACCATCATGCTCACCATAATCATTATCATATCATCATAATTGTCTTCATCATAACATCATCATAATCATAACCACTATCATCAGCAGCAACATCATCATCATCATCATCATCATCACATCATCGTTATTACATGATGTTTTTTTCCTGTTAGTACGATCGAGTGGCGTAGTGTGGGGCCATGCAGACGGGGGGGGGGGGGGTGCAAGATAGGTCTGATCATCCACGTCTCGCTTTGCAACAAAATGATTAATTAAATTGATCATCGCAATGAATTCTTTATGAATATCAGTCTGAATAATTGCCTTAATTTTGCTAAGTGTCCTTGTGCATGACTCGTCATGGCATGCACTTTTTTCATTTAGCATTTTCATTTACGTATGAATTTAATCAATAATTGATCGCTTACTATATTTGCCTGAACAATGGACAAGTCGTTATAACCTATTTAGTACAGGGTTCTACAATTTGTTTTGGTTTGGCTTATTATTTTTTTTTTATTTGCAGGCACACAACAATATATTCCAGACATAGGACGTTAGTATTGCGACAGGGATTCGAATCCCGTACCTTGTGGTTCATGGTCCTGAGACTAGCTTACTGCTAAAGGTAATAACACAATCAAAATGTCACCTCGTGTCCATGCAACGGGCATATGAGCATTGTGATTCATTTAGACATTAAAATATTGTCACGTATCTTCATCCTCTTAATAACAAAGAGACACCTATTTTCCTCCAATTAAAGTCCATGGAAATTATTTTGACTGTAGTATATGCATTAGTTCATTAAGCAAAAAAACATCGCATAATTAGTGGGAGGAGGGATCGAGCCCCGAGCCCCGCCGTTTCGCAGGCGCTGACATGTAGGTCTCTAGACAAGCATAATTCTTGCCTGACTGTATATTTGGGAATTTGTCATTTTCCAACAAACGCATACGAAAGTTAGGAAATACAAGTTCCGAAAAATTAACTCAATTGTAAATCACTGAAATCGAATTAGAAATAAACCCCCCCCCCCCCATCAGTTCACCAGTGGTGTCCAGTGGCGTATCTGGCGCTTGGTCTCGTTTGAGGTAGGGAGGGGGGGCGAGAGGGGCGCAAAAGCATTTTTCCCCCTTTTCTTTTCTTTCCCTTTTCCTCCCTTCCTTCTCTCCCTTTTAAGTTTGATGGGGGAGGCCTTTCGCGCCCCGCCCCCGATTCACACGATTTTGGCGTGATTAACTGCAACTGATCTCTCCTTATTTTCACCCGTTTCTTTTCTCCTTCCTCTCTTTTGTTCCCTTTTAGCTCTCTCTTTTCCCTTTTTATTCCTTCTCTCTTCATTTTGGCGAGGGGGGAGGGGTGTCAAGGGCCTTTTGCCTCCCCCCGATCAAAAAATTGTTGGCGGGAAAATTGCAATTGATACCCCCCCCTTCTTTCCTTTCTTTTTCCTCTTTTTTGCTTCCCTGTATCTCCCTTTTTCCTTTTTTTTTCCCTTTCCTCCATTCTCTCTTTTTTGGGAGGAGGGGGGAGGCAACAGCCACGGAGACAAGGCCCTTTCACCCCACCCCCGATCTCTTTAATTTCCCCCCTTTCTTTTCTTCTTTAATTCTCTTCCTTCTTTTCTTTCTCTCCTCTTTCTCTTTCCCTTCTTATCCTTTTCTCTCTCTCTCTCTCTCTTTCTCTCTCTTGTTTTTTTTTAGGTGGGGGGATGGGGCAAGGCTCCCTCGACCCCCTGGATGCGCGCCAGACTCTGTCCTGCTATAATATAGGAGCACACCAGCCTCTTTATAGTAATTCTTTTCCCCTGGATGGACACACGCTATGGTCATTGTGGAAGGATATCATGATGACGAAGTTTCTTTGGACTTTTCCACTTCATGCACGGATATTTGAGCACCACCTACGCACCCCTATAGAGGTCTTATTGGTGTCAGGGATACAACCGTTATTTATAATAATAATAATATGTGCGCTCGTTTGAAAATTTTGGATTGGAAAGACCATCACCCAAATAATACATTTTTGAAGTGAAAGTCTTGCCTTAAGAGCATAACGGTGAAGAAGAAAAAAAATCGCCCCCAGGTGCCCGACTTCAGGTTTCAACAGATAAACCGTGAGAATCATTTATAAATTACTTTGAATTTGCAGAATTCATATCATATTTCCCTCCCTATCTAAATTTAAGTCCTCTTGTTCTTGTGAACACATCACTCCAGTACTTCGCAAATTGCATTGGTTGCCGGTGATGTACTGCATTTTGTAAAAACTCTTGGTTCTAACTTATAAATGTATTCATGAATGGACATCAATTTATCTGCAAGAACTAATTGCACTTTTTCAGTTTTCATTTTCATTTATGCATAATTGATTTAATCAATTTGATCGCTTTCTATATTTGCCTCTACAGTGGAGTCGTCGTTAAAACCTTTTTAGGACAGAGTTCTATATTTGTGTTGTGGTTTTGCTAATCATTTTTATTTTTATTTGCAGGCACATAAGAATATATTCCAGATACAGGACGTTAGTGTTACGGCATGGACTCGAATCCCGGACCTTGTGGTTCAGAGTCCTGAGACTTGCCCGCTTAACAGCTAAATGTAATAATACAATCGAAATAATAACATCTCGTGTCCAACGGGCGTATAAGTATTGTGAATCATTTAGACATTTAGTTATTGTCACATGTATTCATCCTCTTAATAACAAAGAGACACCTATTTTCCTCCAATTAAAGTCCATGAAAAATATTTTGCCGGTAGTATATGTATTGATTTATTAAGCAAACAAACATCGCATAATCAGGATAACGCTGAGTTGGTAGCTATATAGATCTGGGAACTCACAAACCATTAATATTAAGCCTGGCAAATGATGCAAACAAGAATTTTTTTTTAAACACCGCACACAAAATATGGATAAACAAACACATCATAGATAACGGTGAGTTGGTAGCTGCAAAGGTCTGGCATCTACCTATATGATAGTGCGACAGGAATTCGAATCCCGTACCTTGTGGTTCACAGTCCACTTAACCCCATGCATGCAGGTAATTATACAATCGAAATGACACCTCGTGTTCAACGGGCGTACATAAGCATTGTGATTCCTTTTGACATTTTAGATATTGCCACGTGTCCCCATCCTTCCAATAACAAAGGGCCACTTATTTCCCTCACATATAATTATTAAGTCCGCATAACTTATTTTGTATATAGCCTAAATTAGTTTATTAAGCCTAGCAAATGATGCAAACAAGTCTCCAATATAAAACAAAACAAAAAACGCAGACTAATAGATAAGCAAACACAGCATAACCAGAATAACGGTGAGTTGGTAGCTACAAAGGCCTACCAACTCATAAACCATCATGACTGATGAAAATACATATTATATTGCGACAGGGATCCGAACCCCATTCATTGTGGCTCACAGTCCACTTAACCACATGCAGGTAATAATACAATCGAAATGACACCTCGTGTTCAACGGGCGCATATAAATTGTATAATAATAATAATAACTAAATATATATTTATAATGCGCCAACTCCACATGACTAATGTGTTCGAGGCGCATGAAGAAAAAAAATTATAAGTACACAAAAACTGCATTGTATATATGCATTGTATATGCATTGTGATCCCTTTTTGACATTTAGATATTTTCCCGTGACTTCATCCTCTCAATAACAAAGCGATACTTTTTTCCCTTACATTTAAGTCCGCATAAATGATATATCATACATATTTATAGCCTAAATCGGTTTATTAAGTTTTGCAAATGCTGCAAACGAGTATTTTGATGAAAATTAAAAAACGCACACGACTAGATAAGCAAACACAGCATAACCAGGATAACTGTGAGTTGTAGCTACAAAGGTCTGGGAACTCATTAACCATTATGATTGATAACAAATACTTATAGAAGTTTTTGATGATTTACTACCAAGGATGTTTTCAAACACTCACAGCAATCCGAATATAATACAACACTCACAGCAATCACAGCAATCACAGCAATCACAGCAATCACAGCAATCACAGCAATCACAGCAATCACAGCTATCACAGCAATCACAGCAATCTGAATAATGAACACTGACTTCACTTTTACTACTACAACAACATCAACAAATCAAGAACAATATCAATACCAAAGCATAATTATTGTATATCCAAAAAGAAATTGTTAATAGTTAAGAAGAGTTGTACTTAAGAGGTTGGAGAAATTAGTATGATCATCAATTTCACCTTGAGATTTATGATATTCAAAATTACGAGAAAGAAATCAATTTGAAAAATTAATCATATTTAGACGAGAAAGATATTACAAGTAAATTCATTGTTCAACGTTTTATATAAAGTATTATATACCTCATTTTAAGATTCTTTACTAATCCTGTCTTCTGATTGGTTGAAAATGCAGTCATGTTCTTAACCATGCCCGCTAATTGAAATTCATAGTCATTTTTCCCGGCTCTACCGGTTTATATCCATTTTTCATAGCACTTTTTCCATGGCTGTGAAACGTGACGTCATTTTGCTGCGATCCCCATTTTGGTTTACGTGTTACCGTATAAGTTTCTTTTGTGCGATGACCGATGCGCAATACCGTTAACGGTGTTTGAGTGCAATTCGATTTTGGTCGCTGCATTCAGGCGACGAATCTACCAATCCACGCAGCGCAGACGACCGATCGCCATTTTGTGTACTAGTCTCGATCGCAAAATACTGGGGTTCTTTGTTTCCAATATTTTGTCAATAAAGAGGCAAAATGGAGGACACAGCTATGCCAAGATTTCAACTTATGGATGACATTCAGCTGCAAGACTTAATCGAGTCTGCTGATAGCAAAAATACGAAGTATGCAGTAAAATACGGCATTAAAATATTTGAAGAGTTCTTGCGAAATGTCAACACGGACCTCGGAGATGTAGATCTAAACAGACTTCCGAAAGCAGACCTGGACAAGATCCTTCAAAAATTCTATGCGGGTTGCAGGCAGAAGAACGGCGATTATTACAGCAAGAAATCAATGCTAACGATCAGATTCGGACTTCAGCGTCACTTTCTCAATACTTTCGTGTAAACGTGTTTGGTATTCCCTGTTCTACTGGAGCACAGCTTGTTGGATTTCATACTGTACACAAGTTATTGTTGGTGTTAATATTCATGACTTCAAAGAGATGGAAACCTAAATGGGTGAGTCAACATTTTCCTTTTTTTCGGTATATAAAATATATATTGACTGCTTTTAATATTCGAGGCATAGTTGTTTCTATAGGGTCTCGGGAAACTCACAACCTGCTATAGACCCCGCGGCGCAAGCGCCTTGGGGTCATAGCAGGTTGTGAGTTTCCCTTGACCCTATAGAAACCACTATGCCTCTCAAAGCAGTCAATATATCCTTACCATGGACTCATTAAAATGTGAATCTAAAAGAGGACACGCAAATTCAAATCCTCTAACATAATTTAAAGTCGATCACGTGAAAGTTTAATAATAAATTTTGACCGAAACGGGAAAATTATGAGGCAGCGATATTAACGAGTAAATTTGCTTACGGCAATAGGATGACTGAATTGGTAAACTTGTAATAAGTACATTACATTTCCATGTTTTAAATACAACTTTCAAAATAGTATCACAAGAAATGAAAGTAGGCTTGATTTGCTTAGGTAAATTTCTACAATATAAGCGTTTGATTTGCTTAGGTAAATTTCTACAATATAAGCGTTTGATTTGCTTAGGTAAATTTCTACAATATAAGCGTTTGAATTCTTAAAATAGTCTCATAAAAGCAAAACAAAAAATAAAGGAAAGAGGTTAGAACTCCGACTTCGTCACACAGTGCTAGCTCTCTATTTCTTTTCAGATCAACTCATAGTAACTGCATCCATCATTTTGGGAGAAGTAGCTAGAAAGAACGCTTGCTCTTGTTTCTTCATTCAGCTCGCATACTCCGTCTTTGTAATTGATGGACTTGCAACCAACTTCATGAATGCATTCTGCGGCGCAACGCAGCTTGGTTCTCGCTGGCACTGTCTTTATCACGTGATCAGTTAGACAGTGGCCAATGAGAGGGCGTCCCCCGTCGTCCTTAGCAACGGAGAAGTAGCTGGCAGACTTGATGGGGGCCATCGGTTTAACTAGATTATGAAGTGAAGATAGAGAAATAAACGACCATAACAGATATAAATACAAAGTCATGTATAACTACAGTTAACAGCTAAATTATTCATACCGCTTGTAAATTTGATCATTTAATAATCATATATAATTTTTATATAGCGCTTAATAAAACTGTCTCTAAGCGCTTTACAAAATACTATTGCGCCGGTCGCGCATATTTTTTTTTACACAACAGTACTGTTTAGCCATTTTCGTGAAAAAATTCCAAGAAGTGCTCTGCAGTGAAAGAGTCAAAGTCGTCAGCGCACTATTAATATGTGCAAGCACGTACACCCAGGGAAGCCGGAAGATGATAGAAAGGGGAAAACGAGGATAGCGGAGAGGATATGGAGAAGGAAAAACAAGAAAATACATAAGGAAAGAGAAGAGGATAAGTCAAAGGAAGAACATAGAAATACATAATTGAAGAGCTAAGAGGATCATAGATCTACTAAGGAAAAACAGGGAAATACATAAAGAAGGAGAAGGGAATCTATCAGATTAAAACAAAGACATAGATGACGAAGGAGAAAAGGATAGATTAAAGGAGAAACAAAGAAATACATACAACAAAAGAGAAGAGGTTAGAATAAAGGAGAACAAAAGAAATACATAACGACGAAGGAGAACTGGGGGTAGATTGAAGAAAAAACAAAGAAATATCGAAGGAGAAAAAGGATAAATTGAAGAAAAAAAGAAGAAATGGGTCTACATGACAAAAGAGAAGAGGATAGATTGAAGGAGAACACAGAAATACATAATAAAAGAGAAGAGGGGATAGATTTAACTCGAAACAAATAACGAGTATGTATACATGCATGAACATCTCCAGCAATCCAACAAAACACGGGTAATGCTAGACTCTATCTCTAGTCGTTTGCACAGTATATTTGACTGAAGTGGCTAAACAGTAATGTTGTGTAAAAAAACATGCGCACTCCGCGCATTGGATTCAGTGCGCGTCCGGCGCGTTTCCGTTTTACACCCTGCCCTAGGCTTTTCTCCAATAAAATTTTACAAACCGACTGGTATTCGGAGTCTAGTCGTCCACATCTTGCCTCGGCGCTCTGCACACCACCAGAACTCTGAAAACGTCACGTAGCGCTAGCTAACTCTCTATACTAACTAGTTGATCTTCCTAGTCGTATCATTTATTTTTATCCATTAATACGCAATACTCTAAGAGCGTGAGGATGCGTGATCAGCTCGCAAAATTTAGCCCAGCGATAACAAAACAATAATATATCGGGAAAACCGTCTTGAACAAGAAGACCCTCGCATCCCCAATTGAAATTGTACATAAGCTTTGGCTTCGCTATTCTTGACGTCGATATAAACAAACTTAGACTTCGGATACAGCATGTTTCGTGTAATTTCTTGCCGAAAAGCCTAGGGCAGGGTGTAAAACGGAAACGCGCTGCCCGCACACAACGTGTGCACAATACAAACAAAAATAATGTATTTCGTAACTCAAGAATGGAAGGTGGACTGGTTGAATTAGGGCCTTTTAAAAATACTTTTAGATGTAAGCTGTAATTCTAAAGAAAGATAAATCAGGATAAATGAATTTTTTCACATACTTAAAAAATGACAAAACTTGGTAAGGGTATGAATAATTTAGTTGTTAACTGTATACATACATAGGCCTACATACATACATATTATATATATATATATACCAACATGGTACATTAACCAGACATAATATATATAACCCTACATGGTACATTAACCGGACATCATAAAAACTTGTATAATAACCCTAACCCTAACCATAAATTCAAAACAATATAAGTACTTAAAGTAATGACTAATGATTAAACCTTTTGATTATTGGGAGGCCTTAAAGGTACTATGTCCGATTTGCAGGCCAAAACAATGAAAAGGTTAAATTCCAACGGCATTTGAAAGACAACTTCCCTCAAAACGAAGGGCTTTAAAATCACCTAAATCACCTAAGTAATAGTATAATTTTCAGACCCTTGTACCGAATGGTCGTACGTATCGTGCTGCACAAAGATTCAATCAGTTTTATTTTGGCCATTTCAAGTAGTGGGTTATTGATGTAGACAAAATAATGCTCATGTACCTGTTACAGCTCATTTTATATATATGGTATTACCAAAGAAAAAAAGATGTCAGTCAGTCACTCAATATAGTGTCTGACAGTGAAGTTCTAGAAGGTAAACGGGTTTCCTTGCATAATTTGAAAACTAGGACACTGCTAATGTTTGAATTTCACAGATAGGACGTACACAATGTATTATGTCTCGTTCTCATTCTCGTTCTCTTTCTCATTCTCTTTCTCATTCCAATTCTAATTCTCATTCTCTTTCTCATTCTCTTTCTCATTCCAATTCTCATTCTCATTCTTAGTTTCATTCTTATTCTTATTATCTAATCCAACAAAAATGATTAATTGAAAAACAAAGAAAAATATTAAATGAAACATGACATTACCTTCGCAAAGGGCGTTTTCATGAGAAGTACATTGAATATGATGCAAACCAGAGGAGGAGGAGGAGGAGGAGTAATAATATAAGACGCAGTTGTAGGTGCTACTGGCGGGAGAGGTGTTGCTTGACCACCAACCTGTAAGAAAGTGAGCCACCAAACAAAATACGAGGGAGAAGTGAAACGTTTCAGCTTTCAGAGGTAATAGCCTTTGACATTTTTGCACCGAACTGTCCTTAACCCACTCCAAGAAGTGATAACTATGCATACGCCCCAGTTGAAATAGAAATAAAGAACATAAGTAGGAGTATTCCATCCCCCCTTTCGGAGGAGGGCTTACCCCTGTATTAAACAAATCATAGTGTAGTAGGTCCATGAAAAAATGATATGACGGTAATTATATGTGCGACCATCACTTGTGCAGTTATATTTTAGACTTTTGCTCATTTTATTTAGTGAGAGACAACTGTGATTTGCATTTTTTAAAATCAAAATTGGGTATGATATTGCCCAAAAGTTAGTTGGACACATCATTACTCACATGTTGAGCCATTTTTGTATTTTGTAAAGAGTTGGGCTGGCCCGTGGATTTCGTATTTTTTTTCTTTCCATGCGCTACTACCCCTTAACGCTTATTGAGAGGACTTGGAGAGGCCTGTCAATATTTCAGATTTTAGTTTTTTCCTGAGAAAAAACGATGGCGTAAAAAAATTCACCCCATCTTATTTTCTGACATTCTAGGCTTATTAATAAACCAACATTTTGTTGGCGTCTCATCGTTCAGATCAGATACAACAGCTGCGATTTGGTTTGATTTCTTAAGTCTTGAAATGAACATAACACGTTGGCGTTATACTTACTACTATTGGCATCTAACTGTGTGCCGTCTGCACATGGGAAGGTACCCTCCATAGCTTCATACGTACATCCAACCCAGTGAGAGTAAGGGGAGTATCTACTGATGACAGCATAATGCTCATCGTTACTATTGGGAACGTAGAGTGTCCCACCAATCGAGTTACATCCTGAAACCGCTTCGGAATATGTAATCCATTCATCGTCCAAGTGCTTGTAGCATCCTTGACCAATGCTATCCCATCCACTGGGACATACTGCATCTTTAGGAAGAAAATTAGAGGGGGGAAGAGTTTTTCTATTAATAAACAACAACAATAACAACATCAACAGCAAACACAACAATGATGATAATATTAGTGATGATAATGATGACGACGATGATAATAATAATAACGATAATGATGATGATGATGATGATACTACCACTACTACTACTGCTGCTGCTACTACTACTACTACTACTACTACTACTACTACTACTACTACTATTACTACTACTATTAATAATAATGATATTAATAAGATAAAAGGTACGATCCAACTTTGAATATACATGTTCCAAAATCCATTTCAAAACTTGTGGGCAGCAACATCATAATTTATGGATGGTAAAAATCTCGTTAAGTTCGTCATCACTTTGATTGATAGGCCTATATTTTTAACGATTTTACAGTTATTCTTATGGAAAAAAGAATGATTAAAATCATCTTATTTTATACAAATTTACCCTAGGATACAATTTTATTTAACATCTGATTTAAAAAAAATTACTTACAGGTAGGTATATTCCTACAACCTAAGACAACCATATCAAAACGATAAACATTGCATTTATGGGTGAAAATAGTATTTACCTGTGCGTTGAATGGTTGAAGAAACAAGCAACATGATAAGAAAGACCAACATTCTTGGATCACACGACGTCACACTTATAGAAATAACACCTTAATCAGAGGAACAAAATTTGTCGAAAAGCCTTCGATCCCAAATGATACAAGATCTGATCGGATACTCTCGATATGCGTCAAATATATAGCCAAATTCAAACGTCAAATATGTACTAATTATGACTAATCGACATTTGTCATATATGAAGAAGAAAAAACATCATTAAAAATGCATCTGTGTCGTGGATGCAGTTAAAGAAGAAGTCGCGTTTTGGATAAAGGTGGGAAATCACTTGCGAGCTTTTTCATTCTCTTTGTTCACTGCTTCTAAACCTAGGTTGGGGGAACAGTCTTCCTCAGTATACCATCACCCTTGTGGTCCGCTATCCACTTTCAAGGCCCAGTTCAAGACATACCTATTCTACACGGCTTACAATTAGCCTCTTCTCCAATCTTGATTAGTCATTTGATTAGGCAACTAGATATTGGTTTCGATTCTATTGAAACGTGGAAGAATATAGTCACATAATAGGACTACCGTGTACTTTTGTAATGCCCTCATGAACTTTGTGCCAATTTTAATACCACATGAATGTGTAGTCACATAGTACGTCATGAGCAGTGCGTTTCCATTGCTTTGTGAATGACAGGAAGGTTGAGTAAATCTGTCACCATTTTGACGATTCCACAACCTCATAATACACGATCATTTTAATTATCTACGTAAATCAATCTCAAAAAATTCTTGACAACTTTTTTCCACGATACACTTATCCGGAATTCAACTTTACCTTTAAATTGTATACAAAAATTATTCAGGTTATTAGACCAAGCAATTCGAGCAAGAATAAGTAAAGGATATGGATGTACATTGTTGATTTTAATACGGACTTGTGTCGTGCTATTTATCAATTTTCTCCATCACTTCAAAAAGTCCTTGGAAGACTATTGTATCGTTTCTGCCAAATAAATTTAGCATTTGGTGTTTATAAATGGCATCATGTTTCATGAAGTACATATAGGCTACCTTTATGATGTTTTTCAAGAGTCAAATTATATGCATTTTATTCTTTTGTATTAAATAATAATCAAACTATACAAAGTAGCACATAATTGACCGTGTTTTGAATACATACACTGGATCTCTGCATTAACTGAAGCGATACATGAGGTAAAGATGGACTAATAATGGTAATTTTATGCACCACTTTCATTTGAAATCGCGCAATTTGTTCCTGACAAGTTAATGATCAGATGGACAATATTCAAAATCGCTACATGATGTGTTTCATATTAATATGATCTTATTAAACCCCACGAAGGAAATGAGCTGGTGAGAGAGAGAGAGGAAGACAGCGTGGCAGAGAGAGATGGGAGGGAGATAACATGAGAGAGCGAGAGAGAGAGAGACTCAAAAGTTTTAGTTTAGCCGCAGGTATTTATTTCAGAATCAATTTGAGTTGTAAGGAATATTTGATTTGAAAATTTGAATCCGGAATACGTATTCAGATTTGTAAAGGGAATGGAATATTGAAACAATTGAAATATTTTTTGAAGCACCTTCAAGGTTTAAAAGAGAAAGAACGAACATACTAAACTACTACTTCTACTATCATTAAAATGAAAACAACAACACCAACAATAATAATAATTATATTATTAATGATGATAAAAATAGTCATCATCATCATAACTATAATTGTTTTTATTATTGTTATTCTTAGTATAATCGTCATTATTACTATTATGATAATTACAATTATGACTATTTTTGTTATCATTAATTATGTCTATTTTTGTTGTTATAATTAACATTATTAATATTATTATCTGTTGATAGATTCTTGCAGTACTTAACTGATCAGTGAGTGTTTGAGAAATTGATACTAATAGTTGGTAGGCGAGAACATGCAAATGAATTCAAACTGCACACAAATCAGACATAAGACGCAAATACAACAAAACTATTCGAGAACATCTCTTATATTTTTTTCCTGTGTTCACAATGCATCCATGATAAATTTGAATACAACACGCGTTACTTTCTGTACAAACTCTTCGACAGATGTACATTAAATTGAATTTATTCAACAGTGGCAGCAACTTAATGATATACATCTCCCTACCCTACGTTATAATATTTCTGAACGTTTTGAAAGCTATACAAATAGGACGAAAAAAAATTTACAAGCATGTTTTGTACATACATTTAGGTGTTTTAAAAATCTGCCAATATTTACAATAATATCCCAACGTTTTCAAAACGAGCAATTGTCATGACAAATGTATCACAATGCAAATCAAAATTATACAATCAATAAACTTCATATTTCAATAACGAGTATATTATATTCATAAACATTCATTTGTCCTCGAAATAATAATTATGAATTAATTTCTTTTCAGGTTTTAATTATATGAATTATTCTGAGTTATTTCACTAGCCATTCAAACTATCAACATATTAACCAACATTGTCCGTTGCGGTTTTCAATCAATAATCTTGTAGCTACACAGATTTATGTAAGTAAAGTTTTCCTTATTTTTCCTTTCTTTCTATATATATTTTATACCCTTTTCTCATGTTTAGGGGTTCATTATTTATATCCATAGTTCAAAATAAGTATAAGTCTCCCTCGGTGAGACATCCTCTTACCGCTGAGGTGGATGGTTGCTGCAATGTATTTCAGTTGCATCTCTCCACACATATAATCATTTCTGTCTCGCCGCCTTGCACAAAATGATTAAATACTGAGATCATCGCAACTCTTAATGAATACCAGTCTGCATAATTGCCTTAATTTTGCGAAGTGTCCTTGTGGATGTTATAGTCTGCACTTTTTTCAGTTTTCAATTTCATTTACAAATAATTGATTTAAGCAATTTGATCGCTTTCTATATTTGCCTGAATAGTTGACATGTCGTCATAACCTATTTAAGACAAGGTTCTTCATTTGTTATGGTTTTGCTTACCATTATCCTTTTTTATTTGCAGGCACATACAAATATATTCCAGATACAGGACGCAGGCGCAGGTCCAGGCTTTCTTAGAGGGGGGGGCGAATTTGAAATTATGTGAGCCAAATATTGGTAAGTAATGGTGACCAGCAGTGATGTAAGAAGCAAAAACGTTGGAGGGGGGAGACAAAAAATCTGCATCACCCCACTCTTATATGCAAGCACCGCTGAACGTTTTTTTTCTTCAAATTGGATGGGGTGGGGGGGGGGGCTACAGTATTTACGATCAGGTAGAGCGTAGCGTGAATTGGCGTGGGGTTCAAGGAGCGGAGCCCCCAGAAGATCAGGGGTTTTAGGCATTTAATTACGGTCAGATGAGCATATTTTGATACCTTATTTGTGACACCGGCAGGACACTAATTGGCATGGGGTCCAGGGGGCGAAGCCCCCAGAAGCTCAGGGGTTTTAGGAATTAAATTACCGTCAGATGATCATCTAGGGGCCCGCTGTAGGGCCCTAGGTGGTGTCTAGGGGCAGAGCCATCGGGAGCTCAGGGGTTCAAGGCATTTAATTATGGTCAGATGAGCATATTTTGATACCTTATTTGTGACACTGTCAGGTCACTAATTGGCGTTGGGTCCAGGGGGCGGAGTCCCCTTGAAGCTCAAGGGTCTTAGGCATTGAATTACGGCCAGATGAGTATCCAGGGGCCCGTCTAAGGGCCGTTGGTTGGGTCAAGGGGTTTAAGGCGTATAATTACGGTCAGATGAGCATATTTTGATACCTCATTGTTTTGTGACCGTATACTCACATTTTATGTCATTTCAGCAACATTTGTAAATCACCGGTATCGAATTAGAAATAAACCTCTTTTTTTTTTCTTTTTTGGAGGGGGGGGGGGGGGGCAAGCCCCCCATCAGTACGTCAGTGGCCCCCCTCCCCATTTACACCTTGTTGGCAGGAAAAAAAATCGAAACTGATCTCCCCTACCATTCCTCTTTCTCTTTCTCTCCTCTTTCCCTTTCCCTTCCTTTCGTTCTCTATTTTTGTTTGGCGAGGGTGAGGGGGGGGGGGGGAGAGTCAAGGGCATTTTGCTCCCTCCCCCCAATCCACATTTTGTTGGCGGCAAAATTTCAACTGATATCCCACTTCTTTTCTTCTTTCTTTTTTCCACCTTCCCTTTATCTCCTCTTTTCCTTTTTTCTTTCCCTTTCCTTCCTTCTCTCTTATTCTTTTATGAAGGGGGAGGCAAGGCCCTTTCGGCCCCCAGCTCCTTCTTCCCCCCCTTTTTTTCTTCTTCCACTTCTTTCTTTCCCTTCTTTTCCTTCTCTTCCTTCTCTCTCTCTCTCTCTCTCTCTCTCTCCCTCTCTCTCTCTCTCTCTCCCCCTTTTCTCTCTCTCTCTCTCTCTCTCTCCCCCCTCTCTCTCTCTCTCCCTCTCTTTCTCTCTCTCTCTCTCTCCCACCCTCTCTCTCTCTCTCCCCCTCTCTCTCTCCCCTCTCTCTCTCTCTCTCTCTCTCGCCTGGATCCGCGCCTGGCCTGACAGGACGTTAGTGTTGCGGCAGGGATTTGAATCCCGTACCTTGTGGTTCACAGTCCTGAGACTTACCCGCTTAACATATAAATGTAATAACACAATCGAAATAATAACATCTCGAGTCCAACGGGCGTATAAGCATTGTGATTCATTTAGACATTGAGTTATTGTCACGTGTATTCATCCTCTTAATAACAAAGAGACACATATTTTCCTCCAATTAAAGTCCATGAAAATTATTTTGCCGGTAGTATATGTATTGGTTTATTAAGCAAACAAACAAACATAGCATAATCAGGATAACGCTGAATTGGTAGCTATATAGATCTGGGAACTCACAAACCATTCATATTAAGCCTTGCAAATGATGTAAACAAGTTTGTGTTTTTTTAATACCGCACACAAGTTATGGATAAACGAACACAGCATAGATAACGGTAAGTTGGTAGCTGCAAAGGTTTAGCAACTCATAAACCATCTATACCTATTATAGTGCGACAGGGATTCGAATCCCGTACCTTGTGGTTCACAGTCCACTTAACCCCATGCAGGCAGGTAATTATACAATCGAAATGACACCATGTGTTCAACGGGAGTATATAACTTATAAGCATTGTGATCCCATTTTGCATTTTAGATATTGTCACGTGTCTTCATCCTCTCAATAATA